GCAGTCACGAAAGCTTTACATCGAAATATTCTGATTCTGGCTGCTGCAAGTTTGGCATCAACACTGCTCAACACAGGTCAAAACACAGCTTCGTGAATTTAAATCTTTTAAAACCTGGGATGCATGTCGGGAGGGGGAAAGCAGCCTCGCGATGGATGCTGATACCTTTAATTGAATTTCTGATTGCAAAATTGACTGACCGATTGCCTTTATTTGAAACTATGTTTAGGTTCGTGACAATAAAATACAATTTGTATTTATGTAGAACAGAAATGTAAGGCATCCTTCGAGACGAGAAGTGTCTCTTACAAGGTCGAACTGGGTAAAAAAATACATACATCAAACAACAAAACAGACACAAACAGAAATAACAGGAATATGATGTTGCTTTTTTAACTAAACTACAAGTTCATTAATTCGATTTTAAAAATAATCTTTGTCTTACTCACTGAACAGCTTCTTGCCGTATGTGCCATCCAAGTGTTTATAGACGACTTACAGTCAAGGCTTCTGCTGCGTTGCCCAAAGTTATTCATTTTCAAAGCTGCTTCCTGTTGCAAACGCAGGCTGTTTGCATCATAGTATTGTAATGCGGGCGTAAATGGGCGGGGCGGATATGACGATCCAAGAGGGAGGAGTCAGGGTGACGTGGGGGAGAAGTTATAGCGGGGAGACAGGAAGCTATCTGGGTCAGTCGGGGGAGTGAAGGGTGGTGAACACGTTGGGTGGTCGCCGTGCCTCAGCCTGGTGGCTGAGGGGCTCATGACGGCGCCAGCCAGCGGGGTGGAAGAGTGGAGGATTGAGGTAGGAAGTGGCGAGATAGCCACAGAGGCCACGAAGGGCTGAGGTAGGAAATGGCGAGATAGCCACAGAGGCCACGAAGGGCTGAGGTAGGAAATGGCGAGATAGCCATAGAGGCCACGAAGGGCTGACATTGGGAGGTGGCGAGATCGCCACGCACGGAGGAACAGGGAGCAGCGATGGAGCTGCTGGGGGAGCAGCCAGAGGGCTGTACCAAGAGCCTGCAGCGGAGCTGCAGGAGCGTGGAAGGCCACGGGAGCGAAGGCAGATGTGGGGCTGCCAGGGAGAGAGTCTCAGGAGGAGTGCCGTGTGGGAAGGAGAACGCGAACCCCAAATAAAGGACACGGAGTCAGCAAGAAGTGTCTGAGTCCTTTTATTACACTGGAGTCAGAAGTGAAACGGCATCTCAAAACAACTGAGAGAAAGAAGAAAAAAAAATATTCCTGCTACATCATCCGACGACGACGACCTTCCTCAGACAGTGGACCTGCCTGCGATGGAAGAGGAGATCCGTTCTGGAACGAGTACGGGTCCGGGTGAGCAAGGTGTCGCCGCGTCGGTGGACCTGTCTGTGCCGGAGGATGCCAACTTACGATGGAGACAGATGGTGATGCAGATGGGGACCTTGAAAATCGTGCTGGCGCGACTGTGTGAGTTCACCACGCCGAGGACGACGTCGGGGAGGCCCGGTGGTGATCCGCAGGCCTCTGCCTTTCCTGCGCTGCCAGCGCCATTGCCACGTGGCACGAAGACGCCATCTTGGGCGTGGCAGGGGAGAAACGGCGGGAAGCCGCCATCTTGTCTTCACCGCGGCGGGAGGACGCCGCCATCTTCAACATCGCGGCGGAGAGGCAGCCTTGCGCTGCCATCTGGAGGTGCCGCGGGGTGAGCAGCCTGCTGTGAGCTGCTGTTTTTCGAGGGGGTGCTGCGAGGAGAAGACGCCGATGCTGCAGCTGCTGGGGCGGGAGCTTCCCGTCCTGGTTCGGGTGCGTGACAACGGAGCCGTCAAGTCGCCGAACGAGTTCTGCGAGGCGTCTCAAGTTGCCACCCTGCCGTCCTCTTCTTGCTGCAGCCCCGGGCGAGTCATAACGATACGCACCCGGCCTTAACACACACCTCACTCATCTTTCGAGGGCCGGGGGGCTATTTTGGTTTTCTTTTATGACTCGATTGTGCGGAGCGCGGTTCGGACTGTGTGTATGTGTGTGTAATAACGATGAACGCGCTATCTGCTTGTTGCTTGGTGTCAATATAAGTGTGTGCGTGTGTTGAGAATGGACGGAGAGTCTGCTGTATTTGCTGAGTGTCAAATTGTGTGTGTGCGCTGCTGCGTGGAGTTGTTATCTTGATGGTGAAGTTAATTATTAACTTGGGAGCGTCGGGTATCTTGCGCTGTATTATTTGTGGGTTACCTTGTGCGATGGGCTTAATTGGAAAAAAAAAATTTTTTTTTTTTTTGGTGTATTGTGCTGCGAGGTGCTGTGTGCGATGCGATTGTTGCAAGAGAGAGAATAATTGTGTTGTTGCTGCAAAGTTACGACAGGATTAATGGTGTGTTGGTTGCCTGCAGATCTGCTTGCTATTGTGCTTAAATGTACGCGTGTGATCGCGATATGCTGATTGCATGTGCTGTTATACCGTTCTGTATGGTTATGGGGTGCGATGCAGTGGTTGACTATTGGAATTGAGATTGTTATTATATTGTGCGTACCTGTTGGAAATTGGTAACAAATTCGAGGGGGACCCAAATATTTGGTTGTATGGTTGTTGTGCACACGAGATTGTGTGTATATTATAGAGGGGGACCATAAAATTTGGTTGTATGGGTGTTGTGCACACGAGATTGCGTGTATATTATAGGGGTAATTGAGCTTTGTGAAAATGAGGGTGCGCGATGACGCCGTTGTGGGTGGCTTAGTTGTTAATGCTAATGGGATCGTAAATTGGCGCCAAGTGGCGTCGCGTATTCGGTTGATCGCATGCAACCACGAGTTGCTTGGCGAGTTGGGTTGTGTAACCAATGTGGTTGGTAAAATATTGGTAAAAAATTCCACGATATGACAGCTGTGCGCAGCAAGCTGGGGCTGTGCGTCTATCGTTGGTGGGGTTGTTATAACGTGACGGGGGATGCGTCTTGTGACCCCCAGCTAAGGGAAGCTGGGGTGCACGAATGGAGAAAACTGGCCACGTGTTCGCACGTTGGGCCGCCATTTTGCGCGCACGCGGGGTATGGCGACGATGCGCTTTGCGGAAAGGGCCGCCATTTTGAGTGCGCGCGAGAGATTGCGCGAACGCGCTGGGCGAAGGGGGACGCCATTTTGAGCGCGCGGGAAAAACCGGGGTGGGGCAAATATTCCATCTGTTATGCCTGCCATTGTTGATTGGGTGATGCACGAGTTGTGGTCACATCGGCCTATGGCTGATGGCTGACCTGACAGCCCGGAGGCGAAACCTCCGTGGTATGTCTTAAACTAATGGGCCATGTGCTCATATGGCTCGGGGAGTCATGGTTCAGTTGTGCGGGGGCAGACTGAACCTGGTGTGCCGGGGGCTCACGGGATCTGGGTTAGGGTGTTATTGTCTCTATAAGAGAACATTGCCCCGTGGGGGGAGTACAGGGGGTCTGGCATTGCTGGGGGATGAACCTTCCCTGGGCTATAAAGCATCGGACTATACGAGGCTGGTGTGTGTCCATCTCTGATGGGATAGTAAGGGAGGAGCGTGGCCGAGTTGCTGCTCATCCCCGAAATTGCACTAGCTGAGAGTATGGTCAGTGGATGTTGCTGTGGGTTGACGACCACGGTGGGGGTTAGGGCGAGTTAAACGTTACCGCTGGGGAGCGTGGCTCTCTCCACGCGAGGGTGTGCGATTAGGTGTTTTGTTGGGTTGCTGAGAGTGACCGTGGGTACATGCTGTGTACGTGCGATGTCTGCTGGTCCTCAAGGGAGGACTGCTGGTGGGTAAGAGCAGGAAATTTTGTTGTTGTTGTTGTCACGTTTAAATAATATTGTTGTTAAAATGTAAATACTGGGGCATCCATTGCGTTATTTTGGGTATTTATGGGGAGTTTTTTTAAGCGGGCTGGATTTACATCATCTCCACTACCCTGAGGCTGGGTGGCTGTCGTGTACGACATGCGGATGTGCGTTGTTGTGCTGTGCCTCAGGGGATTGGATTCTCCTTCTCGTCACAGATTCTTCAGCTCCCGTCGCACTGGGTGTTACCTGGTGTGCTAGCTGGATGAGGACTTGAAGGAGCAATTGAGCGCCGTTCGTCATTCTGCTCTACCACTTTCTCTTAGACGTTGGACTTGAGCCGAGCGGATGGAACTGCAACATGGACACGCACTAAAACATCACATTTCTGGGTTGTGCGCGTTGGCCGTTCTTGCGTGTCAGTTGCCGTTTTTGTTCATTGTGCCATTCTTATTCTTGTTGATGTTGCGCGGAGGACAGGCCGGTGTTCTGTTCCAGTTCCTGATACCTCCCCTTTCGTTGCTTGTGTTGTTGTTGTTATAATCTCCGTTGTGTCTGGGGGACTCCTGATTGTGATGCCTTCGCCCGCATTATTTTGTTCTGTTTCAGCCGAGGACGGCTGGGATTTTCTCTACGGGGGAGGGTAGTGTAATGCGGGCGTAAATGGGCGGGGCGGATATGACGATCCAAGAGGGAGGAGTCAGGGTGACGTGGGGGAGAAGTTATAGCGGGGAGACAGGAAGCTATCTGGGTCAGTCGGGGGAGTGAAGGGTGGTGAACACGTTGGGTGGTCGCCGTGCCTCAGCCTGGTGGCTGAGGGGCTCATGACGGCGCCAGCCAGCGGGGTGGAAGAGAGAGTGGAGGATTGAGGTAGGAAGTGGCGAGATAGCCACAGAGGCCACGAAGGGCTGAGGTAGGAAATGGCGAGATAGCCACAGAGGCCACGAAGGGCTGAGGTAGGAAATGGCGAGATAGCCATAGAGGCCACGAAGGGCTGACATTGGGAGGTGGCGAGATCGCCACGCACGGAGGAACAGGGAGCAGCGATGGAGCTGCTGGGGGAGCAGCCAGAGGGCTGTACCAAGAGCCTGCAGCGGAGCTGCAGGAGCGTGGAAGGCCACGGGAGCGAAGGCAGATGTGGGGCTGCCAGGGAGAGAGTCTCAGGAGGAGTGCCGTGTGGGAAGGAGAACGCGAACCCCAAATAAAGGACACGGAGTCAGCAAGAAGTGTCTGAGTCCTTTTATTACAGTATTATGAGGACTTCACCGCGGCCTCGGATATATATGAGTAAATGGGTCTTCCTCATGTGGCATCCTCTGTACATTAAATTGTCTCATATATGATGCATTCCCATGGCCCCTGGGAAGTGAGCTGGTTCGGTTCCCAACCCATGGGTACCCGTACCCGGCTGGGTACCCGTACCCGGCTGGGTACCCGTACCCGGCTGCGTGTATGTTAAACCCGGCTGGGTACGGGTACCCGTTCCCTACCCGTACCCGTACCCTACCTGAAATGAGTGACAAACGGTGACTCACCAGTGACTCACGGCCTACCCGTACCCGTACCCGTACCCGGCCGCACCAGGGTGGCAAACGGCTACCCGTACCCATACCCGGCCGGGTACGGGTAGCCGGGTATCGGGTAGGGTACGGGTATCGGGTAACCGGTTGCGACCTCTGCCGTGAAGTGGGCTGTGTAACGGGGTCGTGCCTGGGTTGCGTGGCTTCCTTTCCCAAGGCAGCAGCTGCGACCGTTCAGCCGGGCCGCCCTCGGGAGCAGACGTGATGTGACGGGGTCGACGAATAAGATCGACTCGTGGTCAATGGTGTCTCTTGTATGTATGCGTGTATGTTGAACCTTCTTTCGCACCGTCCATAGCCAGCCGTGCTAACTGAGGTGCAGGGGAAGATCAACGTCAGTGCCATGTTTTTGTTCAAGAAAATACAAGATGGAACATTACACCAATAATAGACTTTGCCTTGTGATAGCATAACCGAATGCTAGAAAAACACTAAAGGTTGCAAAAAAAATATTCAACTTGATGATGATCGCGTCCCTCTGGCCACCGAGGGACGTGATCACAATCATAACAAGTGGGGAACAGAGCAAGGTGAATGGTGCAGGAAGGGGCCGAGCCAATGCAGCAACTGCATTGGCTCGGCTCAGCTCCAGTGTCTCACTGTCGTGGAAATGTAACATTTCACACCTGGCGGTGATCGCTGTCACGTCTCCCCTCTGACCTCGCTCGCTCTATTTGTTGGAGGCCAGTAGCGGTGCCCCCTTGATGGGTGAGGAGGGCCCCGTGCTCTGTAGATTCAGGTTCTCGCTTACAAAGTTGCGATGGCTTGGCTGCTTGAGGCTGGCCAGCGCTGCCGGGCGCGCTCTGGACTTAGACTTTCCCGAGAAAATGGAATGGAGTGAGGAGTGAGCGGAGGGAGGATAATACACCGAGGGTTCGCCGTGAATCTCGTACATCCATGTGGTCTCGCCCGCCTGGTGGGGAAAGAAATATGGTCAATTAGCAGCAGGACAAACGCGCAGCTCTCTGATGTGCTTTTCGTTTGCGCAGCATTTTATTCGGCATTATGTCGAACGTTTCGCTCCACGTCCTACGAGCTTCTCCAGGGACTGAAACTATAAACACGTGGTACGACCCAAAAACATACGGTAGAGCTACACAGTGAAACCGTGAAAACCTACGCAGTAACCGTAATGGAATAGACTTGCTAATGAGCTCCAGTGGCGGCTCCTGCAAAATCTCTCAGGGGGGGCAAATGTCTGGATGATTGATAAGGATAAGGTCCACCCATGCAATGGATAAATTAACAGCTTAAGCATGCAAAGGCAACTTCACTTCTTTAATATTAATGAAAAATAAAGTGACTCTTACAATACATCTTGTTTGTTTCTATACTCACTATTAATACAATCCACTCAAGTTTCTTTTATTAAAGATTCCACTAGGTGGCGACAAATTATATTTTTGGATGAAACGTGCTTACGTATGATGACGTAAGCACGTTAGGGCGAGCCCTCCCGGGAAGCCATAAAGAATGCATTGCAGCGCCCCCCGGTCGAAAAAAAACATCTTTGAATGTAAGTCTATGGGGCCACTCGGGGCGATTCTCAGCCGGAGTGAAATCGCCCAAAAAGAGGCGGTACTCCACAGAACGTGACATGACGCTGATTGGACTATATCCAGAGGCACAGTGACGGCTAGCATGACTCTGTGGTTGAATGACATTGGTGGTGCGTCGCCCAATCACCCTAATGAAGAAACCGCCCCTGATGAGCTCACTTGTGAGCTTGTAAAGCAAACTCATTCGAGCAGTTGGGTCGCATAGTAGTCAGAGGACTTGTGACTGAGTCAGTTTGTTTGCAGTCCATTGTAAAAAAAAGGCTCGTGAAAATGCTGGATAAAGAAATAAAATATATTCACAAAGCCCATTCTCACAATCCACCATGGTACATCTTTCCATATTTATAAGATTAAATTATGAATAGTGCACAGCTCTTCATCAATCCACTGCGGGATGAAGGCCTATACTTCACCACGCTGGTCAGTACAGGTTGGTGAAGGGAGTGGGGTGTGCACGGAACCAGGGTAACACATCGACTCGCCACTGATGGTTATCTGTGGCCAGAATTCAAACTCAGGATGCCAGGATCATAATGCAGTGCAAAAATTGTTCAACCACTACTGCGCCCTAAAATGCTTCTTACCACAGTGATTACTACAGGAAATTTCTGAAGAACAACATCTGCTGAGTAGTTTTTAATTGTTCCGTGACATTGTGGGAGTAACCCACCCCAAACCCCACATTTGGAAATTAACCAACGCAACTGAGGTCATGGAGGCTATCCTTGAAAAACAAATAATGGATGTGGTTGGGCGGCTCAGTGGGTTATTGCGCATTACACAACACTGCATCCTGACAATTAAGTGAATCACAATCAGAATCGCCACGGTGGCGAGATGTTAACTACCTCGCCTGGTATACAGGAGGTCTTGGGTTCAATCCCAACCCGGACGCCTGTATATTTGGAGTTTGCGTGTCTCTCTCCCCGTGGTTGTGTGGATTTTTCTCCGGGTCCTCCGGTTTTTCCCTCCACATTTAGAATCAACATGAGTTTAGAGGATTTGACTGCTCTACATTTCCACATGATAAGCCACTTTGTTGAGCTATCATTTATGACAGACAAGTCGCTGCGGAAAAAAACGAGCTACATAGCTCAGTGGGCTCTTACCTGATAAAACAAAAAGTTTAGTTCTTTTGTCAGGGGGTGGCGGAGAGTGAGGACAATTGAATTGTTATGAAGCAAACTGCTCGGCATCTGCACCGGGCAGACGTTACCTTGACGAGCAGCGTGGCGCGGTACGGCTTGCCGTAGCTCCGAGGACAGAAGGACACGGCAAGGCGACTTCCCTCGCTGCCCTCGGGCAGCAGCTCCCCGCTCGGAGGCCACACGCTGAACTCAGGGTCGCTGTCTCGCGTGAAGCTTGCCGAGTAGGCGGCCGCATGCCTGCGCCGTGACGATAAACAACGGCCAGAGTTAAATTTCGATTTAAAGCTTTCGTGACTGCAGGGATTCATCTTCTTGGTTCTTTCGGTAAAGTCATGTAGAATGGAAATAATAAAATAATTAAAATAAAACAAAATAATATAATATAATAAAATATAATAATAGAATATTTTATAATGTTTAATTTTTATTATTTTATTATTTCCATTCGACGTGACTTTACCGAAAGAACCAAGAAAACGGCCAGATTCTTTGTTGTGTTTAATGAGAGTGCCGCACTGAAGCATAACATTCAAGTAAATGGGGTTTTTATTTTAGTCAACAATGATGTTTAGTGGATGAAGGTCATGGAGGGTGATGACGATGGCTACCCACCACAGACCAAAGTACGACTCACTATAATGAGATAATCTAGTCTGAATGCAGCCGTAGACAAACATCATTAGCAACGTTATTAGAAGCACCAGTGCACAGAGGAAAACCAAGCAAAGTAATTGGCTATATATGTATATACAAAAATTGTGAGTTCACTGACTGAGCGGGAGGAGGGCGTGGAGAATTCTCTCCCCTGGCACCAACAATTACTAAGAGTATTTTGACGAAGCGATTGACTGAGTTAATCGACGGGATTAAGATAATGACATGAAATCCACAGACTCCTACTTAGACCATGACAAGATTAAACAACGGTGACTAAAGCAACACACGACTGAAGGCTGCCACCACAGCCACTGTCAAGTGCGTCACCTTGGAGAGATGCCCTCCCTCGTTGCCATCCCAGCCACTGTCTTGTCCCTGTTCACGTTATCCTTCCTCCACCTCATCATCCGTCTTCCTCCACTCCCTCTAAACTCTACGTATGATGTTGAACTTCTTTCGCACCGTACGTAGCCAGCCGTGCTAATCGGACGTGTATGATCAATCCCTCCTCATCTCGCACCGCATGGTCAAAGCATCTCAGTCTTCTTCTTGGTTCTTTCGGTAAAGTCACGTAGAAGGTAAATAATAAAATAATAAAAATAACACATAATAAAATCATTCTCACGACGTTTCGGCTACAACGCAAGCAGCCGTCCTCACCTGCTTGCGTTGTAGCCGAAACGTCGTGAGAATTATTTTATAATGTTTTATTTTTATTATTTTATTACTTCCCTTCTACGTGACTTTACCGAAAGAACCAAGATGAATCCCTGCAGTCACGAAAGCTTTAAATCGAAAAGCATCTCAGTCTTGTTTCCTTCCCTTGCTTTGCCGATAATACTTCATACCTCCCCGCCCCTGCCGTGATTTCTGCCTAACTCTCACTGTGACTCCAGTGTGCACCTGATCATTTTCAAGTATTATCTCTCCCTCAATGCCCAGCCCTACAGCTCGATTCTCCGTATAACCTTACTCGTGGTTGCGGTTTTACAATCTGCACGCTTCGCTTCCATTTGGATGTTCTTTCCACAAAAATGCCTCAATAAAATAAACACACACTTTTTCTGAACAGCATTTTTTTAGATGTGCTTGCATTTAGTTGCTTTATTCATTCATCATAAGTTCTCTGCCCAAAGGCAAATCTATGACAGAGTTACCCCTATCGTAGCACTTTCCCTAATCTCCCCACATCCATGAGATTTGTCAGCCTTTCCCTTTTCCCCATGTGTACGAGTCCTCACATTTTTGTACAATACAGTAGTGCACTTCCTACGCACCCTGTAATCGAGTAATGTTCACCACATTGCAGTTAAACAGAGATTTATGTTATTCTCAGGGCTGGAATCTTTGCCAAATTAAGTGAAGAAGCAGACCGATTGGAGGACTGTATTTGAAACCTGGGGTTGAACCCAGCATCTCAGGAGCAAGAGGGCACTAACTTTTGCTCATGTGGTTGCTCATAGCAAGCATGACTCCCTTGTTGCTGCGAATGGGCATGTGCAAATTTTTACTTGCAGAATCTTAATTACAATTACTGACAGATGCAATCACGTATTCTATGCCGAGCATAATAATGTTAATCCAATTGAGTGGCACCGGCAGGACAGCACACAGCTCGGAATCAGAAGGTTATGGGTTTCAGTCAGGACTGGGGGTCGAATCAGCCCTTCATCAGGACACTGCAATCGGGTAAATAAAAGAGTACCGCCACGTGGCAAAGTCAATTGTGGTTATCCTCTGTCTATATTTGTACCTGCAAGAGAAATGTGGACTTTCCACCACTAAAGGGGGTTGTTTGATTATAATTCTTCATTTTACATGCAATTGCTATACATGTCATCTGCTATATCTTTTTTTCTTTTAAGAGTGTTATTTGACAAATGTGTTGAGTTTTTTAGTTTGTTATATGTGCTTGTGCACCACTGCCAAAGCAGTGTTATCAACTAATTTGTATCGTTCTTGATTCCGCTCAGTATTATCAACGAATTTGCATCGTTCTTCATTCCGCTCAGTGTTATCAACGAATTTGCATCGTTCTTCATTCCGCTCAGTGTTATCAACTAATTTGTATCGTTCTTGATTCCGCTCAGTATTATCAACGAATTTGCATCGTTCTTCATTCCGCTCAGTGTTATCAACGAATTTGCATCGTTCTTCATTCCGCTCAGTGTTATCAACTAATTTGCATCGTTCTTCATTCCGCTCAGTGTTATCAACGAATTTGCATCGTTCTTCATTCCGCTCAGTGTTATCAACTAATTTGCATCGTTCTTCATTCCGCTCAGGGTTATCAACGAATTTGCATCGTTCTTCATTCCGCTCAGTGTTATCAACTAATTTGCATCGTTCTTCATTCCGCTCAGGGTTATCAACGAATTTGCATCGTTCTTCATTCCGCTCAGTGTTATCAACTAATTTGCATCGTTCTTCATTCCGCTCAGGGTTATCAACGAATTTGCATCGTTCTTCATTCCGCTCAGGGTTATCAACGAATTTGCATCGTTCTTCATTCCGCTCAGTGTTATCAACTAATTTGCATCGTTCTTCATTCCGCTCAGGGTTATCAACGAATTTGCATCGTTCTTCATTCCGCTCAGGGTTATCAACGAATTTGCATCGTTCTTCATTCCGCTCAGTGTTATCAACTAATTTGCATCGTTCTTCATTCCGCTCAGTGTTATCAACGAATTTGCATCGTTCTTCATTCCGCTCAGTGTTATCAACGAATTTGCATCGTTCTTCATTCCGCTCGGGGTTATCAACTAATTTGCATCGTTCTTCATTCCGCTCAGGGTTATCAACGAATTTGCATCGTTCTTCATTCCGCTCAGTGTTATCAACTAATTTGCATCGTTCTTCATTCCGCTCAGGGTTATCAACGAATTTGCATCGTTCTTCATTCCGCTCAGTGTTATCAACGAATTTGCATCGTTCTTCATTCCGCTCAGTGTTATCAACGAATTTGCATCGTTCTTCATTCCGCTCAGTGTTATCAACGAATTTGCATCGTTCTTCATTCCGCTCAGTGTTATCAACTAATTTGCATCGTTCTTCATTCCGCTCAGGGTTATCAACGAATTTGCATCGTTCTTCATTCCGCTCAGGGTTATCAACGAATTTGCATCGTTCTTCATTCCGCTCAGGGTTATCAACGAATTTGCATCGTTCTTCATTCCGCTCAGTGTTATCAACGAATTTGCATCGTTCTTCATTCCGCTCAGTGTTATCAACGAATTTGCATCGTTCTTCATTCCGCTCAGGGTTATCAACGAATTTGCATCGTTCTTCATTCCGCTCAGGGTTATCAACTAATTTGCATCGTTCTTCATTCCGCTCAGGGTTATCAACGAATTTGCATCGTTCTTCATTCCGCTCAGGGTTATCAACGAATTTGCATCGTTCTTCATTCCGCTCAGGGTTATCAACGAATTTGCATCGTTCTTCATTCCGCTCAGGGTTATCAACGAATTTGCATCGTTCTTCATTCCGCTCAGGGTTATCAACGAATTTGCATCGTTCTTCATTCCGCTCAGGGTTATCAACGAATTTGCATCATTCTTCATTCCGCTCAGGGTTATCAACGAATTTGCATCGTTCTTCATTCCGCTCAGGGTTATCAACGAATTTGCATCGTTCTTCATTCCGCTCAGGGTTATCAACGAATTTGCATCGTTCTTCATTCCGCTCAGGGTTATCAACGAATTTGCATCGTTCTTCATTCCGCTCAGGGTTATCAACGAATTTGCATCGTTCTTCATTCCGCTCAGTGTTATCAACGAATTTGCATCGTTCTTCATTCCGCTCAGTGTTATCAACGAATTAGCATCGTTCTTCATTCCGCTCAGGGTTATCAACTAATTTGCATCGTTCTTCATTCCGCTCAGTGTTATCAACTAATTTGCATCGTTCTTCATTCCGCTCAGTGTTATCAACGAATTTGCATCGTTCTTCATTCCGCTCAGGGTTATCAACGAATTTGCATCGTTCTTCATTCCGCTCAGGGTTATCAACGAATTTGCATCGTTCTTCATTCCGCTCAGTGTTATCAACGAATTTGCATCGTTCTTCATTCCGCTCAGGGTTATCAACGAATTTGCATCGTTCTTCATTCCGCTCAGGGTTATCAACTAATTTGCATCGTTCTTCATTCCGCTCAGTGTTATCAACGAATTTGCATCGTTCTTCATTCCGCTCAGGGTTATCAACGAATTTGCATCGTTCTTCATTCCGCTCAGGGTTATCAACGAATTTGCATCGTTCTTCATTCCGCTCAGGGTTATCAACGAATTTGCATCGTTCTTCATTCCGCTCAGGGTTATCAACGAATTTGCATCGTTCTTCATTCTGCTCAGGGTTATCAACGAATTTGCATCGTTCTTCATTCCGCTCAGTGTTATCAACGAATTTGCATCGTTCTTCATTCCGCTCAGGGTTATCAACGAATTTGCATCGTTCTTCATTCCGCTCAGTGTTATCAACGAATTTGCATCGTTCTTCATTCCGCTCAGGGTTATCAACGAATTTGCATCGTCCTTCATGCCGGTCGGTGAAGCGGGAGACGAAAACCGGTTCAGACTTCACTCGCCAATGACGTCAAGCCAGGGCCGGAAATTAAACTGAGGTCACCAAATTAAAAAAAGCCACATTCCACAAACCACTGATCCACCCCATTACTCACAAAGGCTGGTGTAATTTGTAAGAGACTTATTGCATATCCGATGACCTGAGCATTATTGCAATTAACAATAATTACCGGGGTTACCACTCTCCATGAGTAGCCTTCATTATTTGTAGATTTGAAGCTTTCGTGACTGCAATGATTCATACTCTTAGTTTTTTCGGTTAAGTCACGTAGGTAAAAAATGAAATTAAAATTAATAAACAATAAAATAATAAAAATCACGACGTTTCGGAGGCAACACAAGTCTCCGTCATCAGGTGGGACCGTCACAGCCAGATTTGCTGTATCAAGTAAGAAAGTCTACGTGTTAAACTGAAAAGAACGCTGCAACAAAGGAGCCTCTTCTCTCACTACACATTCATTTTTTTACCTACGTGACTTTACCGAAAAAACTAAGAGTAGCCTTCATTATCTGCTTTACACCTTTCATGGCAGACAAAAACTGCGAATAAGTATAACCCGTAAAAACAAAGTTTTTCACTCTAAATCCTTTATATGCGTGGCGGCTAGAGTCCTCTCATCCTCTGGCTTGAGATGGCTGCCACCTATGGGTCAGATGATTGTCTGCCAGTATTAAACAATTGGTAATTAAATATTTAATTTGCTTTCCCTAAACAGTGTAAAATTTAGGAATTTTTTTTTAGGAACATTAATTGTCTCGCATAACGAGTCTGTGTGCAAAATGTCAGCTCGATTGGATCACGGGAAGTGGGTTAAAAAACGACCGAAAGGTTTGCACGGTCGTAAGCAAGCAAGCAAGCACGCAAGCAAGCAAGCGAACTTAATATAAAGGATTTTAAAAAAACGAACGTGGTAGACACCCTTTAATTCAAGTAAACTGGCACTGAAATACCTGATTTAGACGGTGGTTCAATGACCACTTTGAAAAAAAGAAACGACCCTCGATGGTTAATTATTAAACGTATTTTAGTTTAAAACGTCTTGTCAAATGGGGTGATCGGACCAAAAGTGCACAGACTTGAAAATGACCTGAGTCATATCCTGTCAGGTAAAACTAATTATTTGGTGACACTACATTGGTTGTGGTGCACCAGCACAATTCCCAAAAACGCTGAACAGGGTTTGTCTGTTACTCACTAGCTACTATTAGGTAACTATTCATACGGCAATAAAAAAAAACTGGTGATCAGAAAACATAAAAAAAAATTCAATTCTCAGCAGATTCCATCGTGTAAAGTTCCGTCTCAAACTCTTATTATACTCGCTGGCCTCCCCGCTTATGTTCTACGAAGAAGGGCCATTGCTCAGTGTGTTATTGACAAATGTTGAATTTTTTTAGTCATATTCTGATAAATCCATCCGACTACATTCAATTATCCCATGGGATAGGTATTTTTTCCCCTTAACAATTAGTGGAAAAAGTAAGTATACGGTTGGCTTCGTACGGTGCGAAAGACGTTTCAACATGTCTACACACGTACAAACATACAGCCTGGGCACACTAAAACGGTAGAGTTTGACGTGCATAGCCTCTTGTCACTTCACTGCTGGGTGGGAACCTCCCCAAGCCGCGTGGCTGGAGGAGGCACGTCATGGGACCTCCATTGCCAGCAATCAAAATATAAGAATAGGCTTTACCCTGTCTGGCAATAAAACAGTTGTGTTAAGATGTCAAAACACCAAACAGAAACCTTTTGCAAGGAATCGTGTCTGCATTAAACACACATACTTGTGGTGAACGTGCAAACAAAAAACATACTCTGGTAGTATCATCATCTTCACACCTGTTTAACCTCTGAACACCTGTTTTTTTTTTATTTAAAGCTTTCGTGACTGCAGGGATTCATCTTGGTTCTTTCGGTAAAGTAGTGACTAATCCCATATCTGCATTTCCCATAAATATGCTAAATTCCTCTTGATATGCTAATTCCTTTGTCAAGGCGCTCTTCCCCCTCCAACCCAGCTTAAATATACGCTGCCAAGCCTGGTGGTGCCCATTCAGACGCTGTCTTTCCGACAGACCTGTTCTTCACCTGAGGACGGCTGCTTGCGTTGTGGCCGAAACGTCGTGAGAATTATTTTATCATGTTTTATTTTTATTATTTTCTTTTTTCGTGACTTTACCGAAAGAACCAAGAAGATCTCAACACCTGTTTTACTGCCAGAAAGGGTACAATCTATTTCTTATTGGGGGCTATGTGATTGTACTTGATGAAGGTGTTGCATGTAGATTGGTGAGTACAGATGTGGAAGCATAGACACAGTACAGTATAACAATGTATTTTTTCTGGACGGCTCTCTGCTATTCATTTTGCAGGAGTAGTATTAACGTGGATTAAAAACGTCCCATATCCAGCGAGTGACACCGATAGCATCATGAGTGGATGTTACATCATGAGGATCCTCGGTTTGATTCGCTTGTGTTTTAAAGCTGTGTTCTGGCGACTCCTGTGGGTGGAGTAATGTGGCCTCACCTAGACATGTAGTCATACATTCATCCATTGACAACTATTCTTATCTTCTTGGTTCTTTCGGTAAAGTCACTTAGAAGGAAAATAATAAAATAATAAAAATAAAACATAATAAAATAATTTGAGAATTATTTTCCTTTTGAAATTATTTTATTATGTTTTATTTTTATTATTTTATTATTTTCCGTCTACGTGACTTTACCGAAAAAACCAAGAAGATGAATCCCTGCAGTCACGAAAGCTTTAAATCGAAATTTAACTATTCTTATGTTCAGGATACCTGTATTTAATGATATGTATACATGATTCATGCTTGACCATTTTTACAATTCTACGCAAATGTTACATCTCCACATGTTAAAGAGCAAATAAAACAGTAAAAATCTAATTTAAAGAGAAACAAAACAATAAGGGCATAAAAATCAGACCAAAAAGATAATGGATACGTGAATCGAACCATGAATGTGAATCGTCACAATTAACCATAGTGCGAGTGAAGCGGAGGGTAAATCATTACAGTACATACCTTACTAAATTTATTGGGAACAATGCCCGATGCTCTCTGGTCAGCTCCATAAAACACCTTAAAGTAAAACATCCCCCTTATCTTCTTGGTTCTTTCGGTAAAGTCACGTAGAAGGGAAATAATAAAATAATAAAAATAAAACATTATAAAACAAAACATTATTTTATTATGTTTTATTTTTATTTGATTATTTTATTATTTCCCTTCTACGTGACTTTACCGAAAGAACCAAGAAGATGAATCCCTGCAGTCACGAAAGCTTTAAATCGAAACATCCCCCTTAGTTGACACAAATTTAAGTAGGCGTAAAGGGGAACATCGTTCTTAAGTTGTTTCATGCATCTGAGCCTTCAGTGGCCGAGTGTATCCGGCGAGTCCTTGTTCTGGGCCACGTGGCCTCCCTTACCTTGACTTGCTGGTGAGGCGGAAAGCCACCGTGGACGCCTGGTGCAGGCCGTGCGCGTGGATCGTGACAACGTCGTCTGGCAGGGCCTCCGTGGCCTCGAAGTGGAGAGGGAAGCGGTAGATGCCTCCCGAGGGGCCGCTCACCAGCAGCGAGGCCGCCGCGCTGTGGGGAAGCCCGACACCACCGACGTAGATCAACGTACAGTCTTGTTCCTCTACAACAGTTGCGTTCCTGAATAACACTGCGTTATGGGGAAAATCGCGTGAAAATAAATAATATATATAATACAGGGTTAAAGCACAGTCCGCATATACAGGCTGAACAAAGACTGAGGCGCGTGGGTAGCATCTAGAAGCATCCAGCAGCATCCCGCCTTGTGTGATGCTACGCCGAGGCAGCCGCACATCCGCGTGACGTAGTTCTGTTCACTCGATCGCGTTATATCCAATTCGCATCCACGTTATAAACAAAAATGTGTTCCCTAATGCATTCATCGCGTTATATATAGAATTCGCGTTATGAAAACACGCGTTACAGGAGAACAGACTGTACCTCGGAAACTCCGTCAGTTACCCACATCGTCGCGTAAGGAAATCGCCTGGATGCGCCCAATCTCGTCAGGTCTCGGAAGCCAAGCAGGCTTAATTCTAGATAGCTCGTGGATCGGTGACCACCATGCAAGCCAGGTTATCATCGGAGGCTGTGGGACTGTGCTACGAATGCTCTACTCTTACATAACTATTACAATTCTTTTTTATTTATTGTGTTGATCACAGACACCAAAACAGCTGGGGTGATGTCATATTCACAATGTAATTTCATCATGAAATCGTGCGGATGCGTTGTATAGGTTTAAAAACACAGGCGACCGCGCTAACGGAAAGAGCGCGCACAGCGGAGGTATCGCTGGGCTCGGCTGGGGAGAGGCTGGGTACCTGAGTGGAGCCTGGGGAGCGAAGACGACTCTGAAGGTGAGTCGCACGATGCCCGAGTGGGGGTCGCGCTCTTGACCCAGCAGACTCACGGCCACGGCGCTCTCCAACGCCGCCTGCGCAGCAGACTCTGGCGCCGCATCTTCACTCCCAAATCCAAAGTCCAGCCAGTGGCGGAGTTCTGCAAGGGAGTGGAAATGTACGTTGAACTTCTTTAACACCGTACGTAGCCAACCGTGCTAATCTGAGGTGCGAGGGAAGGACAATAAACCAAACACAAGTAACATACATCCAGGTTATTATGCAGTATGGGGTGAAATTCAATGAAATGCCCTTTATTTCATAAAAACACATCTTAAAGTGGGTTACCCTTCTTTAATGATGTCGTCCTTTTTTCAATCCACTGCTGGATGAGGGTCTACCCACACCATGCGGGTCGTGGATGCCATTTGACCATACTTCTCTTTTGACCCTATTTTACTTGCAGCAGTGATGATACCATCGTCCATGGACCGTTCTTTAACATATGGAGCAACGCAAACTGACTCCTTCGAGTCAAGCACGACACTAACCCGGAGTGGTGCCGAAAACACCAGTTGGAATGCATTTTTGATTACCTGTTGGTCTGCTCGCTGAACTGGCGCTGCCCTGCCTGGGAGATCTTGAGCGAGGGCTCTCACACGTGGGGGGCTGCAGCAGTTGTGGTTGCAGCTGTTGTTGTGGTGGTGGTGGTGAGTGAGCCGAGTGCCTGGGAGTGTATGGGGTGCTGTCGCGGCTCTCCGGGAGGACGCTGGAGAGTGCCACCTCGACAGACTCCTCCAGCCGGCTCCTCGCCGCGCACCTAAACGTGGCTGTGCATGAAAATTAAAATAAAATCCACGTAGATTTTTTTTTCCCCCCACATCTTTACATCGCAGCACTGTGATTACGGTGCGATAGAAGTTCAACGTACATATGTACATGAAACCGGGTTTTCCAGTGTAGTGAGTTGATGGTCTGAACAACAACAACAAAGCCCATCGTAATCAATTTGCCCTGCGATTTATAGTGGATGAAATCCAGCGCTGAGAATGACATACTGTGCACACATTCGTTTGTACATTTTCACGGGAGAACTCTGCAGGAGGCAAACATATTCCTCCAGCGAGAGTGTTGCGACGACACGTACCAGGCGTACTTGTTGGCGGGTTTATCACCGGTATGCCATGAATTGGAAACACCCAGCGGATTTCTGTGACCTCGCCACCGTCCCCAATGTGCACACTGAAAGCGACGCAATCAGAAACAGAACGTTTTGTTAGACTGGTAGAGGAATCCAATGAGATGTGAAGCTCTCTCACAGATGTCCAGTAAGGGGGCATCGAGTCAGAACGTTACAACAACAAAAATATGAAAAAAACACGAGATGAGTGAAAAGTATAGGAAAGGTAAACAAATCACTTGAAAAAAATACAGATAAAACTAAATACTTTTTTTATCTTACCAGGTAAAGCCCACTGAGCTATTAGCTTCTTTTTCAGAAGGGATTTGGGAAAAATTGAAAGCTCAACGATGTGGCTTATCATGTGGAAATTTATAGCAGCGAAATAAAAAACACAATAGTTGTGCAGTGCACATGAGTTAGTGTTAGCGCGAGTGGGTTAGTGTCGTGCCTGACCCGAATTGCTTTTGATAAAAGGGTACATCAACATTTGTGATTTGGTCATGGGTGCCACTTTTTAGTTTACGTAATTTTTCTTATTTCACACGCAAAGGTGCTGTGATTGGCTGGATGCGGTCATGTGGAGGTGACAAAGTTGCCATGGCAATCAAAATGTCAGCAGTAAAAAAAAATGGAATACTCCAAGATGTTAACTTATACATTTAAATTAATCAATCTCTTTAAAAATAACAAACTCCCCTTAATTAATTCGATAGCTTTTCGAATATAAATGTTGTATATTTCTCTAAAAGACCCGATTTGTGTTTCAGATTTGAAGCTTTCGTGACTGCAAGGATTCATACTCTTTGGTTTTTTCAGTAAAGTCACGTAGGTAAAACAATCAAATTTCGATTTAAAGCTTTCGTGACTGCAGGGATTCATCTTCTTGGTTCTTTCGGTAAAGTCACCAAGAAGGGAAATAATAAAATAATACAAATAAAACATAATAAAATACAATTCTCACTTGTATTTAAGTTTTATTTTTATTATTTCCCTTCTTCGTGACTTTACCGAAAGAACCAAGAAGGTAAAACAATCAATAAAATAAATGAATGAAAACAACTAAATTTTATTTTATTTCATTGATTGTTTTACCTACGTGACTTTATCGAAACAACCAAAGAATATGATTCGTGTTTGTTTCATAGCTTGCTCACCTGGCGAGGTTGGACACGGGAAGGTCCAGCCCATTGGTCTGCCACCTCCCCCCGGACTCCTGGCTGAGCGAGACGACGCAGAGAGCTCGGCGGAGACGTGGGGATTCCGGTGAGAAGCTCAGCGGGATGGACAGGAGGCCCCGTGGTGGCAAGGACACATCTATGCAAAGACAAAGACAATAGTCCCCCGTGTAGCCTTTAACAGACTGTTGGGGCAAGTGCTGTAGCAGTGTGGCCAATACCACATCCAGCCAGCTCACAAAGTATAAACTGCAAAGCCTAAGCCAAAGACCATTCGCTTTGATGCCGATGCATCTTAGGGGCCGTCCATAAATGACGTTATGCGATTTTGGACGATTTTTGACCCCCCCACCCCCTCGTCACACGGCGTCACAAAAAGTCAGACCCCCCCTTAAATATGACGTCACAAAGCTCTGCCCCCCCCTCCCCAAACCATAATTTCATTTTGAAAATAAAACACGCTTCAAATCGCTTTAAACTATTGTCATTGTAGTGCGTATTTAATGTGGCACTGCACTCTGATGTTGTAGGAGTGTTGTTATAACAATTCTATATTTATTTAAAGTTGCGCATTTTGATGTGACGTCACATTTCTCAAACCCCCCATCGTCACACATCGTCAAAAATGTCTGACCCCCCCCCCCTAACGTGCATGACGTCATTTATGGACGGCCCCTTAGACGGACGAGAGCCCACACTGGGCTTTGTAAAAGGCTCACCGCTCGTCCGCTTGAGCAGCAGGGAGAACGGGGACTCTGCCTGAATGCTCTGAGTCAGCACAGAGGAACTGGTCAACTGCACCACGCTCTCTTCATCTGCAAGCACAGCAGAACAACAACAATTTTAAGTGACATTGCATCCGATTACAATCCCATATCAAGCTGCTTTACAAACAGGAAAAAAACACAACACGTTAAAATACAAAGGATTCACAAACTCCATTCCTCAACAGTCCGCTATGGTAGACCTTTACTTGTTTACCAATGAGCACATGTCCATCGATGGATCTTTTGTCAATCCGCTGCTGAACGAGAGCCATGGGGGTTTGACCATGCAGTATTCCGCATGCTGGTCAGTGCGGGTTGAAGGCAGGAAGCATAGATGTAGGATGACAGTACAACAATGAGTTTACAGTGCAAAATTGTAATTGCAGTACAACAATGGATTTTGACGCATTCTGCTGTCCACAAAAATGCCCCACAGCAGCCTATAACACCTGTTGTGCATGGTGGTCACCCGTCCAAGCACATTCAAGCACAACCTTCATTTTAATACAAAATTTAATTGCTACATGTTATACGCGCCTGATGACCGTTGAACACGACGCCCCATGTGAACTCTATATGTTAAGCGTGACCCACACACACACACAGACCAGACAGACGAAAGAACACGGGCAGCATGAGCGCTCGCGCCGAGACGAAGTGCCCGCCGCTCTCCGTTAACTGTTGACCTCAGACCTCCAGAGCCGACACCGATTGATGGGGCGCGTTTCACGTTAGTGTCACGTTCATCGCGAAGGCTGCATGACGGGGGTCGCAAGGCGCTGGGGGGGGTGGTTACCCGTGAGTGAGATTTGAGCGTTGACCGCGAACTCGGTGGGATTGCTGAAGGGCAGGATGAGTGTCGCCTGCGAGCCCAGCAGGGCCATCACGCTCACGGGCTCCGAGGGCTCGGGTGGCAGCCCCACTCCACTCGCAAAGAAGACCCACGCGCCCGTCTGCAGTCACAGTGGCGAAATGTAATAATAATAAAACATTTGAACCTGACAATTTTCGGCAATTTTTTTTTCTTCCTGATTGAGCTATCGGCCTCATGTCGTGAGATTACGAATTGATTCTCTGGTACAGCAGTGCAATACTTCATGTTGGAGAATGGCCCGTGGAAGCGAAAATCAGAGCTGTTGTCCATTCCCTGCACCTCCGATTAGCAGTTGGCTACGTACGGTGGTGCAAAATAATTTCAAAATACATACATACAAGTGATTTGTATTCAGCAGCACATTTTCATTCACTCTGCATCTGAGAGTAATATCTGTTGCATAAAGGTTAAACCCACACATTTAACTGTCAAAGCTGAAATTTATCTTAACCAAGCGCAGAAGCTAATTTAAAGTGATGCTTTTGCGTGCATTCATTGGCGGTTGGGCTGAGACCATCAAATCACTAAACATGAGAACCTGGTTTAATCACAGGTGGCTGCCTGGATTCGAACCAAGGTTCTTAGCGGTGCTGGCTCATCGCTCCGATCTCTGAGCCACCCGGCCAATATGGGGGTGAAAGCACGAGTTAACGAGCAAGGGGTGGGAGATGGCTCACGAGGCTGATTCTCTGCCCCAGGGCAGAGCAGCTGAACGCCGACACGCTGAATGTCAGGGTTTGTTGATCTTAATTCTAGATTTGAAGCTTTCGTGACTGCAAGGATTCATACTCTTAGTTCTATCGGTAAAGTCACGTAGGTAAAAAATGAAATAAAAATTAATAAAAATAAAATAATAAAAATCACGACGTTTAGGGCGCAACACTAGCGCCCCCTTGTCACGGCAGCCCTTTTGCCCACTTCAGCAATTGTTTCTTGCTGTGGTCGTCCCACCTGATGACGGGCACTTGTGTTGCGCCCGAAACATCGTGATTTAATTTATTTTATTTTATACCTACGTGATTTTACCGAAAGAACCAAAGAGTATTGATCCTTTTCATTTTTAAAGTGTGAATAGTCAAACCTGCGAGGAGGTGAAGGTTATAGCGGCATGATGATCAGCGGACCCCAGAGCAGATGGTCTGAACTGGAGGGAGATTTCTCGCTCAGACTTAGCGGGGAGCTCAACCTGGAAAGAATACAAAACGTATCGCATGGAAACAACGCGTCACCATTTCGTTTATATGCCGGGTTATGGGCAAGGGTATATGCGGTAATGCGAAGTAGTGCAATGCATCTCATTAGCTATACTGTATACCAGTATTGTTTTGAGCCATTTTCATGATATTATTGCAGCCATAATAAAAGTGCTTAATAGCAACATATAACCTCCTCCTCCATTCCCGAATAAAGGTTGTCTACACCAGCGGTTCCCAACCTTGTCGAGTGTGCGGACCCCTTTTGAACCTCCAAACATTTTGCGGACCACGACACGCGACTACGAAATGTTGGAATTTCCTTGGTCAGGATATTATTCCTCTTCTTCTCCACGCAGACCACCAGGGGCCCACGGACCACAGCTTGGGTAGGAACCACAGGTTGGGTGGGGACCACTGGTGGGGTGGGGACCACAGGTGGGGTGGGGACCACAGGTTGGGTGGGGACCACTGGTTGGGTGGGGACCACAGGTTGGGTGGGGACCACAGGTTGGGTGGGGACCACTGGTTGGGTGGGGACCACTGGTTGGGTGGGGACCACAGGGTGGGTGGGGACCACTGGTTGGGTGGGGACCACAGCTTGGGTGGGGACCACAGGTGGGGTGGGGACCACTGGTTGGGTGGGGCCCACAGGTTATGTGGGGACCACTGGTGGGGTGGGGACAGGTGGGGTGGGGACCACTGGTTGGGTGGGGCCCACAGGTTATGTGGGGACCACAGCTTGGGTGGAGACCACAGGTTGGGTGGGAACCACAGGTTGGGTGGAGACCACTGGTCTCCACACACTCGCTCTGCTCCGTAAGCCAGCAGCACCACTTGGGTGATAAAAGAGCGCATGCAGAAATAAACTTGTAGACAAATAAAAATAGGTTTTACCCTTTCTGGTAATGAAACAGTTGTGCTAAAATATTCAAACGCCAAATAGTCTTTTGCAAGGACATGATTTTGCAAGGACACGATTCCTTGAAAAAGGTTTCTATTTGGTGTTTGAACATCTTAACACCTGTATTGTTACTCTTTGGGTCTTTCGGTAGAGTATTATTGCCAGAAAGGGTAAACCCTATTCTTATTTTTACATACTTTGATACAGCCAAAAAGGTCCCATAAATAAACTTCTTCATAAGTTGAATACGGTCATTAGTCTGTGTTTACCTGTGCATTTGCCTCCGCTGGCATATAACTGTCATTTGTGAGCACACTTAACAATGTTTATTGCTGAGGTCAAAAACATGATTCTGTTATTGAGGTATCAACCCACAAATAACAGTTGATTACAGATGGAAATTGATTATATTGATTATGGTGCGGGAGTTGGTTAAATACCCGTCCACCTAGCAGTATAAATGGGCACAATACGAGTCTATTGGCAGGTCACGTGAGGGTGGGGTAAATTGTGGGTACTTCCTCTTTCAAAATGTGTAGCCATTGTGAAGGAGTAGGCCAACTACCCTTTCTTCAGTGTCGCTTTCAAGCTACCTCGAGTGGAGGCCCTTCCATTAGCAGCGGTGTGAACAAGAAATCGCACAGCTGCACCCTTTACATTTCATGAAGTTTGCATGTTTTGATAATTGGGTTTTTACCCTTCTATCTGGCAACAAAACTGACACCTTTTTTACAAGGAGTCATGTTTGCATAGACCACAATACCTGCGGCCATAATGCAAACAAAAAACATAACTCTGATAATGTGCACTGTCCTTGAAGTTGATTGGTCCACACCCGAGACAGCTTTCCTTAGAGCCTAGTCTCATATGGGTTGGACCAGATGACGCCAATTTTTTTTTAAATATTTATATATTTTTTACAACTTGTGTATAGTAATCGAGCCTGTCCTGTGGATATGCACACACTCACCAGTCTGTTTGCTGGGATCTGCAGGGTGAAGTTTTTGGGGTTGCTCACTACCGGCTCGAGCTCCAGATTCTCCGATGTGGTGTTCGTCAAACGCAGCAGCTGACTCGTCCACCTGTCGCACGACATTGGTACGGGGAAGCATATTCTCTTCGGGTTGTACCGCATGTTGTTTGCCATGATGTCTGATGTTTCGCTCCACATGCGAGGAGCTTCTTCAGGAACCGAACTGAACGGGATGGAATACTCAGTTCCTGAAGAAGCTCCCTTGGCTGTGCACCGATGACGTTGCCACTGCCAAACCAACAATTCCCCTGGTCCTTCCCCACGGCCTCCCTTCTTCTTCTTTCGTATGGCTGCTGTAGATGCAGAGCAACAACTACAATTTCACATTCAGCTGGTCAAGCCAGATAACCGCGTTAAGAGCAGCGGAGTGTATCGCTGTGACGTCTCATTCGTATTTGTGGATTGGGCATTGCGTCGTTATACGTTGTACGGTCTATTCTGGATGACCACAGCCGCACACTGTCTCCCTAATTTCTTCAGATGTTCTCTCCTCACCTCATTCTTGTTTTCCTCTCATCTCTTGGCCTTACCCCCACATTGTCTCCTGTCCCTTGCCTGACCTCTCCTCTGCGTCCTTGCTCCTCAAGGCGGTCGTCCCCTGTCACTGCCCTGAGCCTCGTCTGCTGCTAGGGCTGCCCTGGGACTCGGTGCTGCCCTGGGACTCGGTGCTGCCATGAGCTGGCTGCCACAGCTACCCCTGGGGCTCGTTGGTGTTGGTTCAAGTTTCAAGTTTCATTTATTAGGTATAGCCCTGTGAGCCATTCGGCTCTTGAATCGGGTGCAACCGCAACAACAAAAAACATGAACAAAAAAATATCTTAAAGTGAATATGTGACTGAGTGCAAACAGAAAATCCAAGAAAAGACAGCAAAATATTGCAGAAAAAACACCGTACACCAACGCTGTGTGCAAAAATCCCAGTGGGATGCAAGTCAAACAACAACAACCACAAAGACAACTTAGATTAAGGCCATCAGTCTAACTCTGTACTGGGCACCGGTTGCTTCGTCCTGGGCTGTGCCACGGTGTTCCTATCGCAACTGTCTTCTGTGTTTATCTGCCTCACCCCTGTCCCCCTTCTACCATGACAGAGTTTATTCTTGTTTATAAAGTCTCTTGACATGCGATTGTATTGAGACTCTATATGAAATTAAAACTACTGTTGTTGTTTGTGGCATTGCCCACATTTATTGTTGAAAATTTAATGCATGGACATGATGCAATTCATTCCTCTTGACATGTGGAGTCGAAGTATTATTATTCAGTACAAATAAAAAAAAAACATGCAATAGCAAGGAACATTGGATTCTCCCTTAAAAAGCAGATTAAATGTTATGTTTTACTTCAGTTGAGAGGCAAAATGCAAGAACGGCAATGTGCAATCATGAACTCACTTTCCAAGTTGGCATTGTAGCTCGGGCACAGTGACAGGGGCTGAGGGATTTGCGATCAGCTCCAGATCGAACCAAAACTCTCCACACACCTCTGACTGGAATATGACGCTGAGAAAACACCAAAGATACACACACATACACACCACCCGCCATTAATCAACCACTCTGGTCCAACATGTACACGTAGAGATATTTTTTTCTCTCAATCCACTGCTGGATGAAGGTCTCCCCATGCCTGTGCGGGTCGTGGAGGTAATTTGACCATACTTCAGCATGCTGGTCAGTGTGGGTAGGTAAAGGCGATGAGCGGTAGACTTGGGAGCAGCATCTGTAGGATGCATGGTGTATGAATGTTCAACTTCTTTCCCACCGTACGTAGCCAACCGTGCTAAGCAGAAGTGCGTGGGATTGAATCGGAGGTGGTCGTCACTCATCCAAGCACTATCTACGTTCAACTTGTACGGTGATCACATCACATTCTAGGTGATTTTGTCATGGGAAATGAGTAGTATACAGCTTTAACCCGGCTCCATTGCGATACCAACTCCAATTAGCACAGTTGGCTACGTACGGCGCGAAATAAGTTCCACGTACATACATAGTGGGCAGTTATGGTGATTTAAGTAGAATTTTTTTCATGGTTATGTAATATGAAGATGCACCTGTGGGGTAACTGGGCCATAGTGATAGGCTCTGCCGGCCTCAGCCCGCAGCCAATGGGACGTCGAGTCAGGGGCGTAGCCTGTGGCTGCATGGCAACATCTGGAAGGTTCCAGGGGGCGAGGCTGATGATTGGCTGCGTGGCATCACGTGTGAGCCAGGTGTTATAAGGGGTGGGAAGAGACAGTTCCGGGCCAGTGTGGAGAGGGGCTGAGGAGGAACCACGTCTGCATCACCGGCACGCCAGCGACCACGTGGCGGGCCGGAGGCTGTCTCCGACACACACCGTCAACCAGCGGTGTGAGGGAGCGAGGCAGCGAGCGGACGCCACGCTCGGGGAACGGAGTAACGGGGAAAAGAGGAACCCAGCGTGTGAGGGAGCTGTGAATGAAGAACGAATAAAGAAAAGACAAAAGACATGGTCTCGTCTGGAGCGGATTTATTAGTTATATAAGTTGGGTAAGAAGAGAAAGGGAAGTGATGACATTAGGGTGTACGATATTGTCGACAAAGCAAGAGAAGTCAGACTCAGATGGCTTGGCCATGGAGTGTGGAATGAGGAAGGATTTACCATCCACACACCTTTAAATATGTAGATTAGAGGAAGGAGAGGAAACCAAAGATGAGATGGAAGACTAAAATAGACAGGGACACGAGAGTGAGTGGGGTGGCAATGAGCGAGGCATGGAGGCCTTACGCAGACAAGGTGCCGCGGTGGCGAGATGTTAACTACCTCGCCTGGAATACAGGAGGTCGTGCGTTCAATCCTTACTCCGACATCGATATATATATGGAGTTTGCATGTTCTCCCCGTGGTCGCGTGAATTTATCTCTGAGTCCTCCGGTTTTTCCCTCCACATTTAGAAACATGTGTTTAGATTATTTAATCGCTATAAATGTCCATGTAATAGTCCACTTCGTTCAGCTATCATTTATGGCCAGGTTGCTTCTGAAAAAAGCCATATAGCGCAGTGGGTCCTTACCTGTTCAAATAAAAATAGTTTAGTTTTAGAAGTGGCAGCAGGGACACATGGGCGGCCAACCCTATAGCAATCTGGGAACAGCGGCCGTAAAATGCTATGTACGTTGAACTTCTTTTGCACCGTACATAAGGTTGGGTAGGCGCTGTGTGAGCGGTGTGTGCATCTTCCGCAGCACCCATACCTTCCGCGAGAGGCCCCGATGCGGCTGGGCTGGTAAAGCAGACGGTAGACTCCCGATTCCAGAGCTGCGAGCACGATACGGGCGTCCCCGCTCAGTCCCACGCCCTCCAGCGCCACGTCCAGCGTGAGCCGTGTGTCGCACGGGTTCCTCACCGGCACGCTCACCTCCACTGTGCCCTGCCAACAGCGGTCGGTTGGGGCGCGCAAGCGGGGGGTACGTATGGGCCTTCATTTCGACCACGTTGGTGACCCGGGGAAATATTTCCGCACCCAGCCCATCGCATCGAATATTACCCCTCGCTTTTGGCTGTGCCTCCTAGTGGCCCAGAAAATATTTAATGAGAAATTAAGCCCTGGGTGTATGGACATGTACAGCCTTTTGTCAACCATGATCTGGAATTGTGTTGCTTATGTAAATGCACAGCCCCTTTGTCAATTGACTGCTGGATGTGGGCCTCTTCCTATGCTGCGTGGGTCGTGGAGTTTAATGATCATGCTGATCAGCGCGGGTCAGAGAAGGGTTGTGCCCAGAACTGGTTCAGATTTTACTTGCCACTGATGTTAGCCATAGCCAGGAATCAAACTCAAGTTGTAGCGCAATGTGACAACCACTGAAACATCTCTCCACATCATTTTAGAGCACTGTGGGTAAAAAAACCCGACTGACCTTATTTAATCTCTGCACAGAATGTATTATTATTAATAACAAATACTAAAAAAATACTTTGCTTGTATGTCGACAGAGGCACGCATTCTAATTTATTGGTTGATGAAGACATTATGCATGAGGATGCAACACATTTCAATTCAATGATCACGGAAATAACCGGTGTGGCTACGGAGTCGAACTGCTGACTCGTAGCATGTGAATGGATGCTTTTCTAGCACGACACCAAGATTGTTGGAGCGTTACATCAGCGGTAAGGGGAGGGAGGAGGCAATGATGGCCCACCTGCATCGCTGCATCTACGGTGACCGTTCGCTGAGGAGGTGGAGGCACGCTCTTGATTTCCAGCGTGAACCACACCCGACTGACGACTGCATGAACACACACAGCGCACGTGGCACTCATTGTACACATACACATCGATTCATCGATGAGCATCGATACCTAAGCGTACGTGAAATAAACATTGAATCACTTGATAATTGTTTTTTACCCTTCTATCTGGCAACAATACTGACACCTGTTTTACAAGGAGTCAGTTTTGTTGCCAGATAGAAGGCTAAAAAACCAATTATCATATTTTTACTGGCAAATGAGGTTCCAATGGCGATTGAATAACTTTTTAAGAATCGATGTTTTTCTCGAGCCATACATAGTGTGGGTAATAAGTTCACGTAACCACTGCACTTTGTGTCGGGATCAGCAGCATTCGTCCTATGCACAGACTCTTTACAAGTCAGACTAGCGCAGTTGGCTGCGTACGGTGCCAAAGAATTTCAACATACATAGGTACAAGTAAAAATGTATCATTATTATTAAATGTGGAATTTCCACCACCCGGCTCAGGGTTGTGAACAAGACATGAAGACCGCCTCAAAGTTCATACTGAGCTCAATATCACTGAATCTTTTGCAGCCTTTGGAGGCACTATCTTTCACCAAAATAAAAAAAGGAATGGATTACAAAATAAAATCGTGTGGCAGTAAACGCGAGCTTCGCTCTTACGCCCGTCAGCAACGTCCAGCTCGTGCTCCGCTTCAGCGAAAGGCTGCCTCTGATCGGCTGCCGCCTGCTCAGTCGCCTCCAGCTGCTTCGCCGCCTTTTCCTTTGCGTGGAAGTTCACGACGCCTACGCATCACACAGAAACAGCCATTAACCTTGTCCCTGTTCCGAAACGACTGCAAGTTGCAGGGTGGGTCCCGTTCACCGCTGAATCTCGGAACGTGCAAGCGGTTAGCGTTAATAACATTTACAATCTGAGTAATCAGTGCAGTGCCTTACACATCGAGTGATGTCAGAAAAATATTGCAAGGCTCCAATAATTATTATGAATGATACATAATACTTGCGTTAAGATACGTCGTTTTCGATTAATTGGAGTCGAAATGTTATATTTTTAAACTGAAGGCAATACCGGGTGGTGCTGGATGTATTTACCAGCGAAACGTCGTACTACTCAAATTGTAAATGTTGTGGATTTACACTCCAACACACCGGAGGGCTGAAGTAGTAACTAATTGGCGTGTTTCGATTTAAAGCTTTCGTGACTGCAGGGATGCATCTTCTTGGTTCTTTCGGTAAAGTCACGTACAAGGGAAATAATAAAACGATAAAAATTAAACAATAAAATTCTCACGACGTTTCGATTGCAACACAAGCAATCATCATCAGGTGTGGAAACTACAGCAAGACAATTTTGGCCTTTCTGAGCCTGTGCTCAGCAACCACGGGAAAAAGGGTGAAAACTTAAACAAAAATACGACCAACACTGGTGAGCACTCGCCGTAGAAGGTGCCTCGCTTCCACGGAGTGATGGTCAGGAGGTAGGGCCTGCTCTCCCCGGCTGGAACGTTCAGCGTGGGGGCGCCGCTCACAAACGGAACGTCGGACTCCACCTGTACCACACATGACCTTATTAGCACCATTGGCTACGCACGGTTCGAAAGAAGTTCAACATACATACATGTCAGTAGAGTAACGAAAAAGCCCCACTGGGTTCTCAAGACTCAGTGTTCCACTGACTGGGTAATGTGATAATTTTCACTGATGAGTTTTTCGCTTGGTGTGGGAGGAAACCATTGTTCCCAGAGACAAGCCACACATATGAGAGGGTGACACGCAACGCACCACGTGGTTAAGTTAAAGTATCAATGTTATATTGTACTGCCAGCATTTGGCCACCTCATAGCCCAAGTCTACAACACCAAACATTCTAAGGTAGTTTCTCACGTAAGTACAAACCAGGCTTAACCTTGCGCTTCCCATTCCAATGAAGGCATTTATACGTCATCAGTTTTTCTTCCGATTACATTTCGATGATGTACGTGTACATCATCAGAATGGAAGCCGAAGAAAAAAATATACTCTATCGGTACCGAGGCTAACCACAAGGCCACGCGGAAGAGCGTGTGGCGGTTCGGCGCCGGCTATCATAGAGTGCGGTCGTGTCGCTACAGTTTACTGCGGCGAGTACAATGTCTTAAAAAACAACAGTGCTACGCCTTTCTAAATAAAATTAATGCTGAGCCGCTCACGTGCGTTCCGAGATTCAGCCGTGAACGGGACACCCACCCTACAAGTTGCAGACGTCTCGGAACGGGAAAGGGTTAAGTGGAAAAATGTAACACTGAACACTGCGTGTACTTTGTTCCCCCCCCGCCCCTCCACCAAGCATCGAAGCACGTCGTCTGCTGAATGCGATGCTCACCGAGTAGCGTAGCCGGTGGTGAGTGTAGTTGGGCACGGAGATCTCCCTGCATGCAGTCTGCCCGGCCTGCGCGTGGATGACCACATGGGCAAGTGGAGACGGCCTCTCTCCTTTGCCATTCAGCACGAAAGTGTGCTCTGAGCTGTCTTGCTCGTTGTACAGCACCAACCGACCCTGGCGCGGAAGAACCCAACACGAGCGTAGTTCAGTTAAATGAAGCCGTGCGATCCGAAAAACACAAAAAAGCCTCTTATTTTGGTTTAACACTTTAACACGTAGGCTTTCATTCTAGATTTGAAGCTTTCGTGACTGCAAGGATTCATACTCTTAGTTCTTTCGGTAAAGTCACGTAGGTAAAAAATGAAATTAAACGTAGGTAAAAAATGAAATTAAAATTAATAATGAATTTTAATTTCATTTTTCATCTTCTTGGTTCTTTCGGTAAAGTCACGTAGAAGGGAAATAATAAAGTAATAAAAATAAAACATAATAAAATTATTCTCACGACGTTTCGGCCACAACGCAAGCAGCCATCCTCAGGTGAAGAACAGGATCTTTCGGAAAGACAGTTCTACGTGACTTTACCTGAAAGAACCAAGAAGATGAATCCCTGCAGTCACGAAAGCTTTAAATCGAAACGTAGGCTTTCGTGACCAATGTAATCCATAATGCAGGTTCTTTTGGGTTAAATCGCGTAAATATATAAATGTATTGTTAAACCCGCCACCACCCGACACAGCCAATTAGTAAGTTTTGTCACGTAAAACGAACATGCCAAATCGTTACTAGTACAGCAACATTTACTCAGATTGTAAATGTTGTGGATTTGCTCTCCAACACATCGGTGTGCTATACTAGTGACAAATTGGCATGTTCTGTTTACGTGACAAACCTTACTAATTGGCTGTGTTGGGTTGGGGCGGGTTTAACGACACATTTATATATTTACACAATCTAACCCGAAAAAGCTGCATTATGGCCTCTTGTTTTGTTGTAAATAAAGAAATGTCCATCGTGCCACGTAAAATAAACTAGCTTTCGTCTCATCAGTGACTGGACCTTCATGATTTAATATTATCCAACAGCATTCATGTACTCTAAGTGAACTAACATTGACTTATATTCTTGGTTCTTTCAGTAAAGTCACGTAGAAGGGAAATAATAAAATAATAAAAATATAAAGCAATAAAAATTATCACGACATTTCGATGATGATTGCTTGTGTTGCAGTCGAAACGTCGTGAGAATCACACCTGATGATGATTGCTTGTGTTGCAGTCGAAACGTCGTGATAATTTTTATTGTTTTCATATTTTTATTATTTTATTATTTCCCTTCTACGCGACTTTACCAAAAGATCCAAGTATATGAATCCCTGCAGTCACGAAAGCTTTAAATAAAAATGTAGCATTGACTTGTTTTGACATTCTGCATCTCATCAGCAGTGACGCTTTTTAAACAACATCATGGGCTAACAGAATTGTTTTCAAGTATTCTAGCTATATCAGTCTTGAAGACTTGGCAAGAGCCTTGCTGTCACATTAAGACAGTATTTTGAACTCGTATATGTTGGTGTTGCTGACCAACTGACACAGTTGAACTTTGTCACTCTGCACTCAATATGGGGAGTTATTTTTACGCAGTTTTATGGCTGTACACTAAATATTTAACTCTTAATTTGTCTTTAGCCTGCACATGCTTTAACAACTAAAGAGTATGATAGTTGGCTGGTAAGATTACCTAAAACAGGAAAGACATTTTATCACGCGCACTAAAAATACATATAAGATTACTGATGTCAGTTGTATCCAGGAATCAAATTCAGGTCATCTGGTAATCAAAGTGCAGTGCGCTAACCACTGTGCCAATACTCCTCCCTATTATATCATTATTAATTATATGATTAGGCTCTAATCTGTTAGTCTTGTCATTCAATTATACGGAAATTGCTTAAGCTCTTGACATAAGGAAGAAGCCATTAGATAACACATCACGGAAGTACAGCTTAACCATACCACGATCTCTCCCTCATGGCCAGGTCTGAAGAGCAGCGAGTAGGGTGCGGTCTCTCCGGCCAGCACCTGCAGGTACTGTGATCCATAGAAGCCCTTGCCCTCCACGTGGGCAGTGAGCAACCAGTCCTGCTGAGTTGCGTTGTGCTACACGGGGTCAGACGGCATGGATTAGGACTACGAAGGCATTTGACATCATACCCCAGGTCACTTTCCCACTGGACGAGGTCAGTCGCCTCCTCATGTATGTTGAACTTCTTTCACACCATACGTAGCCAACCGTGATACTAACTATGGTTATTTCCGCATGAACTACATAGTCAACCGATTAGCACGGTTGGCTACTTCCGATATGAGGAAGCCACTGGAGGAGCAATGCACTTTTAAATCTAAATTGAAAACTAATTTCTTTAGGACTGATTTTTGTGTTTAATTTATTGTCTTTCCCCCCCACACCTCCGATTCGCACGGTTGGCTATGTATGGTGCGAAAGAGGTTCAATATAAATACATATGCACGGTGCGAAATATGTTCAACACACATAAGTACATAGAACTTCAGTCCTCAATTCCTCGACCCATGTTGAGGACTCGGTCGACCAGACTGACTCTGTTGTCTCATCCACCACACCGTGTTCGACCAAGTAAAAACACATCGATGTATGCTTCTTCCCTTGCACTGATCCACTTGGGAATTCCCCTCCATCGACCCCTTTTGACAAGTTCTCATAACCTTGCTTGATTTAAGAAACTAGTGAACTCTGATCTATTGCAAAATCGAGAGCGCTGTTTGTTGCCGGTCACTTGGAACGTTGGGCCTTTGGGCCTGTGCTCAGCAACCGCGATAAAGAAAGGAAACTATTTGATAAACCTCACAGACAGGATCCTGCCATGGTGTAATGGTGGCTTGCAATCAAGAGGTCGCCAGTTCGATCACCCGGTGTGACAATTGAAACATGGGCTTAGTTCATTAAATTCCGATACCTCTGTCCACCCTGCAGTGTAAATAGGTACATCACAGTTAGTCGATCAGCAAGCAGATTGTGTATTGGGTGGGGTAAAGGCATCTGACCAACATAGAAGAGTAGGCCAAATACTCTGTGGACGAGCTCTCTAGAGCTCCCTCTAGCGGAGGCCCTTCCGCCAGCACAGCCGTGGCGTGAACAAACATTTGCGGGGACTGCACCGTTATACCACCTTTTTTACGGGCGGGCAGATAAGAGCGTGCTTACGATGGGTATGTCTTGGCTGAGGGCGTTGTGAGCGGCGGTGCAGAAGGTCAGGGTGGTGTGAGTCGGCTCGGGGGCGGAGAGGCCTTCCAGCCGATACACGCGAACGTCATCGGAGGAGCGCAGCACCACGCTGCAGGGGTAGCGTCCCGGGCTGGGTGGGGAGAACCTCACCGGCAGAGCCACCGTGTCGCAGTCTGATGGGACACGTGGGCGCGCGCGCACACACACAGACAATCGTGACACTTCACGCAGCCCAAAGAGACAGTGAAGTGTGTTTGAGAGACTATGGGGAGCATCGCGGAGAGCGCATGCATGGCAGTGGTGGACGCTCGGGTCGACTGTCTGCCACTATATAAACTAAACTAAAACTATTTTGTATTTTACCAAGTAGGGCCCATTGAGCTATTTATCTTTTTTTCAGAAGCAACATGGCCACAAATCATAGCCCAACGAGGTGGCTTATCACGTAAAATGTTTGCAGCCAAATACTATGAACGCACGTTTCTTAAATGTGGAAGGAAAAACCGGAGGACCCGGAGAAAAATCCACGCGATCACAGGGAGAACACGCAAACTCCAAATATACAAGCGTCAGGGTTGGGATCGAACCCACGCCTCTTGTATACCAGTGGCACTCGGTCACTCATGGCTCGGTGCCCTACCTCGGTGCCCTACCGCGTCGCGTATGCGATTGGAGCGCACCGAAAATGTTGCATGTGCACTATACATGAATCATTCGTCTGCCTTGAAATTCGATTCACTGTCAGGATTCTGAGTCGCTGCTCAGTTTAAGAATTGATTTACTCATTCCAAACGTGGTCAACAATTATCACTTCGAGTGGCTGCATAATTAACATGAACCGTGTCCATACATTGTGAGTGTAATAATGGAGCTTGATTAATCGATGCGTCGCTACATGGTCATTGTGCGCCAGACTCACCTTCTGATCCACTGGGAGGTGCAGGCATGCACAACTGATGCGGAACGGTGAAGTGTTGGGACAGGCTTGCTTCGACATGGAACTTCTTGCTTCGTGATCCTGAACCAGCGAAGTGCTTCTCAGAGTTGTCAGTCTGCAAAAGCAAGGAATGAGGCTGAGCAAATTGATGCTTCTATGCCCACTTGCCTCGGTGGAATATACTTGCATTTCATTTTTTTCTACATACAGCATGCTATTATGTATTCTGTAATAAAATCTTAATTTCTTTGTTAAAATCGAAATACCAGAGGTCAATCAAGGCACTTAACAGTTCAATGATGAATGATTACTTCCCTGATGATTTTAAACTAAATAAAATATATATATATACGTGAAATATAATTCTAATTTTGAACAAAATGTTATGTACAGAAATATTCACAAATTCTCCCTGTATGCATCCCTCAATATTAAGAGGTCATTATTGTCAATGGCATTTGTAGCTCCTGAACTTAGCCATCGTATTAATATATTTTCCCATATTCTGCAACAGGTGTGCACTTGGGTACGGCCAGGTTTGTTGTGTAACATTTTCCGTGATTCAGTTGAAAGAACGGGACAAGTTTATTAAATCCTCCATGCCTCTGTACACACAGCAGTATACTGTATGTGAGTACACCACGGTTGATCGGCAGATCACGTGTGGTGGGGTAAATTGTGGGTACTCCGACTCATTCCAAGACGCCTGTCCAGCGAGGAACAGCAGGCAAAAATACCCTCTACAGCAAGGGTCGGTCGGCAACCAAAAAACCAAGAACCACTTTTTTCGAATATCAGCAAAATTAAAACCTCAATATTTCAAGAGCTGCAATGCATGTTAATATGAGACGGTCCTGAGTAAATAACATCACGAAGCAGTCCTGAAGGAGCCGCATGTGGCTCCGGAGCCCATAGGTTGCCGACTCCTGCCCATGGCAAACTGGACTCTCATGGTCAGGGGTTGGCAACCAAAATAGCAAGAAGAGCCATTTTTTTAAAATAATTCGGTAAAAAATAAAAAAAAGATCAATATTTCAAGCGCTGCAATGCAGTCAGTCCTTAAAGAGCCGCAGGTTGCCGAGCCCTGCTCCAGAGGGACTCCTTAGGGCTCCCTTGAGTGGAGGCGGTTCCACAGCAGTGGCGTAAACGAGTAATTGCAGGGCTGCACCTTCACATTTCAAAAGGTGCGTTTCATAGCACGTCGCACGTACGCGCCGAGTCGGTGGCACCTGCAGCGCCAGCCTGGCGAACGCCGCCTTGACGCTGGCGCTTCGCAGGCTCTTGGTGAGGGTGCGGCGCTCCAGCTCAAGCTCCGACATGCGCAAGCCTCGCCTGCCAGGGCCAGGGCCTCGTCCCTTTGCGTGTTCACCCACGGCACTCGCAGGGCGACGGTCGCCTCTTGGCCCTCCGCACACCGCACGTACAGCACAGGGCTGCTCCCTTGACCTGTCAGCAGCGTGCACGCCGCGCCCCGCACGCGTACGGAAACACCGGGGGGGGGGGGGGGGGTTTGGTTAGCCAAGATCGATGCACTTATGGAGCACGCACGAATGGAGTTCGTAAGTGGGCTTGGGCTGCACTTGGAGCTAGCAAGGACGATGGCTGGTGGTAGCCAAAGGAGGGAACGTGCCTGAGAGGATGTCCACTGCTGAGAGGGGAACGATGAATCCAGCTCGCCCGGCAGAAGCTAAGATGGATTGTTACTTCGCAAAATCGTGAGAGATGGGTCATGATTATGGGCAGTGAAATTAATTCAAGAAGTTGAAGTATACCTCCGAACAACAACTAAGATACACCATAATAATTACCATGACCTACCAACACCGCTTTATTGTGGGCAGAATCCTAGACTCTAGAAGGGCAGGCAGCATAATCAATTGTTGTAATGTACATCAACCTCAAGTGACTTTGTGGTGCGGTGTGTATACATCCACACCGGGGAGACAAAGGCGGCCAGGCGTGGTGCTGGCCACCCACCTCCTCGTGTGTTGTGTTAGCCTGCAGAGGTGCTCGCAAACAGCACTTGCCCCAAGAGTCTGATAATGCTACCGAGGGACTCTTCGTCTTAATATATGTACACCATTCCGATCTTGGACAGGGATTCAGGGATAGTGGTGGTGCTGCTGATGTTGCTGAAGTGTGATGTAGGGTGTGGTGCATAAGCTGGCTTGTACACTCACCCGCCTGTGTGTTGCCGACATGGACATTAGGAGTGTCGGGCAGAACCATGGGAGGGAGAGCAGTGGGCAGACTAGAGCAGCCTTCGATCATGTACACAACATCCCCAATCTGTGTGTACAATCATAAATTCAGACTTAATCGACAGAAGTCCACATTTCATTCATCCAGTTGCACCACCCTTCACAGGAATTGCTTTTCAGCCTTGTAAAAAAGAATAAAAATAAAACATTATTTGATTTAAGATTTTTATTTATTATTTTATTATTTCCCTTCTACGTGACTTTACCGAAAGAACCAAGATGAATCCCTGCAGTCACGAAAGCTTTAAATCGAAAATTGTAAAAAAGAGTTTGTCTTTTTTTCTAAATTTAAATTTATTTCATGACGCGATGCCGACAGCCCAAATGTCCATTCAGAACTCTTCCCAAGCAGCCAGCGCATAACTTTGTCTTAGAAAATGGCCCGTAGAAGGTGATATCCTGGACCTATTTCTCAAGTAATTTCAAATGTCCTCTAATCCACACTAATAGCTCTGGACCTCCCCACATGACCTGCTGTGGAGAGGTTTGTCACACCGAACAAAGACGGCCACTCTATCGCACACTTTGAGATGCGTTTCTGCGGCCGTCTGGAATGCTCTTGCTTCCGATATTAGGACGCCACTGTAGCTAATCACTTGTAAAATCTAGACTGAAAACTAATTTCTGTAGAACTAATTTTTGTGTTTAGTTTGTTGTCCTTCCCCCGCACTCCCGGTTAGCATGGTTGGCTACGTACGGTGAGAAAGTAGTTCAACATACTTACATACATCGCAGTCAAAGCAACATTTTATTGCTTAATTCTCAAAGCTGGATTTTTTTTTTACAAATGTAAAAAAAACCCTTAGTTAACACGACAGTTGTTCCACCCGTCTTATTATTCTGCTTGTCAACTCATTTAGGGCTTTGACAAAACACAATTGATATGAATAGACAAACATGCACACTCATTGTTTTTTTCGGTAAAGTCACGTATGTAGAAATAAAATAAAATTGAAATAAATAAGATAAATTAAAAATACATCACGACGTTTCGAACGCAACACAAGCGCTCATCATCAGATGGAAATGGGGTAAAACACACAGCGAGGGAACACACAGGGGGACACCACATACATAGCAAACAGAGAACGGCAAACTGCATGGAGGCAAATACAGCAAGAAGATGGGAGACGAGAACTCAACAAACCTTAGAAACATCACGTGATGCAAACCAGTCGGCCAACAACACAGTAAGACACTAACCTGGTTGACCACGTATTTCAAAAGACTGCTAATTTTTTTCGTGTTTTTTGTGTTCATTTCTGCAGTCACGAAAGCTTCAATTCTAGACAAACATGATCTATCACTACATGTTGATCGTCACTCATTATAGCACCTGTGCATTGAGAAGCAGAAGGTAGCAGTGTCTTGGGCCGAGGCCAAATGGTAGAAAGGTGACCTCCAGGCTCGCCGTCTCTCCCACATCCAGCTGAACAAATTCCACCGGGCACAGGAACCACGGCAATGCCATGGCGCTTGACCCTGCCGATTGCCACACAACCTGCATTAGCTGTCATTCTCAACACAGGGCAGTGAGCGTCCATTTAGATTCAATCGTTCTCTCGCGAGGGATACATGAACAACTGTAGTTTCTTACGTAGGTGATTTACCAATTGTTCAAAATTAGCGTTTTGACAATTACACCAGATTTTAATTAGGCATTCATGCTAAAGCTGTCTCAGATTGCTTCGACATGTGTGGCTCGTTATGAGGTGTGGTTGCTGCTCGGTAATAGAGCAATAAAAAAGAACGTTGCATGCTACCAAAGGTGTGAAGATGTGGTGCTGATTAGACCAAGACTGAAACTGCATTGCTCCTGTGTACCATCCTAGGTCAGCACTTCCGTTTCCAGAGTGTTTAGAAACATCCCCGGTGTCGTTATAATTTGTTTTGGGGAAAAAAATTAGGCATTCATTAAGACACAATAAATGAATGGCCTTCTCTCGGTGATCATGTCCTCTTGTTATTGTAATGTTAACTATAAGCTTTGTGCCAACTGACTCAGTGAAATGTGCGTTGACCACTGGGTCGAGCCAGCTGAGAGTGAGGAGGTTGTGCGGTGAGCTGTGGGTGAAATGTTTACACTCGGGGGAATCCAAGGACGAACAAACGTAGTTTCTCCCTCCTGTCGGTGCTCCAAGACTCTGCAGACCCACACCATGGCTCTCTTCAGACTTGCTCATCCTGTAACCCATATGGCACTGCCCATGAACATCTTGCACACTTTTGCTGATGCAGTATTCCCTCATTATTCGCGAGGGATACGTTCCGGAGATGCTCGTGAACGCCAAATTTCGCGAATAACGATATTGGACTACGGATATTAGTCATGAATGAATATAACACAATTCATTTATAGATTGGCAATGATCTAATAGGTCCACTCTAACTTTAACCCTGTAGGCTTTAAGACCAAGGCATATTCATGACAATATATCTCAGAACTGGCAGTAAGGTTTCCACCTGTGAGCCACAAAAAAGCAAGACTGTTCTAATGGAATAAGGATATCGCACAATATCGGAAGAGGGGAGACCTTCACGCAAATACACTGTGTTTTGCGCAGTGAATTATTACGCAACCAACAATAACGTGCGACTTTTAACGTCCCGGAAAGAACTGCACATTTCGCAGTACAGACACTTAAAAAAAGAGGATCCTGGTAAAAAAAACATTATAGGTGGCAACCCCTAGCTTATAGAGTCTGAACATCTTCTTGGTTCTTTCGGTAAAGTCACCTGGTCTTCACCTGAGGACGGCTGCTTGCGTTGTGGCCGAAACGTCGTGAGAATTATTTAATAATGTTTTATTGTTATTATTTTATTATTTCCCTTCTACGTAACTTTACCGAAAGAACCAAGAAGATGAATCCCTGCAGTCACGAAAGCTTTAAATCGAAAAAGAAAAAGAGTCTGAACAGTTTCGTGGGAGGTGCACCCACCGTAGGCTTTCGCCACGAGGGTCCTTCTGGTGGCACGGCGAAGATAGCTGTGAGAGCTGAGAGGGCTGCAGTAGGCTGCTGGATTCGAAGACCACGACCCTGAAGAGAACGTGTGCCAAACATCATCATCACCATCATTGTCATCATCATCAGCCACTTTCGGTCCACTGTCAAACGAATGCTTCTCCAACAGACCTGAGGTCAATTATAATGGCAATTGCAAATAGATAATTCGCTACACTCCTGACCTAAATAACCACAGCAATGCACATTTTAACCTCATGGCAGGACCCTGGGGTTCCGAATAAACGGAAGTACAAAATCGTAATTAATTTCTTTATTTTTGGCGACTTCGTCCCACCGCGCACATAAACGCCGCGACCCGCCTGGCACGGATCATTCTGTTGTCATGTCGTCTAAGCGCATCGAGGACTGAATGCGCAGAAGAGCTGAACAAGCGAAACTTTGAATTAGCGCATCGTGTAGAGCTCGTCGAGAGGAATAGATCACCGTATCGTTCGCCTTCAACGGACTTAAAATGACGTCGCAACGCAGTTTATGCGAGAGCCGGGGGCTTATGGGACCCCAGGGGTCCCGCCATAAGGTTCATTTCACCAAAAGCAACATGCACCACACAGGCATTGCGATCCTACCTGAACCTTCCAGGCTCCGTGAATGGGTTGGTAACACTCAGCGTCATCATCTGCTGTTGGTAACATGGCCCCGCACACTTGGACACTCCCTGTTGAAATGAACCAACCGCAGCCATCACCAGCATGAAGAACATAACCTTAGTAAGTCAGACGAGGCTGTATAGGGACTTTTAGTTTTAAGTGAGATCTGGTGGCATATGTAATGCCGTGCGGGTCATAAGGGTTATTTGACCACACTTTACTATAGCCCTTTTTCAGAAGCGACCTGGCCACAAATGACAACTCAACGAAGTGGCTCATCACGTGGAATGTTATAGCATCCAAATACTCTAAATAAATGTTTCTACATGAGGATGGAAAACTGGAGGACCCAGAGAGAAATCTACACGACCACAGGGAGAACATGCAAACTCCAAATATACAGGCGGCAGGGTCGGGATTGAACCCACGACCTGCTGCATATCAGGCAAGGTAGTTAACACCTTGCCACCGCACGTATATATATCAATGAATAATATCAGACTGGAAAAAAACTCAATCTCGTCGTCATATTACAGTCATTGTACTAAAATCAGGTCTGTCCAGGTCGATGACCCAGAAAATATTTCCCCACCCGGCACACAATATCCAGTATACATCTCGCAATGGCCGTAGCTATTTAGTCACAGGCCAACTCCAGTCTTCCAGTGGACCCAGAAATTATTAAGTGGACATTTAAAGTCATGAATACAATGAATAATTTGTACTCAAACTGTGTATGTAAATTTAACACGTAGGCTTTCGCGACCAATATTATTCATGATCAACGTTTTTGGGTTTAAATCGCGTTATTTATTAATGTGTCGTAACCCTCCACCACCCGACACGGCCAATCAGTAAAAAAGTGTCACGTTGACAAAAGATTGGCCGTGTCGGGTGGTGGAGGGTTACGACACATTTATAAATAACGCGATCTAAACCCAAAAACGTTGATTACGTGTATGTAAATGTTACACAGGGCATCCTTAATCAGACGGATCGGTCAATTCGGACAAACCTCAGGTTCCAGGGTGGCAAGGCGAGCGTTCAGCGTGAACGCCAGCATGTCCACGCCCGCACCAGCCCGGGGCAGCATCAGCAACACGGCTGCTGCATCGTGCAAGAAGCGGCCACGGAATTCCACCGGCACATCCAGGCCTCCCCTGCTCATAGCGTCAGATGGTGACATCAAAGAAATAGTCAAGGGAATGCGCCCGAGATTGAGCAACGAAATCTGCTGGTGTGCAGGTGGCTCGTGAGAGATGATGACGGCTTGTGGAGGCCTTCATCCAGCAGTGGATCAAACTCAAACGTATTTTTTTTACATTATTTTCTTGTTTTGCATGTCAGCTTAGTAAATCCTGTTTGCCGCACCGTAAAATTGGCATTCATGCATAAATTGTTAATAACATTTTATTCTTAGACACACGATTCAATGCACTTATCGTGAGCTTATGAATTGGCTTTAATAGATAAATCGACGCATCACTATGAGTCTAGCGCGTATGTAGTTGTGCTTGCGAATTCACTTGGCAGGGAGGATGTAGTTTTCTCCTTTGGGGAATCTGAATTGCGAGGCATCTTCTCCGATGATTACGGCGCGGTACTGCAGAGGCTTGGAGCTTGGGTTGGACACCCTGATCTGCAGTCCAATGAGAGGCACAATTATCATTGCTCGCGCAAATCACACAAATATGACTCCTACTCATGGGCGGAGTTTGTGGGGGGCGGGGGAGGGGGCACGGACGTGGGGCCAACACCACCTCCAAACTGGACACCTTTATAAATACATTTTCAGTAGTTTACAATTAAGAGTAAAAATAACTAAATTAATTATATGCACTTGTGATTCCTAATGTGAGGGACAAAGCGATTTCCTGCCACCCCCCTCCCCCCAAATACAGAATTCAAACTCTGCCTATGCTCCCACTCAATCTGAATGTATCAGAACAATGAGACGTGGATTGCTCTGCGGTTTTCTCCAGGCGGTGTGTCCCACTGCTACTTTGAAATATTTCCGTAAATATTAGTTCATGGAGAATGGGTTTTAAGACATGCTGTTGGCAAACAAGGGAAGCCTTACACGCAAAAGAGACAAAGATCCCCGCCCGTGTCGCCAGCACAGGCTGTTATCGAAGGTGCTGTTAGCGAGCCCTATAATGTGGCTGGGATGTCTCAAAATATTGAGCTCGAGAAAATTGTGACCAATTCTCGGCCAGGACTTTACAACTACACAAGCATAGACATGTGGCTTAATCTATATTTGGGTTTGCATATTTGTGTGAGTTTACATGTTTGCTGTAGACCGAAGTTGACTTCTGCACAAAATGGAACTTATTTTATTGACCTTGGAGGGTCGAAGAGCTAAGTCAAGCCCCTACTAGGTTTGTGAACTAGCAACCTTCCGATTGCGATTTTACATATTTCAGCTTTTATGCTTGTGGTGATGTACAGACTGACCTGCCGGGTGACTGGGGCATGCAGTGCTGCTGGAAAGTTCACAGAGCGGTGTGGGGAGTAGTGAGGCAGAGCCCTGAACAGCTCCACGCACACAATGAGCATCTGCACGGGATTTGGGTCCGTAATCTCTATGGCCTGGTGGCACGAGAGATATAAACACACGCACGTAAATATCACGAAGGCAACATACCACAGAACAACATCATTTTAAATGTTACACTATTCTAACGGGAATATTACACTTCGCTTGTTTAAAAAAAAAACATTGTACAAATGTTATTTACTATGACTAGACTTTCCCCAATGAGCCTATTGTTGCATCGGAGGATTTCAGCAGATGGCGGCAGCTTGGGGAACTCTTCATTCGCTGGATAAAGAAGTTCTTGCCATCGCCATAAATGTTGTCTAAAATTAGATTTTCCTTTTTGTTATCGACGAATGTGTTTTTTTTGTTAATTGTAACATTAGCAATGCGTTTGCATACACTTTGCGTGAATGGAAAACATTCATTCTCACACGCGGGAATCGACGCATGATCTTTAACAAATCAATATCAATAGTATTCAACAAATTCATATTATTCTTGGTTCTTTCGGTAAAGTCACGTAGAAGGGAAAAATAATAATAATATAAATATAACAAAATATAAAAATATAAAAAATAAACATTTCATATTATTATTCAACAAACCGATGCACCATTACACCGCTAGTAGAGGCTGCACAACAGCAAAATAACATTGCCATGCATCGTTTAGTCAGTCAATGTGATGTGGCGTGTGTGTGTAAACCTGTAATGTCGAGTGCCAGGCCCGTGACGTGCAGGGCAGACACGAGCACCAGGGCATTGTGCAGGTACTGCTCAGGGCTGCAGGGATGAGGCTGCAGGCGGCTTAAGTGGCTCGGTATCTATCGATGGGCACAAACAAGCAAGTTACCGTTCAATCTAGATTTGAAGTTTTCGTGACTGCAGGGAATCCATACTCTTTGGTTATTTCGGTAAAGTCACGTAGGTAGAAAATAAAATAAATTAAATCACGACGTTTCGGGCGCAACACAAGCAATCATCATCAGGTGGTTTACTTTATACCTACGTGACTTTACCGAAATAACCAAAGAGTATCAAGTTACCGTTGTCTCCAATGTAAAACAATCATCATCACGATCCATGGGGACATAGCCCGTAGGTGTCCACTGCACATTTCGGCATTTGTGTCCACTCTTCTCTGCCTTGTGTACATGAACCCACAATGTAATGAGCAGCGATCTAATAATGTTAAGATTTGTATCACATCGATGTGGGTGTGTGTCCAACCAGATAGGGGCAGTAGGAGGCAAGCACCGCTGCGATCACCAGCCCAGTCCATCAAGTCGTAGTCAAAGTTCACCACCCACCGTGCAGACGGGGGGTCATCTGAGGACAGAGGGGATTGAGGGGCATCACAGCAACAAGGATATCATCACTCAGACTCCACAGCTCTTAGAGCAGGGCTGGGGAACCTTTTCCTTACGAACATGACTTTGAAATACCATGAGCTGAGATTCACATTAAACACACACCTCAGTCAATTATGCCACTGCAAGAGGCCCTTGGTGGTGGTAATTGGAGGCGGCCAGTGCAGAGAAATGTGTTGTTGTACTGTTCTTATATGCTCCCACATCTACACTACCTGCCTTCACAAAAACACACCGAACGGCATGGCAAAGTGCGGTGAAACAACCCACATTACCCACACATCATGGGGAGGCCTTTGTCCCTCAGTAGGATGACAAAGGGGCAGTAAGACCTATTCACTTACTGAACTGGGGAAGGTCCCATTCTTTTGCTTACCTGGAGAGCAGATGAGCATGCGCGATGCATGGTAGTGGTGGTTTAGCCAGGACAAGAGCAACCTCTCGCTGGAAGAATAAAAATTGCTACTCAAAGGTGCCACCGCCAGGAGCGGTGGCTGAGCCATTGTACGGTTTTCTGTCGGTAGTGCTTTGCTGACCGCTTCAGTCGTTACACGCGACAGCACAAACACCTGTTCACCCGCACAAGCACATACACAACCACACACCCACACAGATTCCTCTATTAAATCGACATTGGGAAGTCGAGGGAAGTGCTGTGAAGATAAGAATTTGTATTTATAGGGTGCTTGAAAAACGTCAGCAACTCAAAGCGTCCAACATTAAATCTCATCCTAATCATTTTAGTGCCCTGCTGTAGTTTAGCCAAGACGATTGCTGGTGGCAGATGTCCCAATGTGGCACAAGGTGCACGCAGCACCGGCCTACAAGTGGGCATTAGTTTTCCAGTAGGGGGCGATGTTGCTCTGTGATTTTCCGCAATTAAATACTTTGTGTAACTTTTCAAATTTGGACCCTGACGCTGGCAATCATGGCCCTTTCTACCTTCTACTGTGAAGCAGCCAACGCATTTTTATGATAAATGCACCCGCAGTATTAACCAGGGCAACAGCTGGGCTCAGACCACAAACGTTAATTTTACTAATTTGTCTTATTGTCTTTAGTGCCACTTATCCACACTACCATGTGCAATAGCTTGGCACGTGATGCGAGTCCTGCTTCAAAATGATACATTATATGGGCATAGTCCAGCACCAGTGATGATTCTCAGTGGTCTCCCAGCTAGTTGTCTGCTGAAGGAGCAGAACAAGTCTGGCTCATGTGTTACTGTTTTGAGGTGATCAATGCATACGGTACCCAAGCATGCCCAACAACTCACCTTAAAAATCTGCAGGAGAACGTCGGTCCATGCACGCTCGCTCACATTCTCAAAGTCGCTCTCCGCCAACTCGGTGGCCGTGGAACCGAACTCGCTTTCTTCATTTTCAATTCCACATTTCCCGTTTTCCTTCTGTTGACAGAAATGGGATCATTTTCATAAAATAGGCCAATCGAACTTTGTCAATTACACTTTTACTTACCAAACAGCACGGGTGATGTAGTGGTCACTAAAATAGCCGAAGATTATTTTGTTCTCAGGTGTGTTGTCACTTCGTGCATTCGCAATGGAATGATGCTGCAAGCACATCGTACCAGCAGACTGTGCCAGCAGTAGTAGTCATCCATGTGAAGTAGATGCTCAGGCTTCACATTTGGCAAACACGCTCCCTGACCCCTGTACAACACAGAGCACATTATTCGCGTGAAATGTATTTAAATCCTTTATATTAAGTTCACTTGCTTGCGCGCTTACGACCGTGCAAATCTTTCGGTCGTTTTTTAACCCACTTCCCGTGATCCAAGCGAGCTGACATATTGCACACAGACTCGTTGTGCGTGACAATTTATTGTCGTGAAATTTTTTTTCCAAAATTTGACACTTTTTAGGAAAAAATAAATTATATTTAATTACCAATTGCTTAATGGTGGCAGGCAATCATCTGACCCATAGGTTGCAGCCAGAGGACGAGAGGACTCTAGCCGCCACACATATAAAGGATTTATAGTGAAAAACTTTGTTTTTACGGGTTAATTTTTTTAAGATATCAGGTTTTATTAGTCTACTTTAGTTTACAGCTGTTTATCCATCCACTACTGGACGAAGGCCTCAACACGCCGTGTCAGTCACGGGGGTTGTTTGACCATACTTCACTACTCTGGTTAGTACCGGTCTGGTTCAGGACTGCTACAGATATCACTCACCACTGATGCTAACCGTGACCGCAAATCAAACTCAGGTCACCGGCTTCAGAGCGCACCTTTGCAAATCACTACACTCATGCTCTACCCCTGAAATCAATAACAGTATTTGACTGCTGGAAATTTCCACCTCATAAGCCACTTCGCTGAGTTATCATTTGTGGCCAGGTCGCTTCAGGGCCTTACCTGGTAGGATAAAATATTGTTTAGTTTTATTCGTATATATGTTTTTAAAGTGATCTGTTTACCTTTCCTACATTTTGCAGTCCTATCGTGTTTTCATATTGCTTGAAAAAGATCCCTGTAGCTCATCGGATTCCTCAAGTATAAACTAAACATTCTGATTCTGAATACCCTCATACAAACTCAGCAGGGAAGACACAGCGAACTCCGCCGGCACGGACGCCGATTTCCGGCGGCCCATCACCTGAGAAACTCGAGCAGCGTCGCGTGCTGCCAGTGCAGCTGCACGGCCCTGTCCGCGACGTCCGCTGGCACCGACTGGCTGACGGGCACGCCGGGCAGTGCCCGCCCACACAGGTGCGCCAGCATGTCGTAGAGCGTACGGCCGCCCTTACGCAGCACCCACGGCGTGGCCGGGGCGGTGGCCCTCGCTGGCGCGGAGGGCGGCCGGGAGCTCTGCTGGCGGCTACGGGGCCGAGGGGAGCCGTAGGCGCTGCGGGGCCCGGTGCCGGGCGGCGGGGCGCCAGCGAGGCCCTTGCGGCCACCGCCGACACCGCCTCTTTTGCGATCAGATGAGGAGACTAATATTTTTCCGATGGCGCTGTCAGAGAAATATGCAATGAGGTGTTGTTTTATTACAGTTACGACTACTAACAATGGTAAAAATGTAACCGTGCAGAAGTGAACATGCTTTGATAAATGGTTGCGTTAATTACACACCAAACTGAATGGTTATAAGTAGATTTTGACGTGTGCAGATTTGTATCTTTGATTAAATGAGAAACGGGGATGTAATAATCATCTCCATCATCACTCCTCAGCCAACGATTTACAGGCGTTCAAATACAATTCTGCTTTCCCCATCGTTTCTCCGCATTCTATTTGTGGGGTAAGTAAAAGAGCATCACATTGCACTGTGTGACAACCCCCATTGCTTGCGGGGATCACCTGCGCAATTGCTGCGGTCCAGAGAGGTGGTTGGTTCCGCCAGGCCACCCGAAGCGGCTGAACCAGCGGGTCACGGCAGCCTGGGCCCGTCGGTAAAAGGAGATATCGTCGATGCACTGAGACTCCGCAAAGGGAGGAGCCTGCCTGGCTCCTGGCCCTCGCTGTTGGCCACGCTGACGGACGTCAGGTCTGTTGAGTGACAGCGAATCATCGATATTGCAAGATTTGAAGCTTTCGTGACTGCAAGGATTCATATTCTTAGGTTTTTTCGGTAAAGTCACGTAGGTAAAAAATTTAAATTGATAAAAGTATTAATTAAAGTCTCACGAACAGACAAATTCAGTCTCTTGCAATATCCTATTCTTAGGTTTTTTTCGGTAAAGTCACGTAGGTAAAAAATGTAAATTAAATTAATAAATACTTTCATTAATTTTTTATTTTATCTTGCAATATCCTATTCTTAGGTTTTTTCGGTAAAGTCACGTAGATAAAAAATTAAAATTAATAAAGGTATTTATTAATTAAAATTAATAAAAATATTTATTAATTTAATTTAAATTTTTTACCTACGTGACTTTACCGAAAAAACCTAGAATAGGATATTGCAAAAAAATAAAATTAAATTAATAAATGCTTTTATTAATTTAATTTAAATTTTTTACCTACGTGACTTTACCGAAAAAACCTAAGAATAGGATATTGCAAGAGACTAAATTTGTCTGTTTGTGAGGCAGTCCGCTGTTAGTCGCAGTGCGAACTAGAGTAACGTTCTTTACACAATGTAGAGTAAGGGCGCATTTTGACCAGAAAGAAGTGCAAGCCTATGGTACTGATGATAAGCTCTGGATAACTTATGAGCTTTGTTCGAGGTTAAAAAAAAAAAACGAGAATGAACATTTTCAGCACACCACTCTTATTCGTTTTTACAAATGTATACCTCTCTTCTGATCCCCTCAAATGTTTTCAGTGGAGAATTGGAAATACTTTCGTAGAATGAAGAAAAATGCAGTTAATATGCGATAGGACACACTGAATATTTGGGGAGAATTTTAGCTGGTGAAATATGATGGGCATTTGCCGGTCCTACATAAAACGGTGCATTTGGACATCCAGGAGGAGTTACTGAAACTGACGCCTGGTCGTCTGCTACAAATAAACATGAAAGATCATTTGATATCACGCTGTTAAAACTGGCTAAGAGCTGGGGCGAAAGAGACATGTGGACCAGACAAAATAAAAAAATAGATGGAACAATTTAAATTACTCAATTCTGCATTGACGGATGTTGCTTTACCTGTCAGTGAGTTGTAGATCGTGCTGGTGGGGCAGGAGAAGTGGGAGCTGGATGAGGAGACATTCGAGTCTTGCTGAGCAGACACGCAGCTCCTCAGCATGGCTGCCCGCTCCCCTCCCTCCACTGCGAAGACAAAGATCCCCCATATAGCCTTTATCAGACTGTTAGGGCAAGTGCTGTTAGCGAGCACCGATGAAGGCCGGCACGGTACACGGGGGGGGGTTGGGTGGCCAGCACCACGCCCTGGCCACCTTTGTTTCCTCAGTAGCAAGTTTTTTTTTACACATCACACTAAGCACTCATTTGAGGCTGCACACACGAAGACAAACACAAAGACAAGATCAAATACTATTTGTGAAGCCTACATAGATTGGAAGTGGTAGAGCAGTAGCATAGTAGTCAGAGCACTGCGCTCTGAACCTGGTAGACTGAGCTCAATTTCCACCCACCACTAATATCTAACATCAGTGCCCAGTAATATATGAACTGGTCCTCGGCCCTGACCCACTTCATCGACCTGCACTGTCCAGCACGGTAAAGTGTGGTGCAAAGCTCCGATGATTCGACCCGGTGGAGATGGGCCGTCATTCAGCATTGCATTGACAAAGGGCTCTACGTTATTTTACAAATTGTTGGGGCAAGTGCATTAAGCCATCACCTACTAAGGCTGACATGGTACGCAATGGGGTAGTGTGGCTAGTACTGCTCCGACCCCCTTTGTCTGTCTCCCCATTGCTGCTGTGTACACACCATAACATATCAGGCCAAGCCAACCTGGGAAGGCCGAGACCCATCGCTGACAACACTCGCCACTAATGTTGGCGTTAGCTAGGAGTCCATCTCAAGTCTCTAGGTTTGTAGTGTATCATGCTAACCAAGGTAACAGCACTTCCCTAACAAATCAAGTTCAAGTTCATTTATTAGGTATAGCCCTGTGAGCCATTCGGCTCTTGAATCGGGTGCAACCGCAACAAACAAAAAACAAAAACATGAACAAAAAACATCTTAAAGTGAATATGTGACTAAGTGCAAACAGAAAATCCAAGAAAAGACAGCAAAATATTGCAGAAAAAAAGCACCGTACACCAACGCTGTGTGCAAAAATCCCAGTGGGATGCAAGTCAAACAACAACAACAACCACAAGACAACTTAGATTAAGGCCATCAGTCTAACTCTGTACTACAACAAACAAACATGGCTAAACCAATACACTTTTCGAAATCACCAAAATAAAGCCATGAAAGCAATGAAAAATCAATCATAGGAACTGTGACGGAATTTTCACGAGGCGTCGTGAGTCTTACTAGGTCTACTCGGCACAAACACGCTTGGATTGCGATTACACCGTTGGCACATTGCTTGCACCTTTCATTTCACATAATATGACCAAGATTGTCCTCACCTTCTTCCAGCACCACGTGATGATTGTTGCGATGAAGGGCCAGGAATGGGTAGAGAGTCAGCAGACAGTTGTCAGCACATACCGCTACTGGAAGCTCAAACCTGTAAAGTGGCACACGAACACGCTGAAGATACACCCACTCCCAAAAGCAGCATTCAAATGGTGGCTAATACGGAAAGACATGCATGATGGGGGTGACCATAAGGGACACTCATAAATGTCAGTAGTCCGTGAGTTCACCAATAGGCCAGTTTTCATGGAGTGAATGGTTTAATAATCCCTGCTGCTTAGCAAGTCATACATTGAATTGACAAAGTAAATACAAAACAAAATCTAAATGTTTTCATGCGGAAACAGGAGATTAGGTTGTACTCGATTCTGTTTACAAACATTGGGCAGTTGTGGTAATTCCTAATTTGAGGGTCAGCCTCCTCATAGGACAACCAGTTGATCTTCTACAAAGTGGTATTCTATTTGAATCATTTGATTATTTTGAAAGCCTACATATAACATTGGTGTTCCATTTATCAAGCGCAGAGGGATGATGGTCTACGTCAATCCTTGCTAAGGATTTGGGCTGAAGAAAGTTCAGCAATGGAACATGAGATCACAGTAAAGGATTGCGATTTGACCCTCGCATATTGTCTCTGAAACAGCATTCTTGTCTAAATGCGTTTAGGCCTCCCACCTAGTTCAAGGACACTGAACAAAATGAGTGAATGAAGTGCATCCACCGAAATTCACCTTCTTCCCAACGAGTCGTGGAACACAATGGTGGTAGACAGGCTGAGGGGCTTGGGGCATTGGAAGACCAGGCGGCAGGGCAATGGGGAACCAGGCTGCCCGTACTCAGAGGGGCCCAACTTTCGTCCAGAGGGGAAGCTTATGAAGAAGGGAGTCAACTTCTCCCCAAGCTCTCCTTCCACCTCTGGCAGATCCACATCCAGCGTAACCCAGCTGCACACAGCATATGGGAGAAATTTTTAATATCCAGTACCAATTAGATTGTCTCTGTTATATTTGATTTAAAGCTTTCGTGACTGCAGGGATTCATATTCTTGGTTCTTTTGGTAAAGTCACGTAAAAGGGAAATAATAATATTATTAGAATACTATTATTTCCCTTCTACGTGACTTTCCCTTCTACTTTACCGAAAGAACCAAGAATATGTCCCTGTTATGTTTTCGGGTTGTACCGTGTGTTGTTCAGTATTTAGTACGGTTGGCACCTCGAACAAGCCTCGTAGCATTTGAAGTTCGACGTGTATTGTGCACCCACCTGGTATTATGTCTGCTGACTATGCAAAACTCAGCCGACACCTCCGTGTCCAGAGGCGTAGGTCCCAGAGTGATGGAGTTCGGGTGAAACGTGAGGGTCGGGGTGGGGAGGACGCCTTTCAGCGAGATGACACGGTATGGCTCGCTGTCGTTCCTCACGCCCTCGCCGGATACCAGCAGAGGGATGCGGGCGTGGAACGTGCCAGCTGATCCTACGCGGCCAAGGGAGGGAGAGAGAGAGAGAGAGAGCCACATAGCCCCACTTGCTGATCCATGCACTTTCAAGTCGAGTTTCAGGTTTATTTTGTTTCACGAGGTGAGAACCCAAGAGACCAGAATTGATCTAATTTCCAAGAGTGTGCTAGGTCACCAATATTAAACAATCTGAACATATTAAATAGAGTACAGCAACGTTACGAATAGAAATACGTGCAAAAAACACCTTTGTTCGAAATTAAAATGTAAAATATTGCACAGACATTAGTCACTGTTACGTAATAAATGATCTGTTGCGTAAGTTGGCTCGGGAAGATTATTATTCGACTGATGTGTGAACACCCACTTGGACAGAAGCAGAAGGTGATGGAGACATTTTCATTCAGACCCAGGGAGCCTTCACTCTGGAAAACCTTAAACGAATCCTCACTGAGTGTCCTCAGGTCAAACTTCCATTGCAGAGACGTGTTGCTAAGGTTCTGGATCTGTACGCTCTGTGGCAAAATAAACGCAGGAATGACTGCGTGTCAAACAGTGCACATCCACTTGTACAGAGTGGTAAAGTGTTAATTATATTGGGTGCACGAGATACACGGCATTGGCAATCACGTGGAGGCATTAATGTTTGTACAATTTGATTGTTGTTAATTTCAAAGTTGGGATTTAGTTTTTAACAGCAGCACTAAATTACCTACTTTTGAAAGTGTACGTGCAGCAGCACGTGAAGAAGGGAAACAGATGGACAATTATATTCTTTGGGTCTTTCGGTAAAGTCACGTAGAACGAAAAAAATAACAAAAAACTACGACGTTTCGATTGCTTGTGTTGCGATCGAAACGTCGTGGTTTTTTGTAAAAAAAATTGCTTTACGTGACTTTACCGAAAGACCCAAAGAATATGAATTCCTGCAGTCACGAAAGCTTTAAGTCAAGATGGAAATTGCCAAAAACGTCACCCATGAGATATTTTTTCCTTTAAAGGCGGTGCTGTTGACAAATGTGTCGAGTTTCGTGTTGATTGTACTTCTGGAAGTGTTGTCACTGGGTCTATAAAGTTCACTTTACAGAAGATGATGCTTTTTAGTAATGTCATATATATAATTGCGTAGTTTTGTGAATCGAATTATTTACGCAGTAATACATGTTTGTAGTCGGGATGTGTTCCGGATTTTTATATTTATCAGACAAGATCCAAAAATCGGGCCTAGATACCAAATTTCGGATGATCCAAATAGATATTTTGTCACTTCTGCGCTTTTCCCACCAAATGTTGTGACACTCAGCATCAAGTGACATCGCTTTTGTTAACATGAAGATACATTATATTATTATATCTGAACATGTGAAAAGGATATGAAATTGTCCTTAACTATTGTAAAATATAAAAAAATTTCACCTGGAAACTCATCTTTCTTTTCTAAAGTGGATGTAGCATATTATATATTGTATTGTATTATGTGTTTATACACTATGGAAAAAGTAAACTGCATTATACACTGCAATTTGTATTCCCTTCAGGAAGGTAGATTGTGTATCAATTTAAAGCTTTCGTGACTGCAGGGATTCATCTTCTTGGTTCTTTCGGTAAAGTCACGCAGAAGGGAAATAATAAAATAATAAAAATTCAACATAATAAAATTAAATTTCACGACGTTTCGGCCAAAATGCAAGCAGCCGTCCTCAGGTGAAGAACAGAGCTGTTCGGATGCTGTTTTTCTGACAGCCCTGTTCTTCACCTGAGGACGGCTGCTTGCGTTGTGGCCGAAACGTCGTGAGAATTTTATTTTATTAGGTTTTATTTTTATTATTTTATTATGTCCCTTCTACGTCACTTTACCGAAAGAACCAAGAAGATGAAAGTAGATTGTGTAGTTTAGCATTTGTGTTTTAAGGCTATGTGGAGCTACATCATTTTGTATTGTGCAGAAAGTACCTGAATGGTAAGAGACTCGGGAGACACGCCGAGCCCGATGTAGTTGGATGGCAAATAAAACTCCAGGCTGCTCTCAGATATCAGCAACAGTGGCCGCAGAGCTAAAAGCAGGCCCACAAAACACAATGCATTACCGGCAACGCTTCAGCACGTGTCCAAACTCACATGTTCATATGATGAATGTGCAACCAGCATGTATGTATGTATGTTGAACTTCTTTCACACCGTAAGTAGCCCACGTGCTAATGATATGAATGTGATTTGTAATAGAATAACAGGTACATGTACAACCGCTTTTTTCAATACACTGCTCGTTGAGGACCTCACCATAATGTGTAGGTCGTGTAGTTTATTTGAGCATACTTCAATGTGCCTAGTCAGTGCAGCCTATCCCAACTCACGATGCAGCAAATTCCATTGCTGTACTGTACTTCTAAGCTCCCTCCAATCTATGTTCACCATCTTCACCAACCCACACTGACCAGCATTTTGACCCCACAACCTCACCCAGCAGTGAATTGACCAATGGCTGTATATGTACATTATTGGCGTATTACTCTAATTAGTACTCTTAGGTTTTTTCAGTAAAGTCACATAGGTAAAAAATTAATAATAACGTGATTTTACCGAAAAAAAAAACCTAAGAGTATGAATCCTTGCAGTCACGAAAGCTTCAAATCGAGAATTAATACTCTAATTAGTATTGCAATCATTATTGCCCGCACCTCCGATTTAGCTACGTACGGTGCGAAAGAAGTCAAACATACGTACAGCCTGCAAACCACCTCTACGATCACGACGCTCTTAATAGCCGTACCAATAGCATGGACCTTGCTCGCCGGGGTGATGGGATCGCACGACGCAGGGCGCGGGGTGCGGATGTGCTGGGTGGAGGGGCTGGGGGGCACGGTGCTTGGTGCGGGCGAGGGAGCCACCAAGCCGTTCAGATGCATGGGGAGGCGGAAGTCATAAGCCGCCACCTGTAGCAGAGGCAATAGACGGGGGAGGCCCTCGCGTAAGACACAGTGCCACGCCATTCTCAAACAAACATTGGTGCTTATATCCATCAGTAGTATTGACCCAGTGATGACTACATTCAATAAAACACAAGGAAACTAAAATTAAATGTGTGTTTACACATCTAAACGCTCATTCATTGGCCGATAAAACCTTAATTTATAGAGGACCGCAGAGCTTGGAGGGGGGGGGGGGAAATGTCGTGCCGGCTCACTGCCCAGCAGTGTTTCTCGCTTGCCTGTGGTTCCTCGTGCCTCCGACTCATTCTCTCTCTTTGAGAGTGAGTTGGCCGCTACAGTGGTGAGATGTTAATTATCTCGCCTGGTATATTGTGGGTTGGATCCCAACCCCGGGGCCTGTATATTTGTAGTTTGTGTGTTCTCCCTTTAGTCGCGTGGATTTTTCTCCAGGTCCTCCGGTTTTTCCCTCCACATTAAAAACATGAGTTTAGAGTACAGTAAAACCTTGGTTTGCGAGTAACTTGGTCTGTGAGTGTTTTCCAAGACGAGCAAAATGTTTAAATAAATATTAATTTGATAAACGAGCGAGGTCTTGCAATACGAGTAGTACGTGCATACGCTTTGTCTGCCGAGCGTCACGTGATCACAACTGATATACGAGTGCTTTGATATACGACGAGTGCTTTGGATTACAAACACGTTTCCGGAACGAATTACTCGCAATCCAAGGTTTTACTGTATTTGGTTGATATAAATTTCCATTAATGAGCTACTTCATTGAACTATCATTTGTGACCAGGTCGTTTCTGAAAAAGAGCTGTATAGCTCAGTGGGTCTTACCTGGTAAAATAAAAAAAAATGTTTAGTAGAGTTGAAATTATTATTATTATTAAAAGAAAGACAATAAGTATAGGAATAAGTCTTTAAACATTTTTTCATCGCAATTTAGAATACTGAATAATTGTTTTGTGGCATTTGAAAAAAGTAGTAGTGCTTAAGAGTTTTGAGGGGCTTTTAGAGCTTTCCAATTGTATGCATGGCCTTTCTTAAGTTCATCTGATTCCCTCTCGCATGCCAAACGCTCATTAATGGGATTAGCCAAACATCCTCATCAGGGACCCTCCTTAAAAAGAGACTTGAGACTCAGGGAGACTTTATTGGGTAAATAATGGGCATTATCACGAAACATCTACAATGTACACTCTATGTAAAAACACAAAGTAAATGTACTACAATATGATAGAATAACATTAAAGAATTTCAAATACGTATCATAAATGCCAAACAGTATCACAATATGAAACATAACCTGCCCAGTACAAAACCTGGACCATCTCAGTTTGAGAAATGAATGCTGTTTGGATGCTTGATTGTGAGATTATGATAAATGTGCCAAGCGTATGAGTCTCACAATGATCGGAATGCACGGCACCTGAGCGTAAGGCCAGCCCTGGAGGAAGTCTGTAAACGGTCAGGCTTCCTTCCTTGTGCTCTATTTATTTTCCTTATGACCCTATGCACGTGTCTCACGTAGCTGTTTGTATTTTGAGATACATTTTTGGAAGTGACAAACAAAGACAAAGACCCCCACCTTAACAGACTGTTGTGGCAAGTGCTGTTAGCGAGAAACCTATGAAGGCCGGCACGGCACACGAGGGGGTGGTTGGCCAGTACCACGCCCGGTCGCTTTTGTCTCGCAAGTGGCGATATTTACACACCGCAACAGGTACTCATTTGAGGCTGATTCGGTGAGGAAAGGCCCAGGACCGGTTTAGATGATCGTCACTGTTGATGGCCGTGAGCTCCCCAGGAGCGATAGGCACATTTAGAAATGCAATGATGATGCTGTGAATGGTACCTCTGTTGGTGTGAAGTTCAGAGAGCAGCCAACAGTCTGTCCAGCATCGACTTCAAGCGAGTACAGCCCTGGAATATCTTCTTTCAGACACGCTTCAAACAGAACCGTACCATTGAAATTACAAACGTTGAAATGTTATTCTGTTTCTATAACCATGGTGTGTTCTATTTATATAAGAATGCCAAGCTCGGAAGGCTACTACACATTTCTCATTCACAGCTCAGCTCACTTCATTGTAAACGGAGCACGTGTCTTCCCTTGTGATTCTTGAACTGGTGAAATGTGTGGAAGTCAGTGGGAGTCAGGTCTGGTGAGCATGACATTTCTACAACTTTCTCTGTATTTTAATCTTTAACATTTACGTTGACTTTAATTTTTTTTCATGTTTGCAGTTATCGCACAAGCAACAAAAATGTGAAACGTGTTTAACTTGACATACGTAATCTCCTGCTATAAAACGTGATAATCGTTAAAAAGGCTAGACGTTTAACTTCACGTTCACCAATCTTGATTTGAAGCTTTCGTGACTGCAGGAATCCATGCTCTTTGGTTCTTTCGGTAAAGTCACGTAGGTATAAAATAAAAGAAATCACGACGTTTCGGGCACTACACAAGATTTCTCACCTGATGACGGACTCTTGTGTTGCGCCTGAAACGTCGTGATTAATATTATTTTATACCTACGTGACTTTACCGAAAGAACCAAAGAGTATTCACGTTCACCGTTTATTTTGGCAACACTCTTTCTTTATCAGTCGTGCATTTGTTCAGTTGATCCTTTGTTTTTTTTATGTACCAATGGTCTCAATAATTACACAGCAAATTACATGATTTAACTTAAGCAATTAGTGAGATCTGTTGTAATAGTAATTGTATCATTACATAAAGGCAGATGTGGAATCTTGACAGGGGATTGCATTTGACGCTCTAAACATCCACATTGTGCTGCAAACATGATCATACTATCGCCAAAAGTATGCAACAATATTATAGGATTCAGACTTCATACGTGACGGCACAAACTTGTGAAGCGTACCTGCGTGCTGATTGTGAGTGAGTGCGAGTTTAAAGTCCGGACGAGCTGATAGGTCGATCTCCGACTGCACACAGCATCGAGTCGGATTTCTGAGTGTGAACGGAAGAGAGCGGCTTGAACCGACGTAGACCCCGTCAAACCGCAGCGCTTTCTGCACACACGAGACACACGGGCACTCGGTTAGTAACACATTGTCCTGCGGAGGGAGCTGCTGGTAGGAACGTTGGGTTGCTCGGTCAATGGCCAGGGTCAACGGCGGCGTGGTGTATTCCGCAAATATGCCCGACTGTGAGGGCGGGCACAAGCCGGCGTGAGTAGGTTAAACGTTGAGTTTTATAAGGGCACCATGGGGTGACCAGCCCCTCCCCACCTAGCCCCTCCCCACCCTCCCCCCACCCAGCCCCACCCCTCCCACCCTGTCCACCCAACCCTGGTTCATTTCTAAAATGATGACATTGAATGATCGAAGTGGGCAGGGGCGTTACTATGCTGTCCATGGTTTGATATTGATGATCGTAGCTGGACTGTGGGCTACTGGAAACAATGAAAGACTTTAACTCGAAATGACCAAACTACTGCATGCGAGTGATACAAATGGTCAGTGCAGTAATTATGCACTAGTTCTCAGAATTATTCTATCTGCAAAGTAACTGCAGATAGAATAATTCTGCAAAGTGAATGGCTCCGGTGTAATGTATTTATAATTACAGAAGAGACAAGGCATATTAATTACATATTAAATTTTCATATGGACCTAATCGACGTAACATTTTTCTCAATCAGCAGAATAAGCAGCAACTTACAACGTTAATTTCCAGGGCTGGGGGTTCCACAGAACCCATGATCCTCAGCTCCTGGTTTTTACCTCCTCGAAATGCCACCTGTAATAAGCAGCAGCAGCAGCAGAGAAAATACATGTTCACTCCTTCTAGATCAATTCTATTGTTACAACTCTAAGCAGAGAGGCAGTTTGTTAATTTAATATCCATTAAATTTTGACTTCAAACTTTCGTGACTGCAGGAATTCATATTCTTTGGTTCTTTCGGTAAAGTCACGTAGATAGAAAAATAAGAATAAAAATAAGAAATAAAGTGAATAAAAAAAAATCTAAATTAAAACAAAAAACACACTAATGTAGACGGTAGCCTGGTTCTTAATCTCGATGAGTGTACTGGCAGTCTATAATGTAGACTGTAGCCTGGTTATTAAGTTTGGTGAGTGTACTGGTCGTCTATATTGTAGATTGTAGCCTGGTTATTAAGCTGGGTGAGTGTACTGGCAGTCTATAATGTAGACTGTAGCCTGGTTCTTAACCTCGGTGAGCGTACTGGCAGTCTATAATGTAGACTGTAGCCTGGTTCTTGACCTTGGTGAGTGTACTGGCAGTTTATAATGTAGACTGTAGCCTGATTTTTGAACTCGTGAGTGTACTGGCAGTCTATAATGTAGACTGTAGGCTGGTTATTAACCTGAGTGAGCATACTGGCAGTCTATAATGTAGACTAATTCTGGTTCTTTCAGTAATAAAAATGAGAATAAAAATAAAAAACAAAAACCACGATGTTTCGATCGCAACACAAGCGGTCGTCATCAGGAAAAGGGGGATTAGCCTCTAAAGGCAAAACTGTTTATAAAGGGTTAGACTGCCAGTACACTCACCAAACTTAATAACCAGGCTACAGTCTACATTATAGATTGCCATTACACTCACTCTGATTAAGATCCAGGCTACAGTCTACATTATAGATTGCCATTACACTCACTCTGATTAAGAACCAGGCTACAATCTACATTAGTGTTTTTTTTTGTGACTTTACCGAAAGAACCAAAGAATATCAATAACCATTATTTAAACTGGGAAATTATCATTATCTGTGGCCAGGTGGCACTGGGGTTAGAGTATTAAACTTACAAATTTAACTGTTCGAATGCAATTCTTTAGTCAACACAGCACATCATCCCTTTGGAGATCAATAAACTGAGTACTCATTTAAAGGAAGTCAACAGTGGGTGTCCTATGAAGATTGGGCTCCCACACTAGAATGTGTAAAATCCAAAATTTACTCAGAGTGCTACCATAGCACTTATCATAGCATGGAGACAATTTGGCAGCCACATTATGTCCCCACGGACCGCACTTGCCTCTCCAGCCTAGATGATTAATTGTACATCTTAGCCTTTTCACTACGAAAGGAAGAAACGATGTCGTGGTGGTATGATAGAGTCACACACAAACATGCAGTATGCTGTAACCATTTCCCAACCCCCTTTGATGGACACACCTGAACCTTGGTGTCAAATGTGACAAGAGTGTTGGGAGTGAGGCAGACAGCCAACTCCGTCTCTCCACCCACGGCCACCACCCCTTCCTCTGGCATGATGGACAGCCCAGGCAACGGGCTGGGGTCTAGAACCTGAGGGGAACGACATTGTCAAGACCTGGTTACAGACTTGCACAGAATCTTTTCAATATGTAATATGAGGATGCACCCGGGGGTAACTGGGCGATGGTGATAGGCTCTGCCGGCCTCAGCCCGCAGCCAATGGGACGTCGAGCCAGGGGCGTAGCCCTGGGGCTGTATAGCAACATCTAGAAGGTTCCAGGGGAGAGGCTTATGATTGGCTGTGTGGCATCACGTGAGCCAGGGGTGGAGAGAGACAGTTCGTGGTCAGTGTGAAGAGCTTCGAGGAGAGACCACGTCTGTGCCTCCGGCATGCCAGCGGCCACGTGGCAGGCCGGAGGTTGTCTCACGAACGCCGTTAGCCAGCGGTGTGAGGGAGCGAGGAAAGCGAGCGAACGCCACGCTCGAGCAACGGGAGTAACGGGAGTAACGGGAAAAAGGAACCCAGCGGTGTGAGAGAGCTGTGTAAAGGAAGAACGCATAAAGACAAGAAAATACGATATCGTCCGGAGTGGGTTTATTACAAATACACAGAATCAGTTTGTGGGACACTGCATCACCAGAATATGTGCAGCCACTGTAATAAGATTACATAGGGCAGGTGCAAGTAATATTCTTACTCGGTATGTGATAAGCACTCATTAACAGAGCTGACCACACATGACAAAACAGGATCACAGAGCTTGGGCAATTGTTGCCAGCGATTCTGGCTGCCTTCCCGCCCGTCTGTGGTTTACTCCGCCTCTGAGAGTGAATGAAAACTGTGCGTGTTACAAATACAAAATTTTATAACTTCTTAATTACTCATGATTTATCCACCCAGCGGTGTTATGAATGGTCACCATTTTACATTGCAAATCAATGAAAGGGCAATTATGTTGCGTCTCGGTTTTGCGGTCTCATTTGTATGGATTCTCATTTGTTCATGGTCATTTGTAAAGTTGTGTCCGCTCCATTAGCCGATATGTAACATTTCCATAACATTGGCATATGAAAGTTATTCAGTATTTCTGGACATTTGTCAGCCTAAGACATCCATAAATCACCAACAGTCGATTTTCACACACGGAAATTGACGCATATATCGTTAGTGTAAAAATCAATATTAACCACTTAATCGATGCATTGTTACATTGCTAATTAATACTTCTAGATTTGAAGCTTTCGTGACTGCAAGGATTCATACTCTTTGGTTTTTTTGGTAAAGTCACGTAGGTAAAAAATAAAAAAATAAAATAAATGAAAATAACTAAATTAAATCACGACGTTTCGGAGGCAACACAAGCTTCCGTCTTCGCTGTACTACAGCGACTTTGGCTGTAACGGTTCCGCCTGAAGACGGAAGCTTGTGTTGCCTCCGAAACGTCGTTATTTAATTTAGTTATTTTCATTTATATTATTTTATTTTTTACCTACGTGACTTTCCTGAAAAAACCAAAGAGTAATTAAAACTTGTACAATCCGTTTGTCTATCTACTGCTGGATATTGGGTTGTTATTTGACCATACTTCACCATGCTGGTCAGTGCAGGTTTGTGAAGGCAGAAAGCAGGGACATGAGATCATATAGGTACAGTACAACAATGGAACTTCCAGTGGCTTGACAAAAGGGCTGTACATGTACATAGTCGTGTTTGAACGAGTTGTAAGCGGGTGTCCCTTGGGTGGACGAAAGATGCAACTGCACATTGTACCTGAAAGTAGGCATGCTGTTGCCCCATGTTGCGTAAAAATACGCTCCGCACAGTTGTGATGTTGAGCGGCACAGATCCAAGCACCACCCGCTGGTCCACACACTGCACGCTCACCGCGCCAATCTGCACAATACCATTGAGAGTATTATTACGTTCTTGGTTCTTTCGGTAAAGTCACGTAGAAGGGAAATAATAAAATAATAAAAATAAAACATAATAAAATAATTCTCACGACGTTTCGGCCACAACGCAAGCAGCCGTCCTCAGGTGAAGAACAGGTCTGTCGAAAGACAGCGTCTGAATTCAGAGACAGCGTCTGAATTCAGACGCTGTCTTTCCGACAGACCTGTTCTTCACCTGAGGATGGCTGCTTGCGTTGTGGCCGAAACGTCGTGAGAATTATTTTATTATGTTTTATTTTTATTATTTTATTATTTCCCTTCTACGTGACTTTACCGAAAGAACCAAGAAGATGAATCCCTGCAGTCACGAAAGCTTTAAATCAAAAGTATTATTATGACCAAGCATTTCCCGTCCTCTTCAAGAACAATTGCCATACCTGTATTACTTACACGTGCAGCGTTAACTGCTCCATGACAATGCATTCAAACTGCCACTGGTAAAGCTATAATACTGTAGTATAAATCACAGTCATGTGGGTCTTGTTGATGACGACATATGCAGCGCTGCTTAACAGTAAAGCAGTATGAAAAGCCAAGGCTGAGCTAACGCAGATTCACAATAGAATCACAAAAGAATGCCATCCTACTGCACATATCATACACGTCCTTCTCCCAAACATCCAATTAGCACGGGTGGATATGTATGGTGCGAAAGAAGGTCAACATACATACATACATGGCAGAAAACCTGTTAAAATCTAACTCAAGTGAATGAAGATTTTCTTACATGAGAATGACCCGTAGAAGAATCGCAGTTCCAAGAGGAATTTGACTCGTAGGAAGTGAATTCAATTCCTGCATATTCAGCACTCAGTCTTAGTAGAAGTAAGGGATAGGGACATCGTACTTGTGCCTGACACTTGAGTCGAAGGGAGTTTCCGTGCTGTACGTTTACAACGAACTCTGCCTGATCGGTGGCCCTGCACGAAGGGTGCCACACCACCTCACACTCCAGCTCGCTGTTCTCCTCCACGCAGCCTGTAACACACACATCACAGTTTGCCAGCAAAGCACATGGCAATTCGGGACAAATACTTCTTCGCCAAGATCTTACCGAGACTTGCGCCACATCACTCACATTTAAGGCCAAGCAACATTGTGCAAATCCACATGAGACTGATTTATAGAAAGTGTCAATACTCAGGAATGGTTCGTATTCATAACAGTCAACAATCTGGTGGGACCAACATCAAACATGTTGATCTATAGAAGTGTAACCGTGCGCAGCCTTGTAGTGTGACAAGTACCGCTGCGCATTTGCGAGGGATATAACTTCACCGTACCCTTTCCCGTGTGTGCATTGTGGAAGGATTCGGCATTAAGTGCAAAGATGTCATCACGGCGTCATCCAGCCTGCAAACGTGACATCACTGTGGCAAAGCCATCTACGATGACATCATGCGGAATAGGTTTAAATATGAATCAACGGAGAACCCAACTTCTGGACCATTCCACCAATAAAGCGTACCATGAACCGTTGGCGAGATACAGAGCATGACGGACGGACACTTGTGCGTGACAATTATTTTTTATCCATTGGGCTCTCACACGGATAGTTAAGAGACAGTGAGATGAATGGTGAGCGCAAGTAGCTGAGTGTAACGTGGTCAGACCAGCAGCGGGCCGCAGGGAGAAGGGCACGCCAAGTTCGCTGGGCACAGGCTCCCAGGAGAAGGAGGCGCGCAGGTTGCGCGGGTTACACAGCCGCACCGATGACCGCACACCCAGCTCGGAGGCAAGGCCCTCGACTGCCGCCACCTTCAGCACGGCGGGACGCAGCTCCAGCTCTAAGGACACCACCTCTGCCAGCACCACGAGGTGTGACGAGTGGTGCTCGTTCACGCTGTACCAAAACGACCTGCCGAGCGGAATAGGCCACGTCAGAGGGAGTAATGAGCACCTAGACGACTATGTAAAAGCAGTTCTAAAGAAGTTTTCAATCTAGATTTAAAAGTGCGTAGCTCCGGTGGCTTCCTAATTTCGGAAAGAAGAGCGTTTCACACGGCCGCAGAAGCGCATCTGAAAGCGCGTGATGCAGTGACCATCTTTATTTGATGGATAGCCAGCGCGTTTTCAGATGCCCTTCTGCGGCCGTGTGGAACGCTCTTCTTTCCGAAATTAGGAAGCAACTGGAGCTATGAACTTTTAAGGATGACTGCTGTGAGAATGACTGGCGTTCACGTTATGGTTTATGCCCCTTGGCGATGTCATGCCAAGGTTAATCACTTAGCTGAACGTGCAAATATAATCCAACTTGGTGACCCCTAGAAAGCCTTGGCAGGAAGCTCTTTGTTTAACCCTCTCATGCATGAATAATTAAAATAAAATAAATGTTCAGTCGATGTATAGATGTAACTTGGGGGTGTTTATGATGGGGCAGATCAAGACAGTCAAATTTGCAGTTGTTAGCGGCATTGCATGCATCGACACTGTGATCTCTATTGTTAACGGACAGGAGGTACCTCTGAAACCTGCCAAGTTGGCTGGGCTGGAAGAGAAGAGGCAGGGAGGCGCGGGACAAGGGAGGCACCACCTGTGACAAGGGGCTGCCCTGCTGCAGCTCGGGGCACTCGGTGGACAGGCAGAGCAGCACGTGGTGCTCCAGCCCATTGACCACGTGCAGCCTCCTGCTTACGGCCGAGCCGACACACACCTCTCCAAAATCCAGCGGCATTGGGCCTTGGAACACGCACATACATGCACGCACGTAATTACATTATACCTTAGTTTTCTACTTTTCACGTATAACAGTTTTGAAATGTGCAGTAACAATGTTACAAAACAAGCCAATATTTTTTGTTCGCTGTAAATTTGACAATTTTTTCTTTACAGGTAATTTTTATATTAAATTTGTTGGTGAATGTACTTTCATAGATACGTTTTAATGGGCTTTAAAACAAAACATGTACTGTTAAAAGTTAGGAGTGATTTTGTAAGTTGGCACTTTGCATTAGGTGGTGTGGCCAGCACCATGTCCGTTCACCGCTTGCCTGGCTTCCATAGTTTTGTAGAGGGCTTGAGTCATGCCAGGCCAAGGCTGTATTTGGACCCACCTGTTTCTATGGCATTAGGTCAGTACAATCCCAAGGTGTATTGCAGGCTGGCCCAACTCTTCAGGGTAAGAGAGCCAATTTACTTCACAATGAGCTTATTACTAGGATCATAGCGACAAGCCATTCCACAGTTCCGCACAATGTATACAAATACAGAGGCAAATTCTTAGTCTGTTTGCACTGTTTGAGCAAGATTTGTAAGCAAGCTCTTTCCTCACTCAATGCACATACTTGGCAGAAGTAGATATCCTTCGAGGGGCATTATTGCTTGCACCTATCGCTTCTGTATTGTACGAGTGAAGAAAGCTCTCACCTATGATCACTTTCAGGAGTTGCTGGGGAGACAAAATCATGCTGCAGTCATCCTTCTCTTGCAGTGTAGCTGGCACAGCGTTCAGACCCTCCACATGCTGCCAGACACACATCACATTGTCACTTGTCAACTTTTTCTCCAATTTTAGCCCGTTTGCACCATCGCACACATCATCCATTCTATGCAGTTATCATGAGCAAAACAATCTTTAATCGATTCAACAAATCATCATCACATGCTTAACCCATTCCGATGCCGGGTTCAATAGTACAGATGACGTACGTGTACATAATCAGTACGTGTACGTCATCGGATTTTCTTCTGATTTTGTCCACGCACGTCATCGGATTTTCTTCTGATGATTTTGTCCACGCACGTCATCGGAACGGCAACCCACCCCTACAACTTTCAAACGTCTCGGAACGGGGAAAACGGTTAATAATGACTCACGGGACGAATAGACGCCTTCACTTCGGTGGCTGTCAGGTCTCGTGTGGTAAGCACCCGGCTGTGCCTCTGGCCTGGCTTGGTGACTCTCCTTCCATGTGCGATCGCATCTCTTGCTGGCGGTTTGGGGCTGGGAGGAGACAGGCCGGAAGCCGGCTCCATGCCCAAGTCTGCAGAGTTCTCATTCCCATTGTTTTCTCTGTGCACACACACACACACGTGGAGGTGGTAGACCGCTGTCATGAAGCGAAAACGAAATGGTAAACAATGGGCAGCTGCTACGAATAAATAAAATGCAGCCCCCCCCCCTCCCCGCAATGGCTTGCTCACGCCACTGCTGGAAGAATTTCATATTATTGAATACATTCAATGGATTTAAATCCGTTGAATAAAGTACAATACATTCCAGGTTTGATTTATAAAACCTGACATTTACACATTGGGCATTTATATATTGTAGCTGCCTACTAAGTAAAAAAAATGCACATGCTGCATTTTGACTTAAAAAAAAATCAAAGTGTGTTTTAAGTTTTGAACAGGGTAAATTTGCTCAAATTAACCCAAATTACTTTTGGAGTCAGTATTTGTGGTGGAGGGGCTGGGACTAAAACAATGGTCGTCAACGTCGACAGGGTAACATCCATATAACAAATAGCTCCGTTTGGCTGGCTAAGAGCTCTGCGGAGTGCACCTGGTTTGCAGCTTAGAGAGGCGCTGGTTTCTCAGCTGCTGGATGAAGTGGCTGTAGCGTTCCTTGTGCTCCTGCCTTTGCAGCTCCTCTTCGTCAGTGTACGCAAAATCCGGGTCGATGTACGTGTGCCGGCCCTCGCCTGTGAATATCGTTCTAGGAAGACAAAGGATCGCACTCGCGTCATACGCGGGCAAACGACAAGACGGCAGTAAAACGCAAGCAGGAAAAGTAATTTACAAATATTTTTCAATGCACTGTTACGTTGCGTACATTTGCATCAGGCAAGTGGGTTTTTGTTTTCTTTCTAGATTTGAAGCTTTCGTGACTTCAAGGATCCATACTCGTAGTTTTTTCGGTAAAGTCACGTAGGTAAAAAAATGAAATTGAAATTAATACAAATAAAATAATAAAAAAATCACGACGTTTCGGAGGCAACACAAATCTCCGTCGTATGGGCTTTGTAACAAGGATAGTGCTGATTGTCATTCTGAGATACTGGTTGATATTTTGACTTTATTAATATTTAGATTAAAAGTGTAGTTCTATCAGCGCATTATATTGCTAAATTCTGAGGCTGTATTTAGCTGGCGAGATCTATGAACTTGAGATGTGAGGAGGTATTATAATTGATAAAATATCATACCCCGAGATAAGACTGCAAGAATGATAAACTATATTATTTAATTATGAAGCCCTACCTAAACGACATCAGTACCATTTATTGAAAGGCTTGGCCAAAGATTGAATCATATATCAATCACCACTGATGTCAGCCGTGGTCGGGCTGCCGGGTTCATAATGCAGTGTTGATACTCACCGCGCGTAACCACTCCGCAACCCATATGGTGAGTTAACAGTTACTGCGTTTCCAATGCGCCGTCACATGCCCATTGACTATTCCACGAAACACCATTGGAACCTCATTTGCCAGTAAAAAATATGATAATTGGTTTTTTACCCTTCTACCTGGCAACAAAACTGACACCTTTTTTACAAGGAGTCATGTTTGCATAGACCACAATACCTGCAGCCATAATGCAAACAAAAACAGATGACGCCATCATCTGGTCCAACCCATGTGAGACTAGGCTCTAAGGAAAGCTGTCACGGGTGTGGACCAATCAACTTCAAGGACAGTGCATATATTACCAGTTATGTTTTTTTTTTTGCATTATGGCTGCAGGTATTGTGATCTATGCAAACATGACTCCTTGTTAAAACGGTGTCAGTTTTGTTGCCAGATAGAAGGGTAAAAAAACAATTATCATATTCCACGAAAGTTCGCGGCACCACCGTGCATGGTGTAAACACTCCTAATGCACGGCATAGGCTTCGCGTGGTTTAAGCCGCGCGAAGGGGTGTCACGGTGGCGAGATGTTAATGACCTCGCCAGGTATGCAGGAGATCGTGATTCCGATCCCGACACTGACGCTTGTATATTTGGAATTTGAGTATTCTCCCTCCACATTTAGATACACGTGTTTAAGAGTATTTGGCTGCAATAAATGTCTACATGATAAGCTACTTCGTTGAGCAATCATTTGCGGCCAGGTCGCTTCTGAAAAGTAGCTGTATAGCTCAGTGGGCCTTGGTGAACAAAATAAATTGTTGATAGTTTATAAGCACCGGTAGGGCTGCTTCCTGTCACTGGGCCGCACGCTGGCCGCGCGGTCATTGGGGAAGGAGAGGAGGGCTGCCCCGTCGTCGGCGCTGTGGCTGCGCCTGTGCTGGTGGATGCGTGTCTTGGCCGAGCTGAGCAGCGCGGTTTGTGCCGAAGCCGTGTAACTGGAAGCCTCAGCCGCTTTGACTTCCACCAGCGTGCCCGTCGCGTTGGAGATGAGCGGAGTGAGGCCTGCGACAAAGGTGGCGGAGCCTTTGTCAGTGTTGCGTACGTACGTGCACGCTCATTCAGTCAATCCTCGATTTAAAGCTTTCGTGACTGCAGGGATTCATCTTCTTGGTTTTTTTTTTTTCACCTGAAGACGGCTGCTTGCATTGTGGCCGAAACGTCGTGAGAATTATTTTATTATGTTTTATTTTTATTATTTTATTACTTCCCTTCTACGTGACTTTACCGAAAAAACCAAGAAGATCAGTCAATCCTCTCCACACCCACCATGCTGCGATATGTTGGTTGTGTTTAACCAGGGGGATATAACCTAAAAAAAATCAATTGTTATTAAAAAAATATTTCGAGGATATACCACTCATTGTGGTGGGGGATATATAATCATAATTGAATTTAATATCTAGTTTTCAAACTGGACATGAGGTTTGTAACACCCATTTTACAGCACATGGTGTGATTTGTTAATTCCCCAGATACAAAACTGGATGACCATGCAATTAAAACATAAAACTTCAGCAACCATGCCAATGGTACCAATGGCGAGCTACTCTGCGTCCTGTATATTGAGTACCATATTCTTGGGTTTTTTTGGTAAAGTCACGTAGGTAATTTTTTTTTTAAATTAATAAAAGTAAAATAAAATAAAAAAAATCACGACGTTTCGGAGGCAACACAAGCTTCCGTCTTCAGGTGGAACCGTCACAGCACGCTTGCTGCATCAAGTAAATGAGAAATTCCAAGCGATACTACCCCGTATATATATTGGTTGAGGGGGGGAGGAGCCAGGACAGGCCCCCTTTTTATTATTATGGTAAGGTTGGTGCGGCTGAAACTACAGCTAGTCTACGAAACATTTGTTACGTAACAATTTTTTTTACCTACGTGACTTTTACCGAAAAAACCCAAGAATATGAATCCTTGCAGTCACGAAAGCTTCAAATCTAGAAATTTCGAGTACCGTCGCATTTTCAAGATGTTTATTCGACTGACAGCGAGCCTGACCTGGGTTAAAGGCGGGGTTGGGACGGCGAGTGACTGGGATGCCCTGGCCACTCATTTGCATCGGAATACGGTGGAAGGGTTTCAACGACAGCCCCACGGTGCCACCGCCACTTCGGGGCACGACAGGGCCCAACAGCTCGAGCGTGGGCCGCATTTGCAGCTCCCCGACTTGCTTGGGTCGGAATGACAGCACCACGTCCTGCCCCCACACAGCGCAAAGCGGCAGCGTTTCAGCTCACAACAAACACACAGGAAGGGGAAAAAATATAGAACGGCGGTATGTCCAAGGTTGCTGGTTCAATTCGAACTCCCGGTGTGACAGATTAAACAAGGTGAAAGTTTCTTGAATCCCCTTGCCTCTGTCCACCCAGCAGAACAGGTGGGTACACCACAGTTAGTCGAGTGGCAGGTCGCATGAGGTGGGGTAAAGTATGGCGGTTACTCTCACTTATTTCAAAATGTTTGGGCAGCGTGGATGAGTAGGCCAATATACCCTTCATAAGAGGAGTTCTCTAGAGGTCCCTCGAGTGAAGGCTCTTCTACTCGTAGTGGCATGAGCAAGCAATTGCAGGACTGCACCTTTACCACCTTTTAAATAGAGTCCTAGGGCATGCTTATGATGGGTCTGTCTTGGCTGAGGATTGCACCTGCATCTTTACCATATAGACTTCATACTAGCTGTTCTACCCGGCTTCGCCCGGGACTTGGATTCACCACGCCCGGCCGCCTTTGTCTCCCCAGTGGCGATGTTCACACCTCACACCAATTACTCGTTTGAGGCTGAGTCGACCTAGGCGAGGCCCAGGAGCAGTTCAAATAATTGTCACCGGTGGTGGCCGTGAGCAGGAATCGAACTCGGGTCGCCGGGTTCGTAGCGCAGCGCGCTAACCACTACACTACAATGCGTTACGCTTCCACATGCGCGGGTCACGTGACAGATTTGACGTTACAGCTCACTTGCCGTGCAAAAAATCTATGCATTATTGAGCTCCCCCCCCCCTCCAAAAAAAAATAAAAGTGTATTTTTATAATTTTTGCATGGTGTACAGTCTGGAAAGTACCCACATGGCAAATTTCCAGCTTGTTGCATGTCGGGAAGTACGCTAAACATTTTGAACAGACACACATATTCACAACTTTGCCTTTTATATATATGGAGATGACAGTGATGCTTGAGGTGCAGAATTTACCTCCACATTTTATGTAAAATCGTGCCATGTGCCCTGGCCCATGCCTTGCCAAAATCACATTGGATACCTGTGTCTGGCCAGGCGGTATCTTGCCCTCGGCTGGAATGGCCTGGATGTGGGCCACTCGAGGGATGCGGTAGTGCAGCGGCAGCACGGTCGACTCGTTGCGTAGGGTGCAGAGCATCTCGACGCGTGCGCCCGGTGCACACGCACCGACGTCGAACACCAGGGGAGACGGAACCGTGCTCAGCAGCAGAGGCTGAGCCGTGGCTGTCACAGCAAGCTCCACTCCCACCAAGCCTGGGCAGGAGGAGGAGGGTTCACGCAGCCAGAAGCTTCCCTTTCACGAATGAAGTTACCGATGTGCTTCTGTGGCCGTCTGGAGCGCTTTTACTTCCGATATTTTAGGCTCTCACACAAAATAAAACGACCTTTTCTTGCGCGATGAGTTAACTGGTCTCAAATCTGGTAACGAATGACTCCACCGAAAAATGTGTCTAAATCGGTACAAGGCAAACCTTTATACTATCTGCACAGCTGAAGACAGCACAATTTGGTGTTTGCACAATAAATATTCCTAAGGAATATCGGGTGAAGGATTGTGATCGCACGTACAGGTCGTTTCACAACAGAAAATGTCCAAACAATGTCAACAGTATTAACACATCCATAACACCACCTTTGCCGTATTGACTGTGAGAATAATTGCCGATCATATGAAACCGACGAAGTATCGACCATCACCTGTACCATGTGGCTGCCGGGGTTGCCCTGGAGGAATGACAGAGCTGTTTTGGCTGCCGACGATCTCAAAGTGGATAAAGAGAGCGTAGTTATGTCCTGGAGGCGGTCGATCCATGTGGTTCCAGCCAGTGCGATCTCTGCAGTGATACCCAACAGAATACTCCGTAAGTTCACTCTTATTTTTTTTTAATTCTTATGTTTTTTCGGTAAAGTCACGTAGGTAAAAAAAATTAACATTAATAAAAGTAAAAATATAAATTTTGCCTACGTAACTTTACCGAAAAAACCTAAGAATATGAATCCTTGCAGTCACGAAAGCTTCAAATCTAGACTTCACTCTCATTGCTTGCAATGTACGTTCCTCACAACGTGATGAGCGTGGCAACTGAACGGTGGCTTTGACCCACCGTGTGTGGCGTGGACTGAAGGTGAGCGTGATAGGTATTTCCTCGCGCGGACGCAGAGTTCCCTGACTTGGGAAGCAGTGCAGCACTCCCTGCAGCTCATGCCTGGGAGCTGAAGCATCTACCACATCCACACTCTGCCTCGCAGTGCACACGCACACGTACAATAATACAACACAGTAGCCACAAATAACATTTCACTCACGTTGTTTCCTCTTTCCTCCAATTGGACTTCAATTGTGCTACCAGCGTGTATGTTGAAATTCTTTTGCACCGTACGTAGCCGACTGTGCTAATCGGAGGTGCGGGAAATATATCATATCATGAGATGAAGTAGAGTATGCATGATGAACTGTTGCAGGAAAATGTGTCAACCCATTGTTAGATTAGGGCCCGTGGAAGTTGATAGTACAGCACTATTTCTGACACTCCTTCAAAGTGACCTCTGACCTACTTTTGTGCCACTGCAGCTCCCAAGCCAGAGGTCGCAATCGGGCACCCGATACCCGTACCCTACCCGATACCTGGCTACCCGTACGGGTACCCGTTTGCGACCCTGGTGCGGCCGGGTACGGGTAAGGAATCAAAACCGGTTTGCGACCTCTGTCCCAAGCACTGCTCCAGCGAAATTTTCATCAAATGGCATTCAAATCGAAATTTCAATTTTGCCTCATTCAGTGAAAGCTGAAATTTCATGAGATGGGGATTTTGTATTAATGGTAACAAGCCCGAGACTCATCTGTCCACTATACTTAAGCACTCAGTTTATTAATCAGTGGTTATACAGATTAAAATTGCGAATCTAAGTGCTGCAGGCTCAGTGTTTTGAAGCCTTAGCCATATGGTCAGTTCTTCCATAGTTTGCATTTTTATACAAATTACTAATTGTGCCAAACAGCCTAAATCAACAAGAACTGCATGTCTCATTACAATTATTACACTTATTTCATGTGTGCAAATGAGTGATTCAGTCCAGATAATTCCTCAAATTTGGAGAGAAAAAACGAAGTGCAATTACCATATTGTTTGGAGATGCAGTCATATTTAAGCATTTTATACACGAACATTTGTATTGCGTTGTGTTAAACACAACTACCCCTTTAATGTTAAATATCCACCTGAACTTACAATCAATAAATAAAGCCAGGCTGGATAATTATGCTGACCAAAAGATGAACCCCAAACGCCAAACCACCAAGCCACCACAACACATTTATTTCCAAAGTGTTCCATCACAAATTTCATTTACGTGGCGTAAGGAAACCCCGATCCCACCTTTTCTTCTCCGGCCGTGTCCTCCTGCAGAACTGCCACCCAGCTGAGGGGCTCGGGCCCAGGGTTGCGAAGGAGAGCCTGGCCCTGCCTGCTTGTGTTGTAATAGGCCGCCCCCAGGTTCAAGCATCGCAGCTCCTCGTTCCCAGAAGGAGACAAAACCTCCAAGCGCGGCTGCACCACCTCTGCCCTCAGCTGCACCTCCTGTGCCTCCTCACGGCCATCCAGCCGTACCCTGAAAGCCACAGCGCGTTACGAGGGCACATGAAACAACCTCAATTCTACATCCTAGAGTTAAAGGCAAATATAGACACTGTGCGCTTCATCTATCAGTCCAGAAAGAGGAGGCTTTAGGCAATGGAATATGTGCACATGATGGTAGTTGTGTTTACATTTTAGATCAGAATCTTTATCAGAATCTTTATTTATCCTGGAGAAATCCGATGAGCTATGAAGCTATTTTTCACTGATGTCCCAGTAGGGGTGGGTCAGAAAGTTACAACAAGAGATAATAAATCATTGTGTGATCTCGCAGTTAAAATAATTGCCCATCTATTTAAAAAAAAAACATTTAATATATGTTTCGTCCATCTGCCAGTTTTCTATGTAAACCTTCAAACTTTTAATGCATCATACGGTACTGTATAATAATGCATGGGTTGGAGCAGTGGCACAGTGATTAATGCACTGTACTCTGAACCTGGCGACCTTAGTTCAACGTCTGGCCACGGTCCAACATCAATGGCGAGTGATACTGGTAGGAACCTCCTGGTTACACCAGCCCACATGGGATTATTGTGTATGTCCGTCGTGCATCCAAAAATGGGAGGGGTGGGGCTAGGTGGAGAGGGGCTGGGTGGGGAGGGGCTTGGTGGGGAGGGTTGGGCTGGGTGGGGCTGGGTGGGGAGGGGCTGGTCACCCCGTGGTGCCCTTATAAAACTCAACGCTTAACCTACTCACGCCGGCTTGTGCCCGCCCTCACAGTCGGCCATATTTGCGGAATACACCACGCCGCCGTTGACCCTGGCCATTGACCGAGCAACCCGACGTTCCTACCAGCTCCCTCCGCAGGAATGTGTTAAATGAACAAGTAGAGTGCTGTGTCGTCACTGGCCGAAACGCACACGTCTTATGATGACACCACAAACATTTGCCAAAGTGGCCTGAAGAACCAATTTCAGAGCCTCCTGCCACAATATTTGAGCCCACTGGATCTGCATGGGAATGTGGCCCCGTGTCCCTGTGGTCTTACTCACAGTGCGGTTTGAAGGACATGCCCTTGGCTGCTTGCACAGAACTCCACCTGCACGGGCTGCATGGTTTTTGGGGGTACCATGCCACTGCTTGGCCGGAAACTAAACATAACTTCCCCTTCACAGCTGAAATGGAATTCCCCTGTAGCAAAACACACCAGAAATCAACAGATACAAAAACCGCTCTGTACTATTGGGTTATATTAACAGAGTGCATACTGATGTGCTGTGCATATTGATCTGAAAGCACATCGGACAAGTTGGCCACTAAGGGTGTAATGACTGCACCCCTCACTGACAAATTCAATTAATTATAGTGATTGAAGAATGTATTATTTTGTTGTATTGTGGTGAATGTAGTGGCCTCTATTGTCTGGGGGATTAATGTGAAGCCAATACATATATGACATACACGTACATTTTTTTGTAATTTGTAAGTGGATCTTAAGCTCAACGATCGTTATTCATACTCTTTGGTTCTTTCGGTAAAGTCATGTAGGTAGAAAAATAATAGATCACGAAGTTTCGATCGCAACACAAGCAATCATCATCAGGTGGGACAACCACAGCAAGAAAAAGCTGCGTCTAAGCAAGCTATTTTTGGTAAAATTAAAAGACAATGTGATATAAAATACATCTGAGCTAAAAGTCTAAACTTGAATATTATCCACCATTAAAATGTTAATAGAATAAAACAATAGATCTATGCAAAACATGAGCATTAGTCTCAAAGTTCTTTCCCTTGGTTAAATAAGTGAAATCAAGTATTTGTAATGATCTTTGTAGACATATAATACATACATGATACATCAATGTATTGATTAACATCTCATCCTCACGTTCGTACCCAGAGATTCTTAGCACACCCTGTTCTTTCGGTTACTCAGCCAACGCAATGAATGGTGGATCATCGAATTAATAATTACATTTGCAAATGATATTCTCATGTTACATTTAGGTAAACTTAATACGCAAAATGAGCATCGGCACTGATGGTATTGTGAACTACAATACTTTGATTCTAGATTTGAAGCTTTCGTGACTGCAAGGATTCATATTCTTAGGTTTTTTCGGTAAAGTCACGTAGGTAAAAAATAAAAATTTATAAAAGTAAAATAAAAATAAAAATCACGACGTTTCGGAGGCAACACAAGCTTCTGTCTTCAGGTGGAACCGTCACAGCACGATTGCTGTACAGAACACACCCAAAGTCCGCTGTACAGCTATCGTGCTGTACAATACTTTGCTTGAACTTAAATATCTTGCTGATCTCGCCAAGGAGCATAAACCATCACGCAAACTCCAGCCATCCTCGAAGCGGCTTTTGGAAAACCATCGAACAAAGACAGGCACTGCATTGTGCGCTTTCTGATGCGCTTCTGCAGCTGTCTGGAACACTTCTCTCCAATATTAGGAAGCCGCTGGAGCTATGCACTTTTAAAATCATCTAGATTAACAAACTCATTCATTTAGAACTGCTTTTTGTGTTTCGTTTGTTCTTCTCCCGCACCTTTATCACGTTTGGCTACGTACGGTGCAAAAGAAGTTCAGCATACATACATACAAACGCCTATAGGAGGTGGACTTTATCACAATAACTTCACATCTATTTGTCTTTGCTGTAGTCATAAAGCGTACAATGCTGTCCACATGTAAACCAATTTTACCTCCTTTGGGAGCTCCAAGTTAAGATCACGGTGTTATGCACTTTCAAATCTAGATTGAAAACTAATTTATTGAGAACTGCTGTTTGTGTGTAATTTGTTGTCCTTCCCCGCACTTCTGATTAGCACGGTTGGCTGCTTATGGTGGCAAAGAAGTTCAACATACAAACAATGGCCTACCTGGAGCAGAACCATGGTTGACCACTGTGATGTTCTGCTGGAGCATGGCACCATTGGCCAGAACACACCCAAAGTCCACTTCTTTCTGTACATCTAAGTTACAAGCTGGAGAAAACCTGCCATTGCGAGACGAAGAATCACAAACATTACATAACAATTAGATATTTGATAATTCACCCCCATCGTGATTTGTTGAATTGTCACGATTCTGGATCATGATTAAATTAATTTCACATATTCCTTCTTGTATTGTTTTTTACTTTGTGGCCTCATTTGTAATTTTGTTTACACACTTAGTCTGAATGTATCATCATTTTATGTACACATAATTAGCATATAATTTGCATCATCTGATAGATACATCATGAGTGTAAGAATAGATTTTAACAAATGAATAGATGTTCTTCCGACAAATGTATTTTTACTAACAACTCGGACAACATTGTGGTTGTGTTATTTCCATGAATGTCAGAACTTGCCCAATGAGTGGGACCTCAATTGAGTCTCCATCAACCAGCAGCAGTAGACGATCGCGTACAGATCCCTTGTGCTCCATGCAGAACTCTACGGTGGCCGCAATGGACAGACCAGGAGCCAAATGTTGTTCTTGCAGAGGAACTCCGTGCAGCTTAAATGCCTATAGTAGATGTATGGGCGACACAGACACAGGGAAAACAAGAGTTAGAGTAGACAGCTGCTGTGATGCCACGGCCTCAAAGCCATTCTGCAAGCGCCACGACCCCCCCGTCCCCCACACTCAGTACAAAGACAAAGATCCCCCGTATAGCCTTAACAGATTGTAGGGGCAAGTGGTGTTAGCGAGCACCTATGAAGGCCGGCACGGCACACGAGGGAGTGGGTGGCCAACACCACGCCCGGCCTGGCGTGGGATTGCTTGGCACAACGGGTTTTCATCCGAAGGGTCCCTATGAGGAAAGTCCCACGGTTTCCCGGTGCCAGGGGATTGGCCGACCCTTGCAGGACAAGTTACATCGCGGTGCGCCTGAGTTGGCTTCATAGTCAGGGACGTGCGGTCAGGGGAGGCAGGGGAGGCAGAGCCTCACCTGCCATACTCCAATGAAAATAGCTGTTACGAAAAGTAAAAAAGAACAATCAAATAAAATAAATATGAAGATTTTTCCACTCATCTGTGTTATTAATGTCATTTCTGTACGATTCCAATAATTGTTATCGTCAAAATCGACAAATTTGCGGAGCTCCGCTGCAAATACAGGAAGAGACGAGACGTGTGTGTGACAGCCACGTGTGTGTGTGTGTGTGGCAGCACGTGTGTGTGTGTGTGTGACAGCACATGTGTGTGTGTGACAGCACATGTGTGTGTGTGTGACAGCCACGTGTGTGTGTGTGTGACAGCACGTGTGTGTGTGACAGCACATGTGTGTGTGTGACAGCACATGTGTGTGGTGTGTGACAGCACATGTGTGTGTGTGTGACAGCACGTGTGTGTGGCGTGACAGCCACGTGTGTGTGTGTGACAGCACGTGTGTGTGTGTGACAGCCACGTGTATGTGTGTGACAGCACGTGTGTGTGGCGTAACAGCACGTGTGTGTGTGTGTGACAGCACACGTGTGTGTGTGTGACAGCACGTGTGTGGCAGCACGTGTGTGTGTGTGACAGCACATGTGTGTGTGACAGCACATGTGTGTGTGTGTGATAGCACGTGTGTGTGGCGTGACAGCCACGTGTGTGTGTGTGACAGCACGTGTGTGTGTGTGTGACAGCCACGTGTGTGTGTGTGACAGCACGTGTGTGTGTGTGACAGCACATGTGTGTGCGTGACAACCACGTGTGTGTGTGTGACAGCCACGTGTGTGTGTGACAGCACGTGTGTGTGTGTGACAGCCACGTGTGTGTGTGTGTGACAGCACATGTGTGTGTGTGTGTGACAGCACACATGTGTGTGTGACAGCCACGTGTGTCTCTCTCACGCCGGAGCGAGGGGCGCACACGCGGACCCGGCGGCTCCTGTCCCCCGCGTTCCTCGCAGTCACCACGGCCGAGAGTCGGCGGCCGGGGATGGCGTCCGCGAACTCCACCACGCGAGGTGACACCACCAGCAGCAGCGCCGACTCAGCCATGGCCATTGCCCCTGGGCAGCCTCCTTCCTTCAGATTCACGGGGTTCCCTTTAATCTCTCACTTTCGGTCGATGTCCAGGTCAGTCCCAAGTTCAGAGGTCCTTAGCTCCCAGATTTTCTGCGTCCTACCCTCGTTAAGTGTTGGCCGATTGCCACCTTGGTCTCGTTTAACTGATTGTTCGCTGAACAGGTGACCGATGATCCCACAGGGTTCTACAGATACAGGCTCCTCCCTGGAACCTATTCCCCTTGTTTTATGAAATGCACCCTCTTCAGCAGAAGAGGTATTTTACGAGTTTCCTTTATCCCAATGTCAGATATTTTGTCTTCAAGCTTCGCTGCCTCTTTGGTTTTCCCCCAAGTCCCTCGTCTCCCTGTCACTCGGTCCCAGTTCCAAATAGAAGTCCCTGCACTCTCTCAGTCTCTTTGTCTCTCTGTCTTGCGATGTGTCCTCATCTCATTTTCTTTTTCTAAGTCCCCTTGTAACTCTGTGTCTATCTCCTTGCAACTCTGCGTCTCTAACCCCCTGACTCTCGCCTCTTCACTCTCCACGTCTCTGTGTCTCTTGGTAACTCTGCGACCTCGTCTCCCCGACTCTCTGTCTGCTCGTCCCCAGTGTCTGTCTGCTTGTCCCTGTGTCTCCTGGTCTCTGTGTCTCCACCCCCCTGTCTCTGTATCCTGGTCTCTGTGTCCCCACCCCCCTGTCTCTGTATCCTGGTCTCTGTGTCCCCACCCCCCTGTCTCAGTCCCTGTGTCTCTGTCCCTATGTCTCCACCCCTCTGCCTCCACCACCTTGTCTCTGTCCCTCTGCCTCCACCCCTATGTGTCTCCTTGTCCCTGTGTCTCCACACCCCTGTCTCTGTCCCTGCGTCTCTGTCCCTGTGTCTCCTGGTCTCTGTCTCCACTCCTCTGTGTCTCCTTGTCCCTGTGTCTCCACCCCCCTGTCTCTGTGTCTAATTGTCTCTGTGTCTCCACCCCCTGTCTTTGTCTCCTGGTCTTTGTGTCTCCTTGTCCCTGTGTCTCCACCCTCTGTCTCTGTGTCTCCACCCCCCTGTCTCCTGGTCTCTGTGTCTCGTTTTCTCTGTGTCTCCACCCCCCTGTCTCTGTCTCCTGGTCTCTGTGTCTACCTGGTCCCTGTGTCTCTGTGTCTCTGACCCTGCGTCTCTCTGCGTCTCTACTGCTGCTGCCGCTGAGTGCGCGTCCCGTCGCTAGGCAACCGAGAGTAAACAACAGCTGATCGGCGCGCGGCGCTCGGCTCCGCGTTGGCCGCCGCGCGATTCGCCGCCACGTGCTCGCTGCTCGCCGGCTTCAGTCTCAATAGCTACTCGTCACTGGAGGAACCCGATGCGCTGTAAAGCTCTTTTCCACAGATGTGTCCAGTAAGGGGAGCAGGTCAGAACGTCACACCAACATATAATCAAAATTACCATATGAATAAAAAGTGTGCTGCACTTGGCCCTTCCCCCCCTCTCCAACCATTATATAAACGGAGTGGTAGCTCCTGCAATCTCTCATTTATTGATACAGCTGTCGTGGCTGTGACAGTTCCACCTGAAGACGGAAGCTTGTGTTGCCTCCGAAACGTCGTGATTTTTATTTTATTTTACTTTTATTAATTTTAATGTTTTACCTACGTGACTTTACCGAAAAAACGTAAGAATATGAATCCTTGCAGTCACGAAAGCTTCAAATCTAGAATATAATCACAACAACAAAAAAACACGAAAGGAATGCAAATTATAGGCAAGGTTTTTCAAGTTTCAAGTTTCATTTATTAGGTGTAGCCCTGTGAGCCATTCGGCTCTTGAATGGGGTGCAACCGCAACAAACAAAAAACTAAAACATGAACAAGAAAACATCTTAAAGTGAATATGTGACTAAGTGCAAACAAACATCCAAAATTAGGTCAACTTTGGCATATAAGATGTATTGCTGGGACCAGCATTGGCCCGTTTCATGTTTACTGGGTATTCCCCAGGGTATGTAACTCTGAAGCACACCACTTTTGCACATTAACCTTTGTCCAAAGTTTGTTAGATTCAAAGTCTGCACAGAAATAAGCACTGTCCAGTGATACTGCCATGCCAGGATATCCAGCTGGTGCTTAAACATTACACCATGGTAGCATCCGAAAGTAAGAGAACACATTCCTGTGGAGGGAGCTGGTAGGAACGTTGGGTTGCTCGGTCAATGGCCAGGGTCAACGGCGGCGTGGTGTATTCCGTTAATATGCCCGACTGTGAGGGCGGGCACAAGCCGGCGTGAGTAGGTTAAACGTTGAGTTTTATAAGGGCACCACGGGGTGACCAGCCCCTCCCACCCCCCACCAGCCCCACCCTCCCCACCCAGTCCCTCCCCTCTCCACCCAGCCCCATCCCTCCCATTTTTGGATGCACGACGGACGGACACAATAATTCCCTGTGGGCTGGTGTAACCAGGAGGTTCCTACCAGTAACATTACACCATGGTAGCATCCGAAAGTGAGAGATAATAGATTCACATATATACCTGTGCAATACACATAAGTTATCACACACACGCTACAATCAACCACTCACTTCCAGGATTACCGAGTTAAGTTGCATCGTTTAATGGGCACAGAACAATTTCGGCAAACAATGACCGTATATATTTTCAACAAACACCATACTGTAAAAATTATGTATTGTATTAAATGCTTGACAGCTCGTCATATTAAACTTGGCATAAAAATCAAGGTTTACATTACACGGATGTTTTTTTTTCTTTCTTCGTACAAAATGTGAATGAGGCCAACATTGCCTGGATTTTACGTAAATTGAAAGCACCGCTCAAAATTGTCTTGCTGTTCATTAGCAACCACTTCATGGCAAATAAAGCACAAGGATATATTTTTTAAATGTACAATTAAGCAGAATTTTCCGCAATGCTCATTACACTCCACAATTACCAAAACTACCATCTTGCTAAAGTTACTGCAGTGATGTAATTTTTTTTTATACAAACATTGGTTATTTAAATACATGGGCTATAGACATAGGCAACAGGGATCCATTTACTGTTATAGCACGAGAAGATAAGCAATATTATTTACACCAAATGAATTCTCATGAGCGGTCACAATGTGGTGAATAATCTGCTTGGTCTGCAAACAAATCCCCCTTAAATGTGATCATTTTAATGCATTTAAAAATTTCAAAAATGCATTGGGCCCCAAGTCTTAGCAACATAACACAACGTACCATTTAGAATGTGGCTTAAATTTTAATTCAACATAAAAAAGGCCATTTTTCAGGCCACTTTTGTGGCTTGTTTAAATTGGGATTTTTTTTACAGCACAAGTTTTAATCGTAACTTACATCCGGATTAAATGTTCAGTGGGCAATACAGTCTAACACCATATTTGATAAAATACTGAGATAGCCAAGTGGGAGACCAAACACTTTATAAAATATATTTCTTGTTCGCTATTACAACACACTGACTCTGTGTCATTGTGAAAGTACTCAACTCGCCATAAAACTGTTGAGAGTTCAAATCCAAGTTTTCAATTGTGACTGAGCAAATGTTATGGCCAGGGTGGACAAATGAAGTACCACTTTGTAACAAATCGTTCATGGTCATCCCACCATAGGAATGGGGAACATCCGCCACTGGCCTAAGGAACATCATTGTAGAACAACGCCCCAAGTTCACCAAACAGAGGCACTTTATACAGGACCAAAATATACACAACTAACACACAACGTATATTGCATTGCTGTGGGTTGTTGAGACACTTCACTCTGTTATCTGTGTACAATAACACTGAATATACATCTTCTTTACTGTGCCTATATCAATATTGAAAAACCGTGGGTCTCTCGCAGCTTAGTGTCAGATTACAAAAGAGAACTCTTGTGTGAAAATTCACTTGTCCACACAGGTTATGTGGCCCATCTATGCCACAAACCCACAATTACTTAATTCCTCAGACCTGGGACCCATAAGTACAGACGTCAACCTGTGCTCTGATATATGCGACATCAGCCATAAATGTATTGAATTCTAGCATGTCACCTGAATAAACTAAAAATGTATTTTTAATTGCACAGATAATAGTGGCCGTTTATTTTTCCAAGTCACATGCAAGATAGGCAATTTTAGAAGTTAAAGGTGTGGGTTGCATTTATACACCAATTCCCAATGGTATTGTATAATTGTTACATTTTAAATTTCTGACATGAAAGTTTGGAAAATACTGCTATCCTGGAAACTCGACTTAACGATAAGGAAAATAAATTACAAATAGTGTTTTATGGAGCTGGGGTGGGAACGGTGGTGGAGAGATTCGCGAATGGCTTCTTGAACCAGGCTATCCAAGTTCGATTCCCGGCCATGGTTAACATTGGCGAGTCTTATCTGAATCAATCCTAAATCATCCCTCAAAATCCATTCAACCAACCTGCACTGACCAGCTTGGTGAGACATGGTCAAACAACCCCCTGATTAATAGGACAATGGAGATCTTCATCCAGCCGTGGGTTGGTAAAGGGCTGTTAATATTATGTTTGGACATTAAAAAAATATATATTATACTTAGCAATTGAATAAATCCCAAAAATTAAATTTTTATTATTAAGGCATAATCACATGCTTAAATTATGAGAGCTTTAAATAGGTTTTACTGTTTATAACTGTGTGATATAAGGTGGCTGGAAAGCTAAGCGGTCAATGTAGAACACCTGAGCCAGTCTGCATGACGTTAACGGTTTGATTCCAGTAGGCACCCAGGTCTTCCTCACAAAAAAATATTTAATAGAAACTTCAAGGGCTCAGAGATAATTAACTAAAGAAGAATAAATTGAGTGTTCAGCTGTCGCTAACATACCTACAGTGCTGTTAGACCGGTAATAACAGCCAGCTCGTTAAGACCCGGGGTATAGACACAGCAAAGCCCATTAAGATTCAGATCGTCTTAGATGTGTTTAAAGCTGCAACACGATTGTGGCCACGTAAAATAAAAGGACAAACGAAACAGAAAATAGTAAAACTGCTGAGCTGCTCGGACATAGCAATGTCCATTAATTCTAGATTTGAAGCTTTCGTGACTGCAAGGATTCATATTCTTAGGTTTTTTTGGTGAAGTCACATAGGTAAAAGAATAAAATTAATAAAAGTAAAATAAAAATAAAATAAAAATCACGTTTCGGAGGCAACACAAGCTTCCGTCTTCAGGTGGAACCGTCACAGCTATCGTGCTGTGACGGTTGTGATTTTTATTTTATTTTTATTTTACTTTTATTAATTTACTTTTATAAATTTTACTTTACCGAAAGAACCAAGAAGATGAATCCCTGCAGTCACGAAAGCTTTAAATCGAAAAATGTCCATTAGTTTTCTCACTGCTATGAACTCGATGGTACATTAGAAGATGATTGCCCATGGAGTACAGAGTTGGCTGGGTACCTGCCCCCTAAAGGCAAGCCGGTGGTGCCAAGCATTGGGCCAAACGGCCTGGAGGAGTTCCCGAAGGCCCTGTAGAGGCCTGCGGAGTCTGGGTAGTGTGCAGCGGGTGGGGCGTAGGTCCGAGTGCCGGGACGCGTGACGGCTGGGGGCGGCACGATGGGCTGCACGCTGCGCCCGGGTGTGCCGAAGGAGAACTCTGGCGCCGGGCTGGTGGACTTGGACGGGGTGGAGGTGAGGGGGTTGTGGGAGCCGTGATGGTGGTGGCCATGAGGCTGGTGAGGGGTATGGGTCAGGGGCGGCACGACGTTGTGCAGGACGCTTGGGGCCAGAGAGGTTGTGGACACACTTGCCCTGCTCCAGTCGTCTGCGCGCACAGACCGATCCAAACAACACACGTTACACAATTGTATTTCGTTATGGTAAACATTGCCGTACGAATGATATGATTAATGAAGTACGGTATATCATTACAAATGTATTAGTCACCCTCCCAGCAATACATCTTATACATTCAATGTTTTTATTTATTTTGATCGCCTGACAGAGAACTTGCCTTTGAAAATCTGTACGGTAAGATGTGAGACGAGAGTGGAGAGCCGGCTGGTCACGTGGGCCAGCACCAGCTGTTCATTGGCATCGCGTCGCACACGCACGTGCATTGATCCAGCCTTGGAAACAAAACGGACAGTTCCACATGAACAGTGTCCTTCAGGACGTATTAGGAGCAACACTGCTTTTGAGCGGTGTTCAGGACGTAGTATATCGTCACTATTACATAGCGCTTGTTATTGATAATTTATGACACAAAGAGAACGTGCATTTTTTTATAATAACGCGCAGTCCATGATCAATTTTCACACCTCCGATTAGCACGGTTGGCTACGTATGGTGCGAAAGAAGTTCAACATACATGCAAATAATATTATACCACGATCAAGGCATTCCCAAGTCATCTCACCTGACATGGAACCAAGATGGCACAATTCATTTTGCTCCCACACATTAACTTTCATCACTCCATCTCCATGGTGGTTATCCGCCGGGCAAGATCCCTCCCCTGACTGCAACTCTGTTACCAGTATCGTCCGTCGGCCATCAACCCTCCTACAGGATTGTGTTCTGTCCAATCCCACTTATTTTTCTGATTTGCACTTATTCTCAGATCCTCGCGTTTAATTTTTTTAATCGTAATTTGAAGCACCTACGATCAAATCAACCAGAATGCACCCCGTCTCATGGGATCCCAGATGCTATGCATAGGATTGAGTCTGGCTACTGCATGGGTAGGGTGATGACCAGTTGCAAAGACAGGTGGCAAGAGGCGTTTTGGACACTAGAGGGCAGTGCAGCACACTCTCGTGCTGTTCCGCACTCCCCCTCAATTTCACCAAACCACACTGACCACAGTGGTGAAGTATGGTCACATTTCTCCCAGCCCGCAAGGTGTGGGGAGGCCCTCATCCAGTAGTGGATTGACACGTGGGCTGTATACTCTTAGGTTTTTCGGTAAAGTCACGTAGGTAAAAAATTAATAATAAAATAAAATAATAATAAATCATGACGTTTCGGAGGCAACACAAGTCTCCGTCTTCAGGTGGGACCGTCACAACAAAATTTACTGTATACAGTAAATTTGGTGGTCCCACCTGAAGACGGAGACTTGTCTTGCCTCCGAAACGCCGTGATTTATTATTATATTATTTTATCACTATTTTTAACCTACGTGACTTTACCGAAAAACCTAAGCGTATGAATCCTTGCAGCCACGAAAGCTTCAAATGCAGAACGTGGGCTGTACACGTACGTATGCAATTTTAGGCATACACCTCTCCCTGTACATGTAACTTGAGCGGTGGACAGTAGAACGTACGTGACCGCACAACACAATTAGCACGGTTCTACGTTACACTCAACAAAGTTAAACTAAAACATGCGCTCACCAGGGAGCCAAATGATACCGTCCAGAAGTGCTCGTTGCGGAACTCCAGCACTCCATCAAGGGTCGAAGCCTGGCACATATAAAGCACATGTTGCCGAGTGGAACGCACAACAAAAACCAAGCAGTCAGACGAGTGGAAGGTACACAGAAGGATTTGGTATGCACATCGCCGCTTCAGATTAGCACGGGGACAGTTAACTCAAAAGCTGTACTCGCCTGAAAGATAGTCTTCTTGGTTCTTTCGGTAAAGTCACGTAGAAGGGAAGTAATAAAATAATAGCAGCCGTCCTCACCTGAGGACGGCTTGCGTTGTGGCCGAAACGTCGTGAGAATTATTTTATTATGTTTTATTTTTATTATTTTATCACTTCCCTTCTACGTGACTTTACCGAAAGAACCAAGAAGATGAATCCCTGCAGTCACGAAAGCTTTAAATCGAAATGAAAGACAGTCCTTCACTTAGAGACCCTTGGATGTATGTACAGCTCAGAATCCAAAATTATGAGTAACATCCCCTAATATTAGAGTGTAATGGCCATACTTTGCCACACTGGTCAGTGCAGGCTAGTAAAGGTTGGGGTGGGTGGAGGGAGGACCGGTTCAGATATCACTCACCACTGATGTTAGCCATGACTGTAATCAAGCTCAGGTAACCAGGTTCATAACACAGTGATGCTAATCACTGTGTCACCGCTCTACCCACGTATTAAAAAGTATAAATCCAATGTACTTCATTTAATAAACAACAATCAAGGCATTGTCTCTCTTGAAAAGGAGACCTGTTTTACCATAGACGATTAAGGCAAAGATACTCATAATGTATTTGTAGGCAACTTTTTCATTCTCTATTACAGGCAATGGCATGAGGACATTGAGCATACCCTAGTGAATGCTGTCAAAATATGTTTAACGGTAAACAGAAGCTATGACTGGGTGGCTGTGAAAGTGAAAACTATTGAATCAACATAAACTGGCAGAGTGGTGAGAAAACCCACCTCTGGGCTGTCTACCTTGCGTGCACTTTGTAAACATTTCACATGAAGTGATTACTGGGTTGCCAAATACAAACCAACACTAAACTATGCTGTCAGTAGTTTTGTTGGTGGCTCAATTACAGACTGGTTTCCTGTTGTACACACGCAGCGTTCACATGGGAAGAACACATTCCTCCTGCGGAGGGAGCTGGTAGGAACGTTAGGTTGCTCGGTTAATGGCTAGGGTCAACGGCGGCGTGGTGTATTCCGCAAATATGCCCGACTGTGAGGGCGGGCACAAGCCGGCGTGAGTAGATTAAACGTTGAGTTTGAAAAGGGCACCACGGGGTGACCAGCCCCTCCCCACCCAGTCCCACCCCCCACCCAGCCCCACCCTCCCCACCCAGCCCCTTCCCACCCTCCCCTCCCAGTCCCTCCCCACCCAGCCCCTCCGCCCACCCAGCCCCTCCCTCCCCACCCAGCCCCTCCCCACCCTCCCCTCTCCACCCAGCCCCACCCCTCCCATTTTTGATGGACGATGGACAGACACAATAATCCCCTGTGGGCTGGTGTAACCAGGAGGTTCCTACCAGTATAACCAATTCCTATGACCGTTGCTAAGCATTCCAAATGTGCAAACCTACATGAAACTGTATTTTGGGGAACTAATAGCTAATTGCTTGTAGTTTGCCAGGTCTTGCCTGCAACATTAACAATTAATATTTTATTTGTTAAATTAAGGACACTGAACGGAATTGTGCTTCCGGCTAAAAACTAAAAATATCTCGTGCAACTTGCAAGTTCTAATCCAAACAGAAATCAATCAAATGGCTTTGACACAGTGATCTGGGTGCTCTGCAACAATGCACTCTTCACCTCCCGCAGAAGTTTGTCCAACTGTCCAATGACGTGGGACGGTGTTGTCTGGAAAGCAAAGCAAAGAGAATTATGTTTTCATCGTGTGAGACGCATCACACAAGAATGATGTTTGCTCATTGCAAACGATGGTAAAGCTGCAGGCTGACAGATCAGGGAGGTGTGGCCTAGAGGCTTTTCTGTGAAACTGACAGCATTTACCTGGAGGAGCACCTTCCCACTGTAGAGGCTCATGGGGTACATGGTACCAAATGTCATCATCGCGATGACCACGGCAGACATGGTGTCCACGGCATAATAGTTACTAGAGAAGAGCAGACAACCAGAGATTGAATTAATGACCTAGTGCTACAGCTTGTGTGTGCAAGGAAATAAAGAGGTTAGTGGTGTAGACCTACGGACTCAATCCACATCTCCCCGCTTATTTCACTCTATTCTCCTTTGTGTGCATTCAACTATAGGAACACAATCTTGGCATCTTGCACTTAATGGGAGGCCCCTCCTATCTCTGTTGGGTATTCATCTTGGGAACCTCAGTGGCTTCCTCACATGAATAATATCACATAATTATTAACGTTCACTTTGCACAAGGCAAATCATGTTTGTAATTCCATGCAGAAATTAATGGTCTTGCGTAGAAATCTAAATATTAATCAAAATTGGTTCAGTAGCAATTGTGACAGCCTGTGGTTTATCCAGCCAACTTAATTCCCGCAAGCTGACATTCTGCCTATGAACAAATCACCCAGAATCTCATACAAATCTCCGTAGCTAAGCAGGTTGAGCCGCCTGGCTAGTGCTTGGATAGGCGAACACCACGCATAAAACAGGTGATGCAAGCTGTTGCGTAACCTACATTGTAGGCAGCAGAGGACAGGATAGATAGATAGTAGGCAATAATAATAAATCACGACGTTTCGGAGGCAACACAAGTCTCCTCACGTTCACCAACCCACATTAACCAGCATGCTGACAGTCAAATAACCCCCACGACCCACAATGTGTGGAAGGAGGCACTCATCCAGCAGTGCATTGACAAAACAGCTGTCACATGCGGATGTGGATGACCCGATTAGACGAGTAACAACGGCGAGGCATGTAGCAGAGGATCGCCGGAATCGTACATACTTGATTTCGATGAGCATGTAGGTGATGGAGAGGGCCAGGGAACCCGCCAGGTCGATAAGTACAAATGGGTTCATGCGTGGGAGCAGGAAGCTGCTGAGGCCAGGCACCACGCCGCACAAGCTGCACACAGCAACACGAGCCTCCTCCGTTATTGCATCGCTACACATCGCAATACAATCACGCCTCCAGCCTTCGTAAGAACGGCTTGTTTTTTATCAGATAGATTTAGCATTATCCAGTAATGTAGGTCATGTATTGATTCGTTAATTCATTAAAGGATATCATATTGTATCAGAAATATCATTATTCAGGAAACTAGGCAAGTAATGATGATTTCATTCGTTCATTAGAATCAATTATGTTAACGATAGATGCATGAAACTGTGTAAGAGTTGTTTATTTACCACCTATGCATATGATATACAAATTTGACATTTTGGTTAATGGAACTAATGAGACAGAATATATGACATAGAACAAATGAGACGTAAGATACAACCAGATGGTACAAACGACGCAGGAAACAACCGATTATTCACCTGAATTGTGACCCTACATTGTAAAATGGCATTAAGTCACGTAGGGGAGAGGGCAAAAGAGGAGTTAATTTTGTATGTGCTTTTATAACACTACGTCATCATGTGACCTCCAAACAAATACCCTGCTTAAGTTCGAATGACAATTTTTATATTAACATGAGGGCTTAATAATTGTGTTTAACCACATAAGCCTATAAAGTTTCAACAAAATCCACAAATGCACTGCACAACAGCATGCGCAACCACTGCACAAGATTTGCGTAAATGAGACAAGTGTTGATTACATGCACGTGAAAATTAAATCCAAATGATTCATGAATGTCTAATGAAGGTTGCTCATCTTGTAAATTAATTGATGCACAATGTCCAGTTTTAATTAAAATTAATTACAATGAGTGTTGTACAGTATTATATGCGTTTGCCTTGCTTCAACATTATTATGCATACACCGCTGATGTGAGTACCACCGTGATCTTAAGTTGGAGCTTTGAGCTCCCAAAGGAGGTAAAATTGGTTTACATGTGGACAGCATTGTACGCTTTATGACTACAGCAAAGACAAATAGATGTGAAGTTATTGTGATAAAGTCCACCTCCTATAGGCGTTTGTATGTATGTATGCTGAACTTCTTTTGCACCGTACGTAGCCAAACGTGATAAAGGTGCGGGAGAAGAACAAACGAAACACAAAAAGCAGTTCTAAATAAATGAGTTTGTTAATCTAGATGATTTTAAAAGTGCATAGCTCCAGCGGCTTCCGAATATTGGAAGGAAGAGCATTCCAGATGGCCGCAGAAGCGCACCTGAAAGCACGCAATGCAATGATCGTCTGTGTTCGATGGCTAGCCAAAAGCAGCTGAGAAGATGACCGGAGTTTGCGTGATGGTTTATGCTCCTTGACTATGCCATCGCGAGGTAGGGTATTAAAACTCAAAAGGGACCGGCCACCTCACCTCCTACTGAGGTCAGCCACATGCTCTTGCAGCCAACTTGTCGACGCAGCTGAAAAAGAAAAGTATGCAAATTAACAGTGGAACAAAACCTTTGTCCTACCCCAATACAAAGTGGATATTTTGTATCAATCATGCAGGTGCTCTACATTCCATGTTTACATCCATCGCAATGCAATTCTGCAGGCAATGAGGCACAACGTGACCACAAAAATGGCAGCGTAGTGCGGTGTCCAGAATTATGCCAGTACAAAAAAAATTTTATAATTTAAATCTACCTGAGCAGAGCTTTAAGCCAGCACTGCCTCGTAAACATGGGTTCTCTCCGCATACTTCAGTCCCCTCCCACGTGCCAGCAATGAGAAAACTGTACCCGCAGAGACGTGTGTGAAGGGCTTGTTGGGGACCACCAGCATGGTGAGGAGGTGGAAGAACAAGGCGACCAGGGTCCCCAGGAGAAGTCTTCCCCTACCATGAACAAGAGCACAGTGCAGAGTAACAGAGGACATCAGTAGAAGCACCTCCTGTGGTTGTATGTATGCTGAACTTCTTTCGCACCGTACGTAGCCAACCGTGCTAATCGGGGGGTGCAGTTGTGCCGTACAGCTCTGCGATGGGGTTTACGGTTGTACCGCATGTGGTTCGAAGTGATGGCCAACTGAATAGTTGGTTACAGAAGAAACTCCCAGAACATGGAGCAAAACTTCAAACATCATAACCAAAAAATACATCTGAGAGCTTAAAAAAGCCCCTTTATTAACTGCATGACAGTCCGTCAAGATTCAGCCTGTCTTACTCAACAGAGGCCTGGCTTTATATCATTCAGTTTAGAAAAAAACATGAACTTCTGGACATGGGTAAATTTCTAATTTTAAACTTGCCACACAATGGTCTACTCTTGCAAATTGTCAGACCCATTTGACACAAATACATATGGTTATTCCCTGCATACATTTTATGGCTGGTGGCATGAGTCAAACTGTCAACTCTATATACGTACATATTTAATACTTATTATCTAAGAGGAATAGGCATTTTAAATGGCTTGTGCACTCACACGTAATTAAATGTAATAATTAATAATTGATTCAAGGGATAATTTTTTGCCATTGTGGAAATTGCAGTGCCGATAGTGGTTGCAGGGGTCACATAAAGCAATTACAAAGAACATAAAAAATCATAAGAAAAACATTTTGATTTTAATCCTAGGCTATTGCCTAGTATTTTGTGCACTAAGCTATGCATCCTCCAACCTGAATTTGATTCTTGGCCAAAGCTAACATCATTTGCGAGATATAAAACATGCAATAAAAAAATTACTGTACTCAGGATTTTAAGGGCAAAAAATGTAAACCCTTACACGATGTCATGCGGCTTCAATATGCTCTCATCTGCTTACGCATGAAGACATTCATTACTTAAAAATAAAAGAGGCAGTAATATTAAAAGCCATTTACAAAAATAATAATAAAACTTACGTGTGAACCTCAGGGGGCTCAAGCAAGCGCTCCAAACTGAAAGTGGAATTAGACGAGGCAATACGTTAAACCAAAACCGAATAAATATTACATCAAAACGCAACGTTATAATGCGATTCACAGTTGTAACCAGTGAATAATCACGCATCAATTAATCAAGCTCATTGATTGTTGAGCTTAACTAAATCGATTAGGTAATCATCATGGTGAATACATTTTCATTGTAGTGAACTCTTAAATATGAAATATGCAGAGTAATGGGTGGGGGGGGGGAGATATGGAGATATGCCCCTGATAAAATAAAACACGGGTAATGCAATGCATATGTAAGTTAGGCTATAACCGCACTTACGCATTACAGGGAAGTGAAGATGTAGCATGTGTCCTCTGTAATTATCGCTTCTTAAAGTTATCGATGTACTTGCCGACATGTTTATGGCCACTGAGTCGCTGACCCCCGACGAGTGAGGAGCAGTCAATAATAGAAGCAGCATATTTGTAAAAGGCGGGAGTGATCATGGTTAATGCGCAACCCGGATAGTCTGCCTACGTATACTTTTGCATGAACTGTATTGAATACATCTGTTATTAAGAAAGCAGGGTTCCATTTTGTTTGGTAGGAGGCAAAAACTAGAGGCACACTTTGGCTGCCTAATAAGGTGAGTATTCTGAATTTTGGTCTGTGGAAGTTGACATTACAGAACTGCTCTTCAAGAGTCCTTCAAAGGGCACTGCATAGTCCCATGTGCCGTGTTGATGTTCTTTGAATGGTAATCTAACCTAACATATTTTTTCTCAGAGAACCAAACGAGACGGCATTGGCTTGAAATTATCAACTCGTCATACCTAAGAAACCACTTTATACTGGTAGGAACCTCTGATTACACCAGCCCACAGGGGATTATTGTGTCCGTCCATCCGTCGTGCAGGGAGGGGCTGGGTGGGGAGGGAGGGGCTGGGTGGGGAGGGGAGGGTGGGGAGGAGCTGGGTGGGGAGGGGCTGGGTGGGGAGGGTGGGGCTGGGTGGGGGGTGGGAGGGGAGGGGCTGGTTGACCCGTGGTGCCCTTATAAAACTCAACGTTTAACCTACTCACGCCGGCTTGTGCCCGCCCTCACAGTCGGCATATTTGCGGAATACACCACGCCGCCGTTGACCCTGGCCATTGACCGAGCAACCCAACGTTCCTACCAGCTCCCTCCGCAGTAATGTGTTCTGTGGGCGACTGAAAACCAGATTCGAACCCAGGATCTCAGCGGTGCTGGCTCAGTGCTCTGGTTCTTGAGTCACCGGCCAGCTCTCAGCCCATTTGCAAAAGTCTCATTGTCTCAGGTTGTCACTCACCTCTCCTTGAGAATGAAGAGTGCTCCCAGCTGGGCCAGCACCGTAGATGCAAAGACGGCCAGCACCTCAAAGCGGTCGTACCTTTGTGATAAAAAAAAAAAAACCTCAGGGTTTCATGGACAAGGCAAATTCCTAAGGAGACAAATAACGGCACCCTATATCACATGGCAGACACTTGCTGAATAAGTGAGAATAACGACGCAATCATATAAAAAAAGCACGGGACTTTTAAGACGATCAAACTCAATTTGAGAAGATAATATGTCAAGCACACTAAATCAGTGGCTGAATAATGATGGGAATTGAAATAGCGCGGTTGGTAAGCAGTGCTCCTAATACCGGTAGGATCAACAGTTCCACATTGCCCACCAGGGATTATTTGTCTGTCTGTCTGTCGTGCATAGCCACGCCCTCGATTTGTATTTCATAGAGCGCTTCGGGCAGGCTCAGCACCACGTGACGCGCCGCCCCACGCAGCTTGCGCCGCGTGACACGGATCGCACGAATGCGCTGACCAACCAAGTTCCTACCTGCCCACTCCGAAGGAACGTGTTTAATAGAGCTATATTAACACTTAAAAAAAATAATCAACTGGGAAACTCAAGTAAAATAATCTGGCCACGAGTTAAACTATGAATCCATCCGATTCTCCTGCAATCGGCTGCTTTTGTGATGCAGAGAATCCATATATTTACTCAGTTGCGCTCTAAACATTGACCAGTCGACTTGTGTCGATTCCTCATTTTCATTAAATCTTCTTTCACTCGGGCTCATTATTTGTCACTATATCGACACGTGTGGTGTTATTGTTTATGACTCACACTTCCATAACATTAAGTCTGATATTGGTTGGTAATCGACTATATATTGAGTGATACAATGGCATACATTTTAACCTTGGTCCTGAAAAAACTCAAACCCTAATTCCAGTAGGCCACTGGTAAATCACCGCAGGCATGTGTCATGTCTCGCGATATCTCGACATGTTATTCGACCTTGAATTTAAATGTAAAATACTGTGAAATTGAAACGTACCCAAATGAGTACGTGGCTGTGGGTCTCTTCAATGTGATCCATAGGCTTATTAAGCAGGTCAGCAAACTGAAAAGCAACGACACAATTAGTCTCATCGAAATGAAAAAAGACACCTGCATATCAACCTTAGGAAGCAGCTCTGGGTCCAAAAAGACCAAGATTGATGTACTTAGTATACATGTTGCAACCCCTCACATGACCGTATAAAATACATTTCCCATATTATTACATAAAAGGATCAATGAGTCATCTTTTGTGAGTGAATGGTGGTTTTTTGCTTTGCATTCTGTGGTTAAAACACCTCAACATTTAAAACACCAGTGGGTCCTTTAACATTCAAATGTGTTCATCGTGTGTTCATACACTGAAGCAACAACAGCGTTACGTACCTAAACAGATCGAATATGGTGAGGTAGGTATATGCTGTTAAGGCTGAAACAAGAAGCAAAAACATTGAGATGCATATAACTACAGTACAGCATCAATATATTGTGCAATTCTCATTTTTTTATTTGCTACTACGACCTGTAATTGTAAACATCTGATGCTTAAGTTTCAAAAAGTAATAGACAAGCCACGTTATCTGGTTTTAAATAAAACCAACCCTTCGTATTACAAAAAATACATTTGGGGTGGTTGTAAAAATTGCGATCAGTGAGCTCAAAAGAGCAAGTTTTCGAAGCCAACAATTTGATTCCTGCAGCCACTCGCTAACCTTAAAGGGGATTTCAATAGCGTGCCACCTGCTGTAAAGTTGTTAATCTACTCGCAGGAAGATGTATTTATGTGCCGATGCCATGGCCCAACGTCCATGTTGCAAGATTTTAAGATTGCAGTGGATTCGAGTTCCTCTGGTGGCTGCAGTGGACAACTGATCTCATTACACCTGAGTTGAAAAGATCAATTCTTACTCGCATGATTCGAAGCATGTATTGTCAACTGAAAATACATATTCATCGATGGCTTGAGCAAGTTATACTCGCAAAGGTATGCCATTAACAGTAAATAAGGTTACTCAATAAGTGTTGAATATAAAACATTGTTTATAGGCTATTATCGAAAGTACTAATTTTATCATAACATTTTGTTACAGATGTAGGTTGAAGAATGAGTAAAAAATAAAGCTCAAGAATGTACATGAATCATGTTTTAAATGTTTTTTATATCAGCCTTATTCCAGAACTTGCCCTTTTGAGGTATAACTACATGCAATAGAACAAAATATAAGCTGTGTAGTAGTCAGCACCCACCCATGCTATTTGTAGAGCTGCACCACGTGATGAGCAGGGCTGTGCAAACAACATTGAGGACTCCAAACACAAAGATCTTTCTTGACTGAAATTTACAAAGCAACACAAGGTAATTGCAATGTCAGCAATCAAACCAAACTATTTGTATATCTTTTACTCTTTTTGTGAACGTTATCCTCATTGTGCTATCAACGTCATGTCATGAAACAAAGAATCCCTTTGAATTTCTCGCAGAGCAGTACAACTTTTTAAATCCTTTATATTAAGTTCACTTGCTTGCTTGCTTGCGCGCTTACGACCGTGCAAATCTTTCGGTCGTTTTTTAACCCACTTCCCGTGGTCCAATCGAGCTGACATTTTGCACACAGACTCGTTGTGCGTGACAATTTATTTTCGTGAAATTTTTTTCCCAAAATTTTCCACTTTTTAGGAAAAAAAAAATTTCATATTTTATTTAAAATACCAATGTCATAAAAATGAAACTCTTACGCAAGAAAAACAGAAATGAACAATAAAATAAAACCGATGCCACGCATATAAAGGATTTATAGTGAAAAACTTTGTTTTTACGGGTACATTTTTTCCTTTTAGAGAATAGGCCACTTCAAGTGACCTCAATTTTACACAATAGGGGGCAGCACTCTCCCACCTGCTTTACCGCTCAGAGTAATGTTCGTAACATGACATTAAACGGCTGTATTTTAAAAGGACAACTGAAGCGGTATTTTTGTTATTTCCAGTTTCAACATCACAATAAATTGCATCGCAAGCTAAAGCTAACACTGGCATTGGCAAATGCTCAACATTCCTACCGACTTTCCTGATTCACTGAAAACAAAATGTAATGCTGAAAATTAGCTTTGTGTGGACGTGCAGAACAGCACTGGGTGACGTTATTAATTTTATTGGTAGTAAACGCGTTTATTCCATACAAGCAAATCATATACTTGTTTAGAGCCTTCATAATAGAACACTACATTGGTGACGAACGAGCTTAGTACTAGGATGGGATACTTCCAAGGAATAAAAGAGGTGGAGGTTTGGCTTGAGAGGCATCCAACAGATGGCAGTACAACATTCGATTTCATGTATCTGTGCAGAGATTTGAGTATTACTTCCCCCGAGACATTGTGTTTCTCTCAAACTCTGATTCCTTCCATATAAAGAGCTGGCCAAAACATCCTAATGTGGGATGCTTCTGAATAGAAGTCTTGAGGCTAAATAAAGCTTTCAAGGTATATAAAGAGCATTTATTATTAAATGTTAACCTTATCAAGTGTACCCATTTTATCATCCTCAGTGCACTACATCACCGAATGAGCATATTGTGACACATTTGATGAAAAGCACAGTTACTGATTTATTACAAATACAATTACCCGTCTGTCTGAAGCCACCAGTGTTGATTCCTGTATTAATCTGCTGAGCAAAGACCGCTGTGACTTCCGGAAAGGGTGAATTGTTCCCTAGGGTGGATATGAGAGTCAAAGTGTCAGGCACTACACACACACAAGGGTCAAAGGTATATTCACAACATATATAATCGCACTTACAAACGTGTGTACATACGCTTGAACAATAGCCAAAGATAGCAAAAACCTTAACCTGCTGTGTCATTTATTTCAAAGTACACAGTGGTAAGCCTAGAGTGGGGCAGAGTGGTTGTGTAGCGGTTAATGAACCAAGCAAACTGAATGTGATTCTTGGCCATAGCTAACATCAGTGGCAAGTGATATCTGAACCGGAACTGGGCCCTCTTCTTCACTAACCCGTGCTGACCATCAAAGTGAAGTACAGTAAAAAAAGACACATTGACCTAAACAAGGTGGGAAAGCCCTCATCCTGCAGTGGATTCACTCAAGGGCTGTATATTTACACACACACAAATACACGTGTACTTATGTGCATCATATATAAATCCATGTACGCTGGGATGAAGCCAAGAGTTAGGTCAATGAATTATCATTATTTGGTGTGTGAAGGCTCTCAATGAATTGGATTTCCAATTCACAGATTGTTATTTACAATATAACATATTGAACAATTAAGTGTGTGCAATGTAAACATGAGTAAATTACTTACAGACACATATTGATTTCCTAGGTGTAGTGTCTTATGAACAGGTTCTGTGGAAACATACACAAAAAAAGCCCAAATTAATATACATTACATTCCAGGTACACTTATAATTAATGTTGTATAAGCAACATGGGTCGACGTCGCCTAAGCACAGCTCATTTACCTTCCCTCTACTGCGCATCTCCATGGGGGCACAAAGTGAACAATTAAAGCAGTTTGTATATGGCATGAAACAATTGTACTAAGAGAAACCCCACCACATACCAGAGGATAACACTCAAATGTTTGTAAAGTTTAACAAACCCAATTGGTGTACTGCAACCTCATGGCCAATTCACAGCCCAGCGTAATTGGGATTGGGAAGTTTTAGCAATCTATGCGATCCACTAAGGCTCATCTCCAAAGTGCTAAATAACAGGAGCGTGCCACCACGTCTGGTTAATTGTACTTTGATTGTGGAAGCGGTGGTGCCGTCCATACCGTACTGGTGAGTAGAATTTGAACCAGTTTTGGCCAACCCCCATACACCAACTCGCACTGACCAATAACCCCCATGACAGATACATCATGGGGAGGGATTCATCGAGTAGTGGATTGACAAAGAGCTGTACATATATTTTTCTTATATTATTTGATCGGGTATGTAGTAGAGAAAGCGTCGGACTACAGTGCGGTTCTTGAAATTTCCCCCAAAAATGGCTCTTTTTGTTATTTTGGTTGCCGTCCCCTGACCGTGGAAGTCCAGTTCACCATGGAAGTCCAGTTCACCGTGGAAGACCAGTTTACCATGGAAGTCCATTTCACCACGGAAGTCCAGTTCATCATGGAAGTCCAGTTTACCATGGAAGTCCATTTCACCATGGAAGTCCAGTTCATCATGGAAGTCCAGTTTACCATGGAAGTCCATTTCACCATGGAAGTCCAGTTCACCACGGAAGTCCAGTTACAATGCAAGTCCAGTTACAATGCAAGTCCAGTTTACAATGCAAGTCCAGTTTACAATGCAAGTCCAGTTTACCATGGAAGCAAGTTCACCATGGAAGTCCAGTCCAGTTAACCATGAACACGAGTCGGCAACCTACGGCTCCAGAGTCGTATGCGGCTCCTTGAGGTATATTTCATGACGTTATTTATTCAGAACCGTCTCGTATTAACGTGCATTGCGGCTCTTGTAACATTGAGTTTTTTGATGAATTCGAGAAAAAATGTCTGTTTGTCCACCCTTGTTGTAAAGCAATGTCAGCATATACGATAATTTAAGAACGCAACGCTATGGCATATTGACGCTGTGCGCGATGGGATCGCGAGTGCCGTGTGATAATGATCGTGTACGTGGCAGAGGACCGATACTCATGAGTGGACTTTGCTCAAGAACACACCGCGGAGTAGAAGGGGATGACGGCTGATGGTCAAGAACAATGCCGGAGTGGCAGCCAAAGGATGAAAGCGCCTCCGAGTGAACGTCGAGGGGGGTAGAGCGATCCAATCGGTTCGCGTGTATGCGCTGGTAGATTAATTGTATTGCGAGAGATGACACAGCCATAATCAATCCAGCAGTGGATTGATCATGGCTGATGATCACGACGACCCGTGACGCGACTCTGTATATCGTGCAGGAGCACTGTACACTGGGAAAGTATGACACTCCAAAATGAAAGAAATCTGACATAAAACGACACTCTACGGAGCGTTACGGCGCACATAAAAATATAAGTTTTATTAAATCCGGCGTCATTTCTCTCGTACGCTACCCCCTTGACCACCCACAACGCGTTACGAGCCCTGCCGCTTGAACGCCGCCCTCCCCGGCAGCGCTCTCAGACAAGACCGAGGCTTCGCTCGGGCCCAGCGCTCCCTTTCCAGGGACACAGCCGCACCTGTCGAGTTCATGCGCGCCACGTCCACGGACACCATGTCGGGTCTGTAGGTGGCATAGGCGGAGATCTTCCTCTCCGTCACCTCGGTGGGCACCACGTCGGGTTTGGGCCCCAGCTTTCGCGGGTAGTAGCAGTCTCCTGCCGGGGCCTGCGCGGACGTGGAGGCAGCCATGTTGAGGGGTTCGCCTAAGGGACCGCGGCGATTTCAACCCCGGCGCTGCAAAGGCTGCGGCATGGACACCGTGCAGGAACATTGTACAAATACAAGGTGCTTCAAAATTATGTTTTAAACACTCATATGGGACTATCGTTTTAATGCAAAAAAGAACGAACTGTAACATGATAACAAATGTATGTTAATAGCTTCAAAAAGTAAAAGAGTCTCCACTTGTTCGCCATCATTGTCAACACATGCAATACCACATTTCTCGCAGTATTGCTGCAAATTGTTCACATTTTTTGAAGCACCCTGTGCTGTGGAGTTAAAGGGGGCTCAGTAGCACCGCTTGGTGGCAGTGGCACAGTGGTAGTCGCAATTGTACAAAGCCTGGCTGAGAGTTGTCTCAGCCCATCATACTGCCAGGGTCGATAATATGTTTAACACGTAGGCTTTTTGCGACCAATATTCATTTTTTGGGGTGATATCTCGTAAATATAGATGTGTCGTGAATGTAGTCATATAAATTACAATGGATTATGGTAATCAGAAAATATGCAGTATAAATTATCGGTTGGATTAGTCACAGTTAATCAACATGATAACCTGAACAGGCATGCAATTAAATAGTGTATTAATTAATATACTTTAAATAGATTTTCTAATTTGTCTTGGCCAGTAATTATTTTTAGCCAACCGTGCTAATTGGAGGTGCTGGCCAGTAAACATAATTAATGATTAGATTTCGTAGGGCAGTTTGAGTTGTGGTATTTAAGCATTGTATAAATTCAAATTCTTAAGACCACACATTTTATGTTTAACTTCTTTCGCACCGTACGTAGACGACCGTGCTGGTCGGAGGTGCGGGGATAGGGCAGCAAACTAAACGCAAAAAGCAGTTCACATTGATTCATCATGGCTCATATAACCCGTAACGATTAGGCATATGATGACTTGTACTATAATACAGCGTCTATTTTGATGTCAGCTGTGCTACATTCTTCTTCGCTATGGAGATTTCTGATCATCACGAAACATGAAATTGTACACAGACACACAAAGAGATCACTTAATCAAATTCATCTTTTTGAATATCCTTTATTAAAAACAAGTCGACATTAAGAGCTAGCTAGGCGTACACATTAGGTCTTTTGTACAATTACAGTTCTATCACGATGGAAAACACAACATTAAAAACCGTATTCAGAAATAAAATAACCAGTGTAATGCACAACGTGAGACATTCAGATATTAAGACAGCTCTTGGCAGATGCAGATTTTTTTCTATTCTTAGAATGCTGGGGAAAATAAAACAAAACACTTTATAACCCACACATTCCACTTTGTCCAAAAAGCAGCAAGCTTTTGTTGAGAGTATATGAATTAGGTGGCTTAAAAAGGGGAGTGTTAAGTTTATTGTACGGCCATTTGTAGGGAGATCATGAAACGAAAAAATATTAAAAGCAGGTCACAAGTGTTCCAACAAAGCCAGTGAGATTTATCTACAAAACATGTGTGGGTTATCAAGTTCGTTCTTGAACATCCCTCAAATTATCTCAATTTTACTTAAAGAAGATGACGTATACATACACACTCGCAACCAGCAACTCCGTTTTTATTCTGTCCCCAAACCATGCAAACAATTAAAGATGAGTTCCAAATCATTTTGAAGAAAGATAGTTTGTGAGATCTTTGGCACTCACGAAATAATGCATTTCGGGGTTCATCCTATTATCCACGTTCATAAGTGAATTACTCCTTTTATCCGAGTGGATAAAAATTGATGCAATTATGAATTTGCCACCACTTCCAAGTCATTCCTCTTTACCATAGGAATATCGGATAATAGCTAGACAGACAAGATAAATGTCACTCGAGTCGATGGAGACCAGACTGGGAACAACTCCACCACATCGGTGGAATTTCAGATTAAAGGTCGGCTCAGAGCTCCGTGTCACCCAGTTACTACCTCTTTAGCAATGCAGCATCAAACAGAGTTTTGTTCAGTCATCTGTAATTAAAAATCAATTACATGTAACTTTTAAAAACCACTGTACACTAAATACAATTAATGTTTGGTACCTCGGCTGCCAAGGGAATAACATGAAGTTGAATGCATCGATTAAGATTCATCCTTACAATCATAATGCATATATTGAAATAAAACACTTCAAGAATCAATGATTTACGATCTTTATATTTTAATTGTGTTTTCGGATGTTTCCAGACAATTCTTTCTAGAAACGTTTCTATGCCTCAGACATCAGCATGCCCTCCATACGCATCTTATCTTCACACTTTCTCCTTGCATCTCCTTCCTTTGCTACAATCCGAATTGGTTTTACGTTTACTTAAACTCACATCTTGCGTAGCGCAAGGTTTTCCTCCAATCATTATTCATCTTTGTGGGATTTAGCACTCGAGGCTTGAAGAACCTACACAGGCCTGTATGTTTGGAGTTTGCATATTCTCCCCGTGGTCGCGTGGATTTTTCTCCGGGTCCTTCGGGTTTTCCCCTCCGCATTTAGAAACATGCGTTTAAGAGTATCTGGCTGCTATAAATGTCCACGTGACAAGCCACTTCTCCATTGGGCCATCATTTGTGGCCAGGTGGCTTCTGAAAGGCCAGGTAAGTTCCACTGAGAGCTATGCAGCTGAGTGGGCCTTACCTGGTAAAATAAAAAAAAGTTTCGTAGTTTTTTTGTTTGCTATGCTCAGGGTGGGATCGCCGTCCTTAACCTGTGCTTAGATGGTGCCGTGCTATGCTACTTTGAGCGACTAATTTGGGTGGTACTGCACATCTTGTAAAGCCCCATAGGCTGGGGACACCTCATCTTCTGACAAAGCAGCCTTTGATAGGGCTCGCACTTTCTTCTGTAATTTGATGAGCGGTGCTGGTCTCTCCTCCAAACCACTAGCTTCTGGGTACCTAACAGTATTGCCCGAGGCTGCTGCCAGGCCGTCCAAACATGTGAGCTAAGTGTGCCGCATATATGGGAGAGATGAACAGACAAGGCAACTTGGAACAGAAACAAATTCTCTCTACAAATTGGACAGATCTAATTGTAGAGGTATTAGATTAGACCAACACCTGCTTTACAGCGTATAAATTAGCGGATTATTACATTACTGTTCTGTAAAATCACAATAGGACAACTGTTAATAGAAATATAAAAATAACATCCATACATTCATAATTGGAACTTTTTTAAATAAAAAAGCTGATCCAACAGATACAAGTCCTACTATGTTTTTCAAGTGCTTAAATTAAACGTAAAATGTGTGTCCCTTAGAGAATATTCCATGCCTTTTAAAAAATGCTGGTAAATCTAATCCAACTTTTTTACAATTGTCCTATTGGCATCATGCTGAGATGAATAATCCATTCAGAATACTTAGCAGAGCAGTGCAACCCTTCGTGTTGGAGACATCTTGTAAGGCAAATGAAACATTCAAGTGGCTTTTTTTTTAATAAAAATCCATAACCACTAGAGGGTGCACTTTCCCATGAACTGTGCTGTAAGATTGTTTGTCACGTGACAGATGTTGAAAAATTGGCAATTACCAAGCAATGTGAACGTACATCCTGGCAGGGATTTTATAAAGTAACCCACTTACTTTAGCGTACTTCTCAAGGATATCATATTTACAGTCATTTTATATGTAACAAAAATTAACCAAAACGTAAAACACTTTCAAACCAGTCATTCTGCCTGCCTGTGGTCACTACGTGTGATCCACTAAAATCCACAGGGGCAGTCACACAAAATCCATCCATTATCTCTGACTGGCTCAGATGAAGCCACAAGTCCCGTTGTATGTCCTCATTTCATGGGTCAATGCCGGTCCTACTGAAACCAGGACACAAGTCTGGCCTCACATGTGTACACCATGGATTTTAAACCTGGTCTTGGGAAACACCAGGGCCCCATTGCAACTGAATGTCTTCCAATTAACTAGCAGACTGGAGCAGTTTCCACATGACGAGTAACCACAGTGAGTGGTATACTTTATGTGCCTGATGTGGAAATATTTTGTGGGTCATCAACCTAGACAGCCCTTGCTGAAGTTAAGCCCTGGACAACATGGTGGGTCCTTCATTCAGTCTTCTTGCATCCCAGCCTTCCACCGCATTCTGGGAATGTAGGTGCTACTGCTGTACTGAACTCACTTTAAAAGTGCAGGCCATTGTTCTGGCATATGGTTGAAATTTGGCAAATTTGATAAATGCCATGCAAATTACTTCATTGTAGCAACTGGCAGAGTAATGCCCACTTGCTTTCCAATGCCGCATTCACCTTGTGCTGTAGAGACAGCTGCCACCAGGGGTCCTCCTTGGCTAGACGACCACAGAGTGCCTTGAGATGTACTCCATAGGAGGCTATCAATATGAAGTCATTGGTTCTTAGCCATTTTATTATGGCGGCCCCAAGCAAATGGTGCCCGTGTCCTCCCTTTCCACCTGCCAGTCCCCCAAAACATGACTCGGGTTACTAATTCCCACAATACAGAGGGAACACGTCCACTCCTCGAGCCAGTGCCGAGTTAGTACTGCAAGACATTTGTTTCACGTCGCATATTAAGTCTACTTTATCACCGCAACTTGGCGCTGACATTCCCTGCACACATTAAAATGTCTTCATTTCTCCTGCATGGTATCAATGCCGTGGCCCGTGTCGGCTCATGGGGTGGAGAACGGCCGAATTCTCGCAATAACGACGATGACGATGACGACTGGCTGGCGCTGGGAGGTTTCCGTGCCATCACGAATGCTTGCGCTGCAGGTTCTGCGTGGCGAGCTGGAGGCGGTGGCGGTCGCGGATGTTGCGCGTACGGACGTGTACGTTGGTGATCTCTGCCACATTCGCCGTGGGGAACCAGCCGCCCTTCTCCGCGTCCGAGAGCCGTACTCCCTCCATCCAACCTGCGGGACCCCCACCACGACCGGGGGATAGGGCAAAAGGTCAAACCACGCGGGGAACGTCCCGCGCGACGTGCCGCGGAAGATTTTGCGACTCGTGCATACAGCGGGCTACTGAAAATGTGTCGCTGTGCCGTGAGAGTGGCTTGCCATCGGAGGTTTTCCTTGTGATGCTGAGGATGTCGCCCTTGTCCAGGCTCAGTTCGTCGGGCTCCTGGGCGACGTAGGCTTTCAGACAGTAGACCTGCGGGCAGTCTGTCACACCGCCATCATTACCGTCAGTTGTGATCTAGCCACTGCTGGATGAAGACCTCCCCCCAAGCCATTGGTCTCGTGATAATCACGCCAATGAGACATTATTGGGTGTACATTTCTGAGGGTATGGCTTCTTCTTGTGTGGCCCTCAACATCTAGAATTATTTATTTGGCGTATTCACTGATTGCAGAGGAGAAGTGATGAGCGGGGAGGAGGAGAGTGTGTGTAGGGCAGTAGAGTGAGATGAGAGTGGCGTGGTCTTTGGAACATCTTAAAGACGGTGAGCGAGATCTTGAACTTGATGTGGGACTGTATTGAGAACAATGTCGAGGCGTGCCTCTCAGCCATGTCTTCTAAACCACAAGTCTCCCTTTCCCCATGCCCACCAGTCTTGTTATATTTTAATATGCTCAGCGATAAACTATGCTTCTCCTGGCACGGTTATCTGGCTTAACCACCTGAATGTGAAATTCTAGTTGTTGCTCAGCATCTACATCAGCCATACGAAGATATAAGATCTTAATATGCTGACTACATCAATGCGTCCGTGCCAGACAATAGCAGTGCTCTCTTACTGGCAGCTGTGCTGCTCTACGCTGGACATCGTGCAGGCCTCACCTTCCCCCTCGTAGACCAGGGCCGCCTCGTCCTTGCGCTGCGGTGGCGCGATGGCCTCGACCCAGCGCTCCTTCTCGCTCCTTCGACATTGGAACGGCGGTGGACGCAATGTCAATGAACAGCGATTGACGCTACTTCGCATTATCCAAAGGCTTAACCGTTAACCCTTTCCCACGTTGAAATTCTTTCGAACCGTACGCGGCCAACCGTGCTAATCGGAGCTTTAGTTACGGCGGGCACAGGCGGCCCCCCCACCCTCCCCGCCCCCCACCGCCTTCCCGGTGACACCAAAACAAAGCGATGCGAGCGCTACGTACTGCGAGGCAGCGCGCAGGAGGAGGCGGTACTTCCGGCTGTCGTGGTCATCCAGGAGGAGGTAGAAGGAGTTGTCCGTGGCCACGTTATTCTCGGCCGCACCCAGGGACTGTAACTCCACCTTCGTACGGTCTGCATGGCAGAACACGGTGAACTTCCCTCCGCTGCTGGCAGACACACAAAGACAAAGATCCCCCGTTTAGCCTTAACAGACTGTTGGGGCAAGTGCTGTTCGCGAGCACCTATGAAGGCCGGACAGGAACACGAGGTGGTGGGTCGCCAGAACCACGCACCAGTGGCGATGTTTCCACACCGCACCAGGTATACATTTTCAGGCTGAGTCGACCTAGGGGAGGCCCAGGACCGGTTCAGATAATCGTCAATGCTGTTGGCCATGAGCGGGAATCTAATTCGGGTCGCCTGGTTCGTAGCGCAGCGCAGCGCTAACCGCTACTCTGTGTGTGTGCAGACACAAGCACACACGCACACATGACAAGAACAATAGTTGCGGAGGCTGCTGCGGCAAGAGTGCTGTCAGCGAGCACCTATTAAGGCTGGTGAGGTGCACGGTGGAGGGTGGTGTGTAATTTGGCACCAAGCTCGGTCGAATTTGTCTCCCCATTGCTGATGTTTAAATATCGGCAGAGGCCCAGAACTGATGTTATAGCCGTGGCTGGGAATCGAATGCAGGTCACTAGGTTTTTAGTGCAGTGGTGAGAGCTCACTGACCGGAGGTCACAGTGCAGCACCACATGTTGTACGTTTGTAGGTTGAGGTGGCTGGAGTCTGCAAGATCGGAGGCTGCCCAAATCAATGTGGCTACGTATGTATCATCATTGGCTGCCTCGTGTGTGTCTAAATTACGCATCCGAATCGTTATTTATATACTGGAGGAATCTGATGAGCTATGAAGCTCTTTCCAACAGATGTCACTCGGCTGCCACAGCACCACCCCGGGGACAATCACGACCGGTCTGCATCGCAGCGGCAGCTACCGCAGCTACTGCTGCCCAGAGGTCGCAACCGGGTACCCGATACCCGTACCCTACCCGATTCCCGGGTACCCGTACCCGGCCGGGTACGGGTATGGGTACCCGTTTGCAACCCTGGTGCAGCCGGGTACGGGTAGGTCGTGAGTCACCGTTTGTCACTCATTTCGGGTAGGGAACGGCTACCCGTACCCGGCCGGGTATCGGGTAGGGTACGGGTACCCATTTGCGACCCTGGTGCGGCCGGGTACGCAACCGGGCTGTGCTGCCGCACAGCCCGGTTGCGGCAACGTCTCGCTTCACTCACTCCTTGCGCCGGGACAGGATGAGGATGTCGTTGAACAGGTGCAGATAGATGCGCTTGGTCATGAGCCTGTTCATGAGCGTGCTTCCCGTCGTGCGCGACACGGCCAGCTCCAAAAGCTCCCCGTGCTTCACCAGCCAGCGCGTGGGGGAGATGAGCGCCAGCGACTGTGACGACGCACACACACACACGAAGGCGAACATCTCCCATTGTGGCCTTGGACAGACTGTCAGAGAGGAAAGTGCTGTTGAGCGAGCGTCTGTGAAGGCCTCCCGCGGCATAGCGAGCAACAGAGTCGCGTCGTGGAGGCAGAGTTGGCACGAAGAGATTTCGATAGCGGACTGCTGCAGCGTGTGGACAAAGGAATACCTTCATTTTGTCAAACTCGATGGTATTGTGCAGGTGGATTAACTCCTCCGTCCTCTTCATTTTCCGAGCATTTTCATTGCACTCTTGTATCAACTGCAGACGGAAAGTCAACATCAAGCTCTTAAATTGGTTACAACAGTGTGTTCTATTAATAGAGGTTTTGTTTTTGGGTTAGATCGCGTAAATATACAAACGTGTCATTTAAACCCGACACAGCCAACTTGTAAGGGTTGTCACGTAAACAGAACATGCCAATACGTCACAGCACACCGGTGTGACGGAGAGCCAAGCCACAACATTTACCATCTGAGTACGACGTTTGGCCAGTGTATTCTAAACCGCTCGGGTGATGTACGTATTTATGTTGGCGTTCTTTCGCACCAACCGTGTCAATCGGAGGTGATGTGTATGATGCTGGCTGTAAACAATATTATCGGTGCTACCCACAAGTGGTTCAAAGGTAGAGGTACAGCCCTGCAATTTCTTGCTCACGCCACTTCTGTTAGATGGGCCTCCACTAAACAGAGATCTCTCTCTCCCGAGGCTTTCTAAAGAGGGTATTTTAGCCTATTTTTCCACTCAGGCCAGATAAATTTGAAAGAGGCGGGATTTATCCTCACTTTACCCAGCCGCGTGTGACCTGCTGATCAACTGTGGTGGAGCCGCTTTACGCTGCTGGCTGGCGGAAATAATAGGGCGGATTACCAAAACTAAACACCGTGTCCGATTCCACGCTGGATTTAAATCGATGACACAGGACTAATGGCGGGACCCCTCGTCACAGTGTTACGGCATCATAGTTTAGTTTTATTTGTTTAAAATTTTTAAGCGATTTGTTTACCTTTCCTATACTCTGGACTCCTATCGTGTTTTTGTATTGTTCATTGTTGCAACCTTGTGACCCACCCCTACTGGACATCTGTGAAAAAGAGCTTTATAGCTCATTGGATTCCTCCAGCATAAATATTCTGATTCTCATTCTCAGTCGAGCGACTGAGTCCCCGGCTCACAGTGGGGAAGGTTACAAGTTCAAATCCCGGTTGCGGATCGACTTGGCCCATCATCCCCCTCCTGGGTTGTAAAAACGAGTACCAACTTGTTTGTAAATCAACAGTGTTTGTCTTGATTTGAAGCTTTCGTGACTGCAGGAATCCATACTCTTTGGTTCTTTCGGTAAAATCACGTAGGTACCTACGTGACTTTACTGAGTGGTTGTCTTCTGTATAATAGTTCCCCTGCCATAGATGTGGAATTTCCACCACTTTGATGTTTCCTCTTTATCCCTGCAAAGGCAGGAATTTAAACATATCGGATAGTTACCCTTGCCAGTGCTTTCAGTGCCACAGAAGCAGTTTCTTCATATCGGGAATGTGGTTCCGTTTTCTTGAGGATATTCTAGCGCACAGAAAAAAAGACAGGACCGGTCACATGCAAACTCCGTACAGGCAACACTGTTTCACTGCGCTTGTATGATCATGTGGCATGTACACATAAAGATGACCCTTTTCTAGTCCAATGCTAGATGAAGCCCTCTCTCACGCGGTCAGAATTGTGGGGGCTATATTTTACCATACTTCGCCACGCCGGTCGGTGCGTGTTGGTGAAGGCGGGCAGCATAGACGGTGGGAGCCGAGTACAGCATAACAATGAATCTCGCTGCACTAGCCTCTGCCACTCCACGGTGTAGCCCCAAGCAGCTTATATGACTCGTGTTTATGCATCGTGGTCACCGATGAAGTTAATACTATTTAGCCAGGAGACTGCGAGAGTCCTATTTGCAAGCGTGACCTGGGTATCCAAGCACGCTCTTGGAGGCTCAACCCTGCTTAGCTTCCAAGATCCAACGATATAGGGCACATTCAGGTGATTAAGTCATACACAAGTCAAAAACGTCTGGTAAAGGGGTGGCCGGACATCCGAGGGGTCAAAGCACGGAGCCAGTACCCAATGAGGCCCAACATTCAAATGCGGATGTGCATATTGTTATGCAGGCTTCAGCGGTAGGGATGTGATTACAACATTCGCTACGAGTCTCATCTCAGGAATGGGGGGAGGAGGGTGAGTGGGGGGAGCCTAAGCATCAAATCAAAGCTCCGATCTGTACCCGGCCACGCTCAATTCTCTCAGAGGCCCAGGAGCGCACGAGCTTGGTGGATCGTGGTGGCGACTGACCTCGAGAAGTATCTTGATTCGCACGATGCGCTGAAAGGGCAGGATGAGGAATGACTGGAGCGAGAGGCGGTTGCAGATGGGGTCCTCCTGCAGATGCTCCAGCAATGGAGAGAACTTGGCGTTCGTCCGCCTGGAGAATGACACCGTGCGCGCGACCACGCACAACACCCAAACAAGGTGACGGACGTCACTGTCACTGTTGTATAGCCAAGCAGGGGCATTAACACCAGACAATGCGTGTCTTATAGTCAATGGGCATTCAAGTCGGGCAGTGTACTATATCGCCAAACAATGGACACTGCAGCTGGGACGATATGTTGTCTAGCATTGGACATTAAAGCCAGCCAGTGGGTTCTATAGTCAAACTGTGGGAAATGAAGTCAGGTGGTAGGCTGTCAATACGCTTGATATCCCAAAAAAGATCCAGACTGTGCACGATTTACCTATATGCCTGGACATACTAAAAACTATTAAAAAAACTATATACAGCATTAACATGCCCATTGATTTTCTCGGCAGGCCTCACCAAGTCTGAAAGCTACTTAGTGGGGCACTGCACTGGCACATCTCGGCAGTTCGATGAACGCATCACAGGTACAAATTTTCATCGGCACGCCCACGAGTTTGTTCTTGCAAAGTCTACTTTAAGTACCTGTGATGCGAAAACTGCATCAGCTGCACATGACCAGCCACGTAGATTGTTAATGTGCACCAAGGCTGTAGCCATGGAGTCAACATTGGGGGGGACCAAATCTTCCAGGTTGTCTGGGAGTTCCAACCCAGAAAAATATCTAAATTTAAAAACTAATTTCCTGCCTAAAATATTAAAAAATTCACCAACACATGGGATGGACTTTTAACTTATTTTTTACAATAATGTCTAATAGTGTATTGTATTACATTGCTCTGTTTTTACTTTTTAACCATTTTTTGTTTCATTGTATGTAATGGCAGAGATTAGGGATTAATAAAGTACAACCATAACCACAATCATATAAACAGAAATCTATGCGTTGATTTATATGAAGACAAGCCCAGATATTGTGGCCAAGGTTCAGCAAATTGTTGTTTTTATTTACATAGCATAGCAATTTTTTTATAGCAATATATTGGGGGGAGGGGACATTTTGAGCATATTTGAATATTGGGGGGGGATGGGATGTGTCCCCCCCCCCCCCCCAATATATATTATAATTACGGTCATGGACAGGGGTCGGCAGAAGCTGCGTGTGGTGGCTCTTTAAGCACTGCTTCGTGATGTGATGTATTAAGGACCACCGTCTTGTATAGCGGCTCTTGAAATATTGAGTTTTGTACCGAATTCTAACAAAAACGTCTCTTCTTGTTATTTTGGTTGCCGATCCCATGGACATGGAGGTGTGCCCCACGTTGCTACGTGTGTCGGATACAAGTTACAGTTCAGCTGAAAAATGTTGATGTTAAAGCCAAGTAACGGGCATTGTTTTGCACTTTAAATCATTTGCATGCCCGAGGCCGTCACATGCACGCACGTGATACGCCATGTATACGTGTTGTACCACATTCCATTAAATCGTTATTAAATTTATAACGCGTAACCAATCGAACGTAAAGAGGCCATGCAGAGTCGTGGCGGACTTCTCTTCAGTGACTTGGTGGTGAACACATTCTAGATTTAGATCGTTTATGAAAAAAAGACTCTTACCGTACTCATATTTTGGAAATGCACCCGTTACAGAGAAAAAAAAACCACCCGCTTAACTTAATCTACTTCCGCGATCATTCCAACAATTCAGTGTCACACCCCGTGGGAGGCATGTTGCTCGCTTAACCGATTGACGGGGATCGTACATTTCTCAATGTCAGGATGGACACTCGAAACAATGTAGGATTTGAGGCTTGCACTGCTCGTTGGGTTAAACCAAGCAACCCTGTGGACCATAGTTTTTGGGAGTACAAATATGGACATTGTATTTTGGGTTTTTTCGGTAAAGTCACGTAGGTAAAAACATTAAAAAGTAAAATAAAATAAAAATCACGACGTTTCGGAGGCAACACAAGCTTCCGTCTTCAGGTGGTACCGTCACAGCCACGACAGCTGTATCAAGTATCAAGTACAGCTGTCGTGGCTGTGACGGTATCACCTGAAGACGGAAGCTTGTGTTGCCTCTGAAACGTCGTGATTTTTATTTTATTTTACTTTTTAATGTTTTTACCTACGTGACTTTACCGAAAAAACCTAAGAATATGAATCCTTGCAGTCACGAAAGCTTCAAATCTAGAATTGTATTTTGGCTTTTTCTAAGTTTTCAAGTTAGAAGAATACAGTGGTCTCAACTACAACTTTGGCAGGTTTGTGTTTTCTAACCTTTCGACAACATCAGTGGAATTTATATCAGTCATACAATGACAATGTTAGCGCCTGACAGATGGTGAATGGCAAATTAAGTGAAAACCCACGCATTGTTGAGGTCGTGGATTGTTGTGTATAGCCGCTGAGACAAGGCTGTTACAATCAGTTTATCGTATTTGGTGTAATCACAGGTGGCTGTCCAAATCAATGTGGCTACGTATGTATCATGACTAGCAGCCTCGTGTGTGTCTAAATTACACATCCGAATCTTTATTTATACTGGAGGAATCTGATGAGCTATGAAGCTCTTTCCAACAGATGTCCAGTAGGGGAGGCTTAGAAAGTTACAACAACACACAATACGAAAACACGACACAAGTACCAAGTCTATGAAAGGTAAACAATTCACTCAAAAATATATAGCTATGTTTATTTTACCAGGTAAAGGCCACTGACCTATTCGCTTCTTTTTCAGAAGCAACCGATCTACGAATGATAGCTCAATGAAGTGGCTTATCGCGTGGAAATTTATAGCAGCCAAATACTCGAAACAATCACATGGAGTGGGTGCCATTGAGAAAGAGAAGGCATGCGGGGAGTGCGGCTAGCAGGAACTGCCTACGATCAATGACCCAACTATGTTCAGAAGCTGGTAGGAGCTCAACGATGGCTAAACGCGAGTGACTGCACATTTGCTGTGTGCAATTGGCCAATTAGGCTAAATGCCACCGACTGATGCCGACAGGGGAGCCGGGAATACGCGTGGGTGTTGGCTCAGCACTCTTGCATGGATGGCCATTAGACCCTTGAATAAGTATAACCCGTAAAAACAAAGTTTTTCACTGTAAATCCTTTATATGCGTGGCGGCTAGAGTCCTCTCGTCCTCTGGCTTGAGATGGCTGCCACCTATGGGTCAGATGATTGCATTGCACCATTAAGCAATTGGTAATTAAATATTTTTGTCCTAAAGAGTGTAAAATTTTGGAAAAAAATTTTCACTAACATTAATTGTCATGCACAACGAGTCTGTGTGCAAAATGTCAGCTCGATTGGATTACGGGAAGTGGGTTAAAAAACGACCGAAAGATTTGCACGGTCCTAAGCAAGCAAGCGAACTTAATATAAAGGATTTAAAAAATACCCATTAGTGGTTAAGAAATAGTCTGCTAAAGCAAGCACTCGTTTCACCAGCCGCTTGTTTTCGCAATGCACTCAGCATTGCCAATCCAGCTCGGCAGGTTTTAGTTCCGGACGTGGCGTGGCATACACACACAATAAGAACAATAAGATGGAGCTTGGTACTTGATTAACAACTTCATACTTCTAGGAATTGACACCGAGGTCACAGTGACTTTACAACAGCAACACCGGACGGACGTCTCGTAATAGCGATGAATTAATTTAAAGTTATATAATGTAGATTAGGTTTGTTTGTGTGTTTACTTTGATGTCCTTCCCCCGCACCTCGATTTATCACTGATTGCTACGTAGGGTGCAAAATAAGTTCAACATTCATACATACAACAGTCTTTTCTTGCACAGCAGTGAACTTTGTGGTTCATCAGTCTCACCTATCCTGCCTGTAATTATCATTCCGATGTATGCAAACAATAGGTGTGGGACAATTCACCCACGCACCCCGTCCCCCCCAAGCAGTTTGCCGATTCAATTAATAAATGAGCTATTTAGGTCAGGAAATGAATCGATACATCGTTCCCACCCCGGAATTTCGAGCGCAGTGCAAGGCCATATCATACTCCACCCTCCGCAGTGCCGACACATCGATCAAGTGGACAAATCCAGCATCCTGTTCGCAAACAGACTGTGAAGTGGACGCGCGTTCAGGTACAGCCCTTTTGTCAACCCACCTGCTGGATGAAGGCTCTCCCCACACCATGCTGCTTCGTTGGGGTAATTTTACCAAACAGTGCGGGCTCACGAAGGTGGACAGCACAAACGTAGCAGCATAGAGGCACAATATAATCATAGATTTTGCCGCACTGCCCCTCTGCTGCCCACCACGTAGCACAGCCCTATGGAATCCTGGCGTGCGTGGCAGTTACCCATCCAAGCGATATCCAGGCTCAACGCCTGCTTCGCTTGTGAGATTTTGGTGGGATTGGGCGCATTTCCGGTGAAGAGGCGATGAGCCGAGCGGGTTGGTCGGTGGCACCTGGGGTGGTGAATGCTACCGGAATCCACCATGAGCAGAGAGCTTAGCATATATACTGTGTGATTTAGAGAGACACTTCAGATTTACTTGCATATTATATGTTCTTGGTTCTTTCGGTAAAGTCACGTAGAAGGGAAGTAATAAAATAATAAAAATAAAACGTAATAAATATTTTATTATGTTTTATTTTAAATATTAATCAATATTTTATTATGTTTTATTTTTATTATTTCCATTCTACGTTACTTTACCGAAAGAACCAAGAAGATGAATCCCTGCAGTCACGAAAGCTTTAAATCGAAATTTGCATATTATAATTCTATAGATGCTACATATCGCATTAGTTTTTTATATATATATCAAGAAATCTCTCTTCCAAACTCCGGTATCCTTATTTTTATATATATATATATAAAGCTACCACTGAGATGTGGCTATCATAGAAATCTGTAATCTAGAAATAGAATTCTTCAAGAAAATCACTGATAGCGATTGCCAACACCCATGGTACCAATAAGACATTTTCGCGCCAATGGATTAAGGAACAAGAGAAATCAGCATGGGCTCACCGTAGCTTCTGCAGTGTCTGTTCCTGGTAGCTCTGGTTCGTCACGTAGGGGATGTAAACGTGGAAGTTTTTCTTCGTGTGCTCGCTCACAATGTCGCAGATGTCCGGCACGAGTATGTTTTCTGCCACTCGCGTTTCCAGATCGTGCAAAAACCTGGAGTGATGCACGCAAAGGTCGTGTAGAGATCACCACCTGTCTGCATTGATCCTCGCAGAAGTGCGTTGGGGTGAGGGCGAGCACGTGTTTCGGGAGCTCAAACCGAGCTCGCGTGCCAGCTCGGATTTGCCTTCAAGGTATGTACGTATGTCTGTAGAACTTCTTTCGCGCCGTACATAGCCAAACGTGCTAACTGAAGGTGCGGGAAAAGGACAACAAACTAAACAAAAAAGCAGTTCAAAATAAATTAATTTTCAATCTTGATGGTTTAAATGTGCATAGCTCCAGTGGCTTCTTATTGGCCCTGCTTACGATGCAAGGCGAGGGATGGGCGCAAATGGAGGGTGCTGCTCACCCTTCTGGCATTAGCCACGCTGGCGATGCTAGGGGAGGGATAGGTGCTGATGGGAGGCTGCCGCTCACCTCTCGCTGGCCGAGGCCACGTCCGCCAGGTTGGAGAAGAGTGCGTGCTTGTCTGCCTGGCTCGCGACTTTCTGCAGCTCGCACGAGTCTTGGAAGTGGTGGAGGGCAACCTCCAGGCTCCGCAGGTAGGATGCTTCCGACGTCACGAGTTCGAACATTGCCTGAGCGCACGCGAAATCGGAATCTGAAGTTTATTTCCCACCGAGTAAAAGCCCATTGAGCTAAGAAGCTGTTTTTCAAGAGTGACTCAGCGGGCAGACAACGTCAAAGCATTCCATAATTACAGATTTAAAAAAACAAACCTAAAAATAGCAATTATGTTGCAAAGAATTACATTCACACTTAAACAGCACAGACAAAGCACCATCACGCACGGAAACCATGCAAACCTGGGAATATCACCGAGATACTGGGCTTGAATGCAGCTTTCTATCATCTATGATGAACTGTGTTCTTTAGCGTAGGGAGTTGATGATCTCAGCCCTATCGCATACATTTTTTTGCGCTGCATGTAATTTTGCTCATTTCCAGCTCCGAGAGTCAAAACTATTGGTTTGACCGTCATCCGACGAGCACTGGTTACTGCGGCAACCAATGGGAAAGCGCTGCCACCAACTGAGAAGACCAGTGGCCACTTGAAGAAAGGATCTGAGGAGTATTTCGATTTAAAGCTGTCGTGACTGCAGGGATTCATCTTCTTGGTTCTTTCAGTAAAGTCACGTAGAATGCTGCTTGCGTTGTGGCCGAAACGTCGTGAGAATTATTTTATTATGTTTTATTTTTATTATTTTATTTCCATTCTACGTGACTTTACCGAAAGAACCAAGAAGATCTGAGGAGTAGTTGAGAGATACCTCCTTCCGCATTACCTTTCTCTAACACAGCTGTGCAAGACATCCGAATGCATACTCCCCGGCTCACGAAACAACACCCAAACCCACCCAACCCACCCACCCACCACGGACCTCCTGCCTGCTGCACTCCGCCGCCGAGATGGCGGCGAGCACCCCGCTGCTCTGGACTTCCGGCAACTCCTGCCACAGCGAGAAGAACGGGCTGTAGGTGCGTGCAGGGTCGGGTGACGGCTCTTCCGAGGGAGCCTCCGTGTCCAATCGCTCGGGCATCCAGCCGACGGCAGCCTTGCCGCTACTTTCCTCTTCACCGCTGCCGCCCATGTCTCCTCGTCCACTGCTCGGTCTCTCTCCCGTGACCCCCGCCTTGGCGTGCTCCTCCAAATTGAAGCCCTCCACGGCCACGGAGATTCGGATTTGCTTCATGCAGTCCCTCCTCTGGGCTATCATGTTGTACTCCTGGTAGAGTTTCACCGCTGCAAGGACAGATGAGACGAGCGAGCAGTCGACCGCATTATATCGGATGGGTCCGAAACTCACAAGACCTCGGATTCTAAGCAGGGTTGAGCCTGGTTACATATGTGTGTGTGTCAATTAGATGCTGATGTTAATGTATCAACCATAACCGTACAAGTTTAAACAAAATAAAAATCGAGGACACTACAAGCATCGTTATGTGAACAGGTCTTACAGGCGAGTATGGCAAGCAGTACTGGCCAAATACACAAGAAAAGGCATACACATCTCAACGCATTCCAGTTGTGACTTAGTAACAAGATAAGAGTAGAATGGTCCCCTAATTATACACATTGAGAAAAAAAGTATTATTCAACAAAGAATATTAGTTTCACAATTTTATCCCAAATCGCGCTATCGTTTTCATACAAGGGGACAAATAAAAACAAGTTGAACTCTCGCAGGGCAGCCCAATACCGTTGTTAGAAGACAGGCGGCAGAGGAGGGTGAGAGGGAGAATTCAGAGTGGGGGTGACACACTCAGGAGGCTTGAGCGGGTTTGGTTATTTTACGACGGCAATTGGTTCCACGAAACTGGTCGTTCAGCGATTTGGCCGTTAAGCGAGTATAGCATATACATGTTAGTGGCTTAATTCGTTCCGATAGCATCAAAAGTTAAGCTTTAAACCCCCAAAAATTTACTTTATAATATTTAAACAATGGATATCAATACATAAAGATACTAATAACATTATTAACACATAATATTAAAATAAAATAGTTAATAAATGCATTCATTTATATTTACTGTACCTACAACAGCCCGTCGTTAACAGGGGAGTGGTCGGGAAGCGAATACATTGGGTTCTATGGAGGACTACACTATACACTACACACTATATTACTATACACTACACTATACACTACACTACTATACACTACACTATACACTACACACTACATTACTATACACTACAATACTATACACTACACTATACACTACACTACACACTACACTACACACTACTATACACTACACTATACACTACATTACTATACACTACACTACTATACACTACACTATACACTACACTACTATACACTACACGATACACTATACTATACACATTGGGTTCTATGGAGGCACTACACTACACTACTATACACTAAACTACTATAGACTACACTATACACTACACTACACACTACACTACTATGCACTACACCACACACTACACATTGGGTTCTCTGGAGGCCCGTCGTTAAGCGATTAGTCGTGAACAGGGGTGCTCGTTAAGAGGGGTTCTACTATACACTACATTATACACTACACTATATACTACATTATACACTACACTACTATACACTACACTATACACTACACATTGGGCTCTATGGAGGCGCTACACTACTATACACTACATTATACACTACACTATACACTACATTATACACTACATTATACACTACACATTGGGTTCTATGGATCCCCGTCGTTAAGCGATTAGTCGTTAACAGGGGTGCTCGTTAAGAGTGGTTCTTCTATACACTACATTATACACTACATTATACACCACACTATACACTACATAATATACTACACTATACACTACACTATACTCTACACTATACACTACACTATACACTTCTATACACTACACTATACACTACATTATACACTACACTATACACTACACATTGGGCTCTATGGAGGCACTACATTATACACTACACTATACACTACATTATACACTACACTATACACTACATTATACACTACACTATACACTACATTATACACTACACATTGTGTTCTATGGATCCCCGCCGTTAAGAGATTAGTCGTTAACAGGGGTCCTCGTTAAGAGGGGTTCTACTATACACTACATTATACACTACATTATACACTACATTATACACTACACTATACACTACACATTGTGTTCTATGGATCCCCGTCGTTAAGCGATTAGTCGTTAACAGGGGTGCTCGTTAAGAGGGGTTCTACTGGACAGATGTTGCCTCGGTACAACACACTTACAATGTGCCATCTGGTTGTACATGGACACCCTTCGGTCACGTTGTTTCCAGCCGTGTGCGTTTTCTGAGCGTCTGAAAAGAAAGCGTACAATAAGCACAAGGCTGTAGGAGTATGCGAATTAAAAATATGTAACGTAAATATATTATTGGCTATGGGGCCGTCCGCACCTGGGGGGGGGGGGGGGGGGGGGGGGGTCAGACATTTGTGACGATGTGTGACGAGGAGGAGGGGGGGGGGGGTTGAGATATGTGATGTCACGGAAAAATGCGCAACTTTAAATAACTATAGACAACACGTTCTACTTAAATAAACATACTTTTTAATATTTTTTTCGTACAACATCAGAGTGCAGCGCCACATTAAATACGCACTTCAATGACAATAGTTTAAAGCGATTTGAAGCATGTTTTATATTTTTTTTGGGGGGGGCAAAGCTTTGTGACGTCATATTTGAGGGGGGGGGGTCTGACTTTTTGTGACGCCGTGTGACGAAGGGGTGGGGGGGGGTAAAAAATCGTCCAAAATCGCGTGACGTCATTTATGGACGGCCCTTATGACAAAAATCACCCAACTTCTTAGTAATGAGAGCACAGTCTCTTTAGTAACAGGCTTGAAGAAGAGGACGCTGTTGGTTAAGTCCAAACTGAAAATGAAACGTCGGGTTCTGTGTGAGCTAACTTGAGTGGCAAATGAAGAGACATCAAAACGACCATTCTGCCAGGGCCGCCCAAAGTTTTCCTGCAGGCCCTAGAGTTGGAGGCTCAGGGAAAGAATGCCACGTCCACGTGGGACCCCCCCCCCCCCACCCTTATTCTAAAACTATATATTTTTTTAGTTTTCATGTTACCAGATAAAGCCCACTGACCTATACGTAGCGACCTGGCTATAACAAATGACAGCTCAACAACGAAGTGGCTGATCATCATCATCACGTGGAACTTTATAGCAGCCAAATACTCAAAAATGCATGTTGACTCTAAATGTAGAGGGGGAAAAAAAATAGAGGAGCCCGAGACAAATCCACGCTTGCTACGGGGAGAATGAACATACAAACTCCAAATACAGTAATCCCTCGCCACTTCGCGGTTCAAGTTTCGCGGCCTCAGTGCATCGCGGATTTTTAGAACTGATTTAAAGGCCTCATTATTATACCTGTGCAGTAACACCATCATCATCATCATTCATCATCACATTCATCGAACTGCACAGGTCTGTCATCGTCGTCATCGTCGTCATTGTCATCGTCGTCGTCGTCATTACTGGAGTCAAGTCTCAAGATAATACTGTCATTGGTGAGTGTAGACCACCATAATACGTATTGTATGAGAGAGAGAGTGAATGTATAATATTAAGGTTTTATAATTAAATAGATTTATGTAAAATATATATATAAAGTATAAATATACATATTTTAAACATTCTGGTACCCACACACACATATACGGAAATTCCTAGGGGGCCAATCCTACTTCGCGGATTTTCACCTATCGCGAGGGGTTCCGGTCCCCATTAACCGCGATAAACGAGGGATCACTGTATACAAGAATCAGGTTTGGATCGGACCCACGACCCTCATGTATGCCAGGCGAGGTAGTTAACATCTCGCCACCACAACAACTAAAACAGCCTCGTTGTGGAGGCCCGGGGCATATTGCCCATTTTGGCCACTCTCTTTGGGCGGCCTTGCATTCCACCATTGATTTGCAATCATCTCCAGCAGCACGCTCGTGTCATTCAGCGGCCAAACAAACGTACTCGATGCTGTCCGTGTTGCTTGATGCCTTGGGGAGCTGTTTCAGGAGAGGGTCGGTGGCTTCCGTGCTCAGAATTTCTGAAGGTTCCGACAATGACACCTTTTCATCGGACACTACAAATCAAACAGCAGGCAATGCAGATGCACAAGGAAGCACGGTCATTAGTACAGGTGTCACAGTGTGGCCATCAATATCGATCTTTAAACTTACAATACACATATTAAGTTGCGCCTGTGAGAACGTATTAGTTTGTTTGTGTGAACGTTGTATGTGTCTGTGATGTCCGAAACAGTCTTGGACCGCTACCCTTCACCACCCTGCACTGACCGGAGTGGTGAAGTATGATAAAGAAAAAACCGCCACGACTTAACGGCATGGGAAATTTAATAAAGGAATGTAAATTACTGCACCGTTGTTTTTCACATTTGAGATATGACATTAGGAAAAAGTGTCCACTCTTCCGAATAACGTCAACACTTTTAAGACTGGCTTTACAGCAGAGGGCACATTTTTGTGATTCCATAGAGAAATTCGTGCGTGTCTTCAAAACAAAAACAAAAAACCTATCGACCTCTTCTCAAACCGATCTCGTGCCTGGCGGGAGCTGACTGACAAGGCTGCCCAGCACATAGAGATGGCCTTGTTGCTCAGAGATCGGAGCACTGAGCCGACACCACTGAGGACCTGGGTTCAAATCCAGGCCTGCGATGAAACTAAATTTCACAAATATAGCGAGTTGGTTGTCTTATCCTGGCCACCAACGACTGCGCTAAAAAAAAAAACAAATCACAATAACTGTGTTGCTGCACTTCTGACCGTCATGCGACAAACATTATTCTCATATGCAATGTGTGTGCGCGCGGGAAAGTGCTGCGCTCTACTATGTGGACCGAACGTCACTTAAATGGATCTCAGTGGTAGCTCTGTGATATCCAATTCTCTAACATGAAGGCTTGCACTGCTCTGCAAGATATCCAAATGGATCCTTCATCTCATGACGTGATGTCGGGAAAAAATTTTAAAACACAAATGCTGCATGGGACGGGTGACAACACCTAAAATGCAGCTGAAGACAACAAAACAATTGGCAGAGAATAAACTGCATGCCCACCTTCCTTGCTGGGCACAGTGTGCCTGCGGCGCATGGCTAACTTGCGCCTGGGGCCACCCTTCAGATCTGCCTCTGATTCGCCCAAATGCACATCCTCACAGGCCTCCGGATGTGCCACAATTATTGTCATAGCTCTCTCACCCCTCCTGCGAGTCCGGATTCTCTCGTACATATCCAAAGGCCCCGACATGCACGGAGACGCAGACGAGCCGTCGGGCACATCCAGAGCATCCTTCATTCCGGACAAATTGAAGCCGTCGACGTCCGACATGTACGCAGTGTTCGTATCGCTCTCCACTGGGTCCCCGTTGAGGGTCAAGAGTTCGCCGTCACGCTCTTCGCCGTAGTAGTCCGACGCTAAGCACAGCTTCAGGTCGTCATCGTCCTCCTCCTCCTCGGACACGTTCTTGGGCTGGTGGTACTTGGAAGGGCGTTGCCGAGAGCGCCTTGCACGCTCCATCGATTGCTGCACGGTGTCGACCTCCATTTGCGCGACTTTGTGCGTTGCCGATGGTTTGCTGGGGAGGGGTGGGGGACAAGCGAGGGCTACGCCGCAGAGTCGTTTCGCTCCATCTCCACGCTGCACGGTCACCACCCTGACGGCCCTTCACCTCCTCAAATTCCAATTCAGCGGTGGAGTTTCACTTCAACAAGGTGTTGCCAATTCCATTTTGTTACATCGATGAAGATGTCCGATGCACCATTGTCATTGTTGTCATTTCCCGAATCAATATTGGTATCCGACGCTTGCTCTCGTGCAAGATTCACTGCACCTAAAGAAAGAGCAAACGATGAAAGCACCATCATCAGTTCAAGTTGTACATCTTTACATTTCAGACTCTGAGTTCTGACATGCTTACCCCACAGTCAGCAGTACTTTACTACTTTTAGAGTAGCAATTTACAGTGTTAAACATTTCTTCATTTAACCAGGTGAGAGTCCATTCAAATTAATTTTCTCTTCGTGAAATTCAGGCTTGTTTAAACCAGTTTATGTGGATAAATAATTTTCGGTACAATACAGCGTACAATTAGGATTTTCATGTAAAAAGCTTTCAGGAATGTGAACGCATCTCAAGAGACCAGTAAGTTTGTGTACAGCATGCCAACTCTGGAATCATGGTTGCATCAGTAAAGTCAAGCCTGTTGTTTATACAGTAGAACCTCGGAGATCGAACGCACCAGAACTCGAACAAATCGTGTTCGAACAATATTTCCGAACATTTTTTACCCCGGAAACCAAAAAAAGTTACTGCAGCTACGTACTATTAACATTCCTTCCCTTTATTAATGCTACCCCTATCCCCTCCCTTTGCTAATCCTGCATAATGCACGGGCATAATATGACTTTGAAACCCCCCGCACACCTCCTACGCATTTCACAAGTAGTACTAATCACATACCTGCATTTCCCATAAATATGCTAAATTCCTCTTGATATGCAAATTATTTTGTCAAGGCGCCCTTCCCCCCTTCCAACCCAGCTTAAATATACGCTCCAAGCGTGGTGGTGTTTCATTCAGACGCTGTCTCCCCGACAGACCTGGTCTTCACCTGAGGACGGCTGCTTGCGTTGTGGCCGAAACGTCGTGAGAATTATTTTATTATGTTTTATTTTTATTATTTTATTACTTCCCTTCTACGTGACTTTACCGAAAGAACCAAGAAAAGAAATTCGGAGGTCAAACGGGGCAATCGCGACTTGAAAGAACCTGTACAGCTGAGACGCGTATGGCCAGCGTGCGTGACGCTTGCATAGACAAAGGTTTTACCGTGTGAGAGGCAGAAACAAACCTCTTCAGATAAGGTTTTAGTCAGAAAGAGCTCAAGTGACTCACAGTTAGTGGCAGAAAAGAGGCACAAAAGAGAAAGAACCCCAGAAGGGCAGTTCCCCGACGTTATTATGGAAGGGGACTCCCCTTCCAAACAATAACACCTCCTCCTCACCACCTTCCACTCAAGCCATCAACTCTCCCTTACTACAAGTAAAGTGAAGTTCAATGTTAATTTATTTCATATATTTATTCATTTATTCCATTTATTTATTGTTTCTTTTTTTAATGATTTTATGCATGCAATTCATGTAAACTTCGTGTAAAATGCTTTATAATGAGATATTTATTGTGTCTAGAACCAATTAATGTCATTTGCATTAATTCTTATGGGGAAAATGTATTCGGTGTTCGAACAAATCGGTGTTCGAATGGCCTTCTGAAACGAATTAAGTTCGATCTCCGGGGTACCACTGTATTTGAGATTGGTTCTTCTAAGGTGCCGTGAAGTGTGAGGCCTATTGGGTCTACCGTATTTGTATTATTGTAAAAAAAAACTAATCTATTTTTCGATTTAAAGCTTTCGTGACTGCAGGAATTCATCTTCTTGGTTCTTTCGGTAAAGTCACGTAGAAGGGAAATAATAAAATTATAAAAATAAAACATAATAAAATACAATTCTCACGACGTTTCGGCCACAACGCTGTCGCCTCGACAGACCTGGTTTTCACCTGAGGACGGCTACTTGCGCTGTGGCCGAAACGTCGTGAGAATTGTTTAATAATGTTTTATTTTTATTATTTTATTACTTCCCTTCTACGTGACTTTACCGAAAGAACCAACAAGATACTTAGGCAGTGTTCTTCATTGCAAGGTCCGCGGGTCACTGGCGGCCCTTGGTGGCCTTTAGTGCGGCCCCCGACAATACACAAATAGTAACAACACCCCTTGTAACAAGTGGTGTGGCGGCCCTCACACCGATGTCTTATCGGCAAAGTCCCCCCCCTGTACTAGGGCAAGACGTCCCCAAATGTTACCACATCTGCAACTAGCCGCTGGACTTATAGGCCTTTATAGTATGTGTGCACTGTGATAAGACATTTACAATGTGGCCAAGGAGTGGTGGTGCAGTGGATGAGTGCACTGCACTGTGAACCCAGTGACTGGAGTTCGATTTCTGGCAACGTCAAGGATTTCATTGTATGTACGTATGTTGAACTTTTTTCGCATCGTGCGTAGCCAACCGTGCTGCTAATCGGAGGTGCGGGGGAAGGACAACAAACTAACACGGAGTTTATTTCCTTCTTCTTCCCCAGTGAAGCTTGTGGACTAAGTGCCACAGAATCTAAATGCAAATTTAGTGTAAAGGAAGTTACTATACACGAACTTGTCCGAGTTCCCTATTCAGTAACCTGCTTCAAAGAACCCCCGTGAACAAAAGAGTGTGGAAGGATTATTTACCCAGAATTGGACAGACAAAAGGTTGTTAATTCTCATAAATAATTGATTTAAAATGCAGTAACACCTGAACACCTACATTTCTCTTTGGTGTTTAAGGAGATTCGGACACATTATTTACGTACCAACAGAAACAAGAATTGTTTTGCTTTTAAGTAACATTCAGTAACTTAAGATTACGACCAAACCACCTGGCATTTGCCCAATCTTGTCAAGGTCTTCCCGTCTATTCTCCTGCATCTACTCCTCCTCACCTTTACTGACCCACACCGACTGGCATGGCCAAGTCGGGTCAAACGACCCACAGGGCACAGCAGAGGGCGGAGGGGAGGGAGGAGGTGGTGGGAGGAGGGGAGGCATCATCCAGCAGCGGATTGACAAAAGTAGCTGTACACGTACACATGCACACGTACACGCAAATAAAGCAAAAACAAATCTCCACGTGAAAAATGTGCCACGGGGAGTCCCTTCTATGCTGATAAATATCTTAAGAATCTTAACTTCTGGGTCATGGGTGCAGGAGGGTGGGAGGGTGGGTCCTCTTGGCACTTTGTTCACACTCATGCACCTGGCGGCGGGAGATGGGTGTCGGCCGTCTAAGCGAGAAAATATTTACCTGGCTAAATATTTGCCTGCCCGAAACATGTATTTCATGTCTTGTACGATTACTGCAGAGCATTCAGATGTCTTAATGGTCACAGTTAATGTTCCACTGAGCCACTTTAAACAAAGTTGAGTATCGTCCGCCGTGCAGTCAACATTGGGAAGGCAACATTGACAATGTTGTAAAGTAGCCGTTTGACCAACTCGCCCTGACTATATCCAATCTTGTCAGATCTTAGATGCTAAGCAGGGGGTTGATCTTGGTTAATACACTTTTAACTGCAAGGGAATACCAGGTGCCATAGGCTTGGGCTGCGAGAAGGCCAAGGTGATGGCAGTCCAGCAACGGCTTCTAAACGTCAATGTGCTCATATGGGCAGGACTTCTCCAAGTACCAACCATTGGAACTTGGGTTAATCTCCGTGTGTCAAACGTTAATTAATGCAACTGACCAAACATTCCAGGACAGAACCCTCCTGCAAAAGTCTTAAGATTCGGGCCAGTCTCGTGACTCCTGTTTCATCAATAATTTACTATTACACCTCATCATGCAATGCGTTTCATGTGGCAAGTAAGATTCTAGATTTGAAGCTTTCGTGACTGCAAGGATTCATACTCTTAGGTTTCTTTCGGTAAAGTCACATAGGCAAAAATAAATAATAAACATAAATAATAAAATGGTAGAAATAACAGAAATAAAATATTTATTTTATTTCTATTATTGTTTCTATCATTTTATTATGTATTATTTATTAATTTTTTACCTACGTGACTTTACCGAAAAAACCTAAGAGTATGGCAAGTAAGAATTTATTTTAATAAAAAAAAATCAATGCACCGTCCAGGGCCGATTCATTTTACAGCAAGACAACCCCTGGGAATTCAAACACAGGTATAGAATTGGTGATCTGAGAGACGAGTCAATGCCCATTAGCCATGAGTTCGCTGCCTAATGTTGGTTGTACTCACTACCAGTGAAACGTTATACCCAATTATTAAACGTTCCGGGCAGCTCTTCAACACAACGGTGGTGCTGCTTAAGCGGTCACAAATTGGCCACGTTTGTTCATCACGTGACAACTTTATTAATTGGCTGTGTCGGGTGGAGGAGGGTTTACGACGCAACATTTTAATTATGTCATCCGGCCCAAAAACAATGATGAATCACTCCCAAGTTTCGGACGTTATTTGTTCGGCTTCCCCCACACTATATTATCATGACAACACACCACCTCCTTTCTTAAGTGCATTACAGAGTAGAAGAGTAGTTATAGCAGCCCCCGAATGTGATTTATGCTCATGCCCTGAAGGGCAGTCGGGCACCAACCACCACCAGCTGAGTTGTAAATAAACAGCCACAACATGACTCCTCTGTTGCTTAGCGACAGGGCCCACAGAACAAACACCTCAATATACATAATCAAGAAGTAACATCACAGCCAAAGCCGATGCCACAAACACCATCATCGCACCTCGCCAACGCTTTGTACCCTCCGCTAGATCCCGCAGCTGCCACACAGTGGACACGCAGGGACCTCCTGAGATCTGCCATAACAGTGTCCCGCCATCCTGTCTTAGGCCAGTGGTTCTCAGCCAGGGGTACGCAGACCCCTGGGGGTTACGTGGCAATGTCCCAATATCTTCTTGTTTTTTTCGGTAAAGTCACGTAGAAGGGAAAAAATAAAATAATAAAAATAAAACATAATAAAATAATTCTCACGACGTTTCGGCCACAACGCAAGCAGCCGTCCTCAGGTGAAGACCAGGTCTGTCGGGGAGACAGCGTCTGAAAAATGTCCCAATAAACAACGAGAGGTGATATATAAACGTGTATTTATATCATACCTGAGTCATTGGTGAATAAGCAAGTATGAATCTGCCAATGTAAAAATAACTACGATAAAGTCTGAATCCATATGGTTACCCAGAACGATATAAAAT